GGGGGGTCGGACCCCCCCCCTAGCATGTGGTGGGCACCCCCACAGCAGTTCGTGGGCTAGGAATAGCCACCAGAAGATCCGATTTTGGCCCCCAAAGTTGTGAAATCGTGGCTGAAAGTCCACTATCTTGGAGAATCTGACCAGTCTCAAGGCTCATATAGCGCTCCAAAGGATGATTTCCCCCTCGAAAATGCTCGAAATCTAATGAGGCGTAAAATCAAGGGCCCGGAGGGTCTGACCACGAGTCTCTGGGGGGGTCCTCGGCCACGACCCCCCCCCTAGCATGTGGTGAAGGTGCTGGGGGGATCGGGACCCCCTGTGGTGCGGGCGACGGCTTCTGAGGAAGCCGTCGCCCGCGCCTCGCCTGTCGCGTGAATCGTGTCGTGCGACCGCCTCTTGTTTAAATTCTTTTCCGGAAATTCCTTTTTCTCGATGTGCGTCTTCTGTTGTGTTACTCTCCTGCAACCATAGTCCTTCCTGTGACATGGCAGGCCACTCTCAAGCCCTACAAGCACCAACCAGATCACCTCACTTGGGGAGGGTTGACATCGTGATTCGCGGAAAATTTCTTTTCCTGTGAAAATTCCGGCGTGAAGAGAGGGAAACCCCCGACGGGAGGGCCCAGACCTACCCTTCCACCCCGTCATGCTGGCCGCCCCACGCAAAAAAGAACAACAAAGAACAACAAGAACAACAACGTGTGAGTGTTAGAGTTGTTTGGTATTGCTAAAAATCCAAAAAGAATACACGGGCGCCTAAATGCGGACGCCGCCGACCGCTTCCGACGCTTCGCGCCGCCTGGCGCTCTCGCTGTCGGCCGCGCTGCTCGCGGCGCCGCGAACCGCGGCGTGGTCTGCGGCTCCTGAGCGGGAGAGTTCCGAGCCGGAGCTCGTTCGGCTCTACGACTCCGCCGCCAGCCAGTACGACTCGCTCGACAGCGGCCCGCTCGCGTCGGCGCTCGGCCTGCAGGCGCTGCGCGCGCAGGCCACCGACCTCTGCCGCGGACGCGTCCTCGAGGTAGGAGTCGGCACCGGCCTCAACCTCCCGCTGTACGACCCCGGCCGGTGCGAGTCGCTCACCGCGGTGGACCTGTCGCCGGGCATGCTGCGCGAGGCGCGGCCGGCGGCCGCCGCACTCGCGCCGCGCCTCGCCGTCGACCTGCAGCTCATGGACGCGGAGGAAGACGAGCCGCCTCCTGATCCTCTCCTCTCCTCTCCTCTCCTCTCCTCGCCTCGCCTCGCCTCTCCTCTCCTTTCCTCTCCTCGCCTCTCCTCTCCTCTCCTCTCCTCTCCTTTCCTCTCCTCGCCTCTCCTCTCCTCGCCTCTCCTCTCCTCTCCGCCGCCAAGCAGGGCCGGCGCCGGTTGTGACGCACAAGCGCACGCGCCGTTATCCGGCCCGCAGGCGATGCGGTTCGCCGACGCGAGCTTTGACAGCGTCATCGACACCTTCTCGCTCTGCGTGTACGGCCGGCCGGAGCGGGCGCTCTCCGAGATGCGGCGCGTGTGCAAGCCGGGCGGGTGGCTGCTCTAGAAGCTGAAGACGCACTCTTGGAGCTCTTGGAGGGCGGTCGGCAGCCTCTCTCTCACACACACACACAGACTGGGGCCACGCTAGATATAATAAGAAAGTCAGTACGCCGGCGAGGAGCAGCCAAGGGGCTCGGACTGGACACACCAGCGCGGTATGGGTGGTGGACGCTAGACCGGAGATGCCGGCACGCTGGCGCGACACACAGACACACACGCACTCACAAGACACGCTAAACGGCAGCGCGGACAGCGGTGCTCGGGCGAGCCTCCCTCGATGCTCCGACCTGTGTCGTCTTGCTCGAGCACCTCCCACTAGACACCTCGTAGACACCTCCTAGACACTTCCGAGACACCTCCCACTAGACACTTCCTAGACACCTCCTAGACACCTCCTAGACACCTCCTAGACACCTCCTAGACACCTCCTAGACACCTCCTAGACACCTCCTAGACACCTCCTAGACACCTCCGAGACACCTCCTAGGCACCTCCTAGACACCTCCTAGACACCTCCGAGACACCTCCTAGACACCTCCTAGACACCTCCTAGACACCTCCTAGACACCTCCTAGACACCTCCGAGACACCTCCTAGACACCTCCGAGACACCTCCTAGGCGCGTCGTCTTGCTCGAGCACCAGCGCTCGGGCGGCGCGCTCGGCACGCCTCTTAGAGCCGAGATGAGCCGAGATGAGCCGAGATGAGCCGAGATGAGCCCTCCTAGCGCTCCACATGGTACACAGCTCGCAGCGCTCTCGCCCGGTTCCCCCCCAGGCGCCTACCAGGACGCGACGTCGAGCGCGGCGGCGAGGCTGGGCGGCAAAGGGTGTGTCTACAACCCTTACCCCAACCTTAACCCTAACCCTAACCCAACCTCCTAACCCTAGAGCCCTAACCCTAGGTGTGTCTACAACCAGGACGTGGCGGCGATGGCGCGCGCCGCGGGGCTGCGTGTCGTGCGGCAGCAGCCCGCGCTGCTCGGCGTAGTTGCGCTGTACGAGACGGTGCCCGTTTGATCGTTTGAGGTACGGACCCTTCACGCGTGCGCGCGGGCGGCGCTCGCCCGCCGCGGCCGCGCCGAGAGGGCGAGAGACAGGAGAGCGTCTGTATACGGTACTCTCTGTATATCGGCGCGTTTTTTGCGGGCATACACGGCTGGTCAACGCACGACGTGTGGGGTGTGCTCGAGCCTCTCGGTCTCGCTGACGCTGTCGATCAACAAGAGCCTAGCATTAGGTGCGGCCTGCAGAGGCACGGGCTGCGACACGGCCATGGACGAGCAGCACGCGAACGAAAAGAAGGCCCAGGCGGACATGGGCAGAGCGGGAGGGCGATACGCGAGGAGGAGACGGGAGGGGACAAGGCGCGACTCGGCCGTGGACAGGCAGGAGGGAGTGGGTGCGCAGGCGTGCGCGGCGAGAAGAGAGGCAGAGAGAAGAGAGCGCAGACAGGAGGAGAGAGATGGACCCGCATTTCTCACGACATCAGAGAGGATGAACGAGCACGTGCCACGCCGATTCATCCAGCCCAACATGCGCAGGATGCACAGATAGACGGGTGCGAGACTCCCTCCGCGAGATCGAGTGTCTTTTTTCGCAGTACAGAGAGAGCGGGAGGGCGCCCAGACCACACAAGACTGCACGAGATTGCGCGAGGTTATGCGAGACCACACGAGATTGCGCGAGATTGCACGGGAGGGTGTGAGGTGGCTCGAGATTGCACGAGACCGTACGAGACAGCGCGAGATTGTGTGAGATTGTGCGAGATTGTACGAGATCCAAGATTGCACAAGATTGCACGAGATTGCACGATACTGCACGAGATCGCACGGGATTGCGCGAGTATGCACGAGAGTGCACGAGAGTGCACGACGTTGCGCGAGACTGCACGAGATCGCATACGATTGCACGTGATAGAGCGAGGTTGCGCAAGAAAGTGTGTCTCTGGACGAGATTACGTGAGGTTGCGCGAGATTGTGCGAGAATGTGCGAGAATGTGCTTCATCGCGCGAGTTTGCGAGAGATCAATTGAGATCCCCACCGCGAGATTGACGCACGCTAAACGCGCCTTGAGAGACAGACACACACAGATGGGAGCCAAACCCAGGACCCAGGTTACAGAGGCATGCAGACGCCATTCCTTTATCACCACGTGCCACAATATCCCACCCCGACCAACGCGCGCGAAGCACAAGGCCGAACGAGACTGGATGCCCCCCTTTAGTTTCGTTGATGATTCACACAGGCGTTTCATTTTTCCACGAATTTCTTTTTACGGGCTTACAGGAGGGAGCAAAGGAAAGATGGACCCCCGCACAGGCAAGATGGACCCCCGCGCGCGAAACGAACGGGGTGAGACGAGGGCCAGGGCGGACACGCCGAATGAGGAGAAAAAACGACCTCACGAAGAAGATCCCTATTACGACGGAGGCTCAATTTGCGAATATTTTTTCGATCGTTACATCGCGCTGAAGCTCGAGCAAGTAGAGTCCAATTTTGGGCATCTGCGCACGACGACCACCATGGCGATGCTCGACGGCAATGCGAAACTGGGCGACGGGATCGCAGAGGAGGGCGGCGCGGCGGCGCTCTTCGCGATCGTCCCTGCGCCCGCCACAGGCATTGACGCGACCATGACCAAGGCGAGGCTCACCGAATGGGGTCCGATCGCGGGCACCGTGACGGAGCAGAGAATCATGATCTCCAAGGAGGAGGCGGCCGTTACCCACATCTCGACCCCGACCATCGAAGGCGCCAGCGGAACTTACCACATCATTATGCTGGTCTCCACAAAGTCCCAGTCGGGCTACGCGAAGATGAGCGAGGAGGGCAAGGTGATGCTGGTCACGTGCTCCAATGCCAACGCCGGCAGCGACGAGATCGAGTCGTGGGTCGTCCCCCTGAAGCTGGCGCCGATCGAGTCGGCGCGCGAGACGGCGGCGCAGATGCGGGGCTCGACGGCGGTGGGCGGACTGCACTACGGAAGAGATACCGAGAGCGAGAGGAGAGAGGATCGGGGTGCGAGCATATCCAACTCCGGCTCACAGGTGCACGCGCTTGCAACGCGCATCTTCGACCCGTCGACGTACATTGGGGTGGAGACCGCCAAGTTCCGCGCCACCATCCCAAACAACAGGGACGACATCCGCTCCTTCATCCCCGCCTTCGTCGACGGGATGAACGAAGTGCATGGGCGCCAGCACACCTGCGTCTATGTGCGGGCTGAGGAGAAGTTCAACCCGACGACGGGCACGTTCACCGACGAGGAGACCGGCTGGATCCGCTTCATCCTCACATCGACCGGCAAGACGTCGACGTCCACTATCCCCAACCACCCCATCATGCCGCGCTCGATCGTCTACACAGCACACGGCCTCCCCCGCATCCTGCACGGCAGCCGATGCCCCGCGGAGGGATCTACCTTCGTCCCGCGCACAGAGCTGCAATACGAGCCGGTCGGTGTATGGAACCAGCGTTGCCTGCGGCGAGAGGGAGGGCGACACCGACGCCGACGCCAACACAGGGCAGACAGGAGCAACATCGGGGGCGGGCACGAGCAGCGACCCGCAAAACGCCAAGCGCGGACGCGGGCGAACGAGATGTGGCGTGACCATCGTATGGAACACCGACAAACTCAAAAAAGTTGAACCAGAACAGGAGGTCGACATAATCGCTGCACGAGTGAGGAGGGTGATACTCGAAACACTCGATGGGAAACACCGAATCAGCGTGTACGGCGCGTATATGCCCGATACAGGAAAGAGCAATGACGAAATCGCCAAGGCGTGGAAGGAGCTCAAAGAAGCGATACGACACGACACGCACGAGAGGGTGCTCATCATCGGCGACATGAATGCTGTAACGCGGAAATGGGTGGAGGAAAGAGGGCGGCAAATGGGGACGGCGGACACGGAGATGGAAGACCTGCTAGAGACCGAACAAATGGAGTCGCTGGGCACGGGCGTCGCGACGCACAGGGGGGGAAGGGAGATTGATCACATAATAGTCGACGCGCAGACACGAGCACGAGCAAGCGAGGCGGAGGTCATGCCAGGAGAGAAAGACGATCACAAAATTGTACACGCCGACATCATACTCGCAGAGGAGAACGCCGACGAAGGACAGCACAGGCGGATTGGAGTAAAACTAGACGACTGGGACGAGGCGGAATGGGCGACGTACGTGACTGAGACGGGGTCCATGAAGAATATGTGGCAAATAGGAGGAGAGACGTGGAAAAGGACGGGAGGAGGGAAATCATACATCGAAGAGGCACAGGCTATGATGGAAGCGGCGGCGACGGCGATCCGGAACAAGCGAAAGAAGGGCAAGACGCGACGAGACGAGGACGGGGACGAGGAGCGGCCAGCGGCGAAGACGCACCGCGCGTCGCTCTGTGAACAGATTGGCCGGTGGTCGAGGCTGGCGAGAGAGGCGGAACGGTACCGAGGGGAGACGGGAGAGGACGCAAACGATATCGGGGACGCAGAACAGCGCAGAATCTACAAGGCACTGTGGCACCACGCAAAATTAAGAAAGGTGATCAAGCGGGAGAGGCACGGAGGCGATGCGGCGAGGGCGCAAGCCGCGCGGGATGCATGCCGACACCATCTGCAGAAAATGAGCAAACGACTTGAGAAGATGGACTCGACGGAGAGGGCGGTGGGGGAGAGAGCGGCGGTGCACGAGCTGGAGCGACTAATAACGACGACAAAGCAAGGACTGATACGAGACGTATTCAGGATACTAAACCGAGCGAGGGGACGCAGGACCGCACGAACGGCGAAGATAACGAGAATCATAGAGAAAGCGCCCCCGCCGCAACAAGGACCGGACATAACGCACGAGGAGCCCGCGGCAGTGAGGGCGGCAGCGGCCAGACACGGAGAGCGGACGCTCAGGGCCGTCCCAGTAGCGACGAGGGTCATGGCGACGCTGATAAAAGAATTACTGCCGCAGAACAGCGATGGCGGCGGCGGCGACACCAGTGGCGCACAGAGTGGGACGGAAGAAGACGAACGAGACGACACGACCAGCGTGGTGGAGAGAGTGTGCTCGTGGGAGAACTTCAAACGAGCCCTCGCAAAGTGCAAGGCCAAGAAGGGAACGGGGAAGGACGGCTTCAACGCGTACCTACTGCTGCGTGCACCAGAGTGGTTGCAACGAGCATTAACACCAGACAGCGAGAGGGGCAGGGAGGAAAGGGGGAGAGAGGAAGCCAACGCGACGTGCGCAGAGGATGAGGATATAAACTGGGACGACGCAGCGGAGGGGATAGGCGAGGGAATCGAGGGACCGGAGGGCTTTCGCGACAGCGACGATGACGACGAAGAAAGGGGAGGGGACGGAGGGGCGACACGCAGGAGGAGCGAAATCGCTAACGGCCCGAGCAGAGAGGGCGACGGCGGGGCACGAGGGAACAACGGAGACGCTACCGATGACGCGAACCGAGGCACGGACGCCGGCGGGGACGGGGAGGGCGACAGCGACGTCGAGGTTGACGCAACCGTATCGAGAGCGCCACCCAAAAAGGGGCGGACAGCCATGGAGGTCACCGAATGGAGGGCGAACGGCACGATACGAAAAGGCAGGGCGAGGCGGATGGAGAAAGAAGTGCCGAGAAGGCCATGGTGGAGGGGAGGGACGGGAGGACGAAAGAAGGGCGAGGAGGACGAGCGGCCCGCACAGACCGCGAGCAGACAGCGCCTGCTGGCCATTTCGAGACATTCGCCAAGAACGCTAGCTACATGGGAGGGCTTCGTGAAGGATGGATTGAAAAACATTCGAACAAAGAAGAGGCGACGGGAGGAACCGGCGGAGGATGCAGTGACGTGACACACACACACACACACACACACACACACACACACACACACACACACACACACACACACACACACACACACACACACACACACACACACACACACACCACACACACACGCACACACACACACCGCTCACCCACGCGCACTGGGCCTTGCACTTTGAATGCCGTGGGGCTCCTGTCGTCAGACGTGGAGACGCGAGGGTTGCCCCCCCTTGCCCCACCACCTCGTGTGTGTGGAGAAGTTTACCTTACCTTACCTTACGCTGTCGAGCGCGCGCGCGCGCGCGGCGCGCCGAAAGGCCGATGAGCGATGTCCCGCAACGCAAACACACACAAATCGACCACATCGTATCAAATCGAGGTGTTTCCCACGTACCACCGGTGCGCTCTCGGCGCCCCCCGAGCTGTCAGATCGATCTACCTACGGTAGGCTGCACCTCCGGCACGCGCCACGGCGCTGCGGCAGCGCGGGTCCACCCTTCTCGAGCCGCCGCTGCCCGTGGCTAGAACCCGCCCCCCTCCTGGTCGCGCAACTGCCGCATCCGGGCGCGCAGCAGCTGCTCCTGCTCAAACTCCCTCCACCTCGCGGGCAGGCCGGTCCTAAAGGCAGCAAGGCACCACGGCGGGTCAGTTCCGTCCTGCAGAGCGGACAGCACCGACTCCCTCACTGTCGCCTCTGCCACAGACTCCTCACCTTGCCAGTCACCCCGCGCCGCTCGAGAAGCGCAAGCAGCGACCTGCCCAGCTCGACCGCCCGCCGGCCGGCTGCGCTCGCCTTGCCGCTGCAGTCGAAGCGCGCGTCAAACCGTCTCGCGCGGCGCGGGAGGTCGAGGCGCCGCCACCGGCCGCTCAGATCGTACCGTGCGTCGGCGGCTCTCCACGCGCGCACCGCCCGCGCGCGCGCCGCAAGGAAGGCCGCCCAGGCCTCCCAGCCGGCCGCGCGGCTTCGCTCCCCCGCAGCGCCGTCGGCGGTGGAGAGGAGCGGCGCGAGCTGCGAGCCGAGTACGCCGCCCAGGAAAGCGTTGCCCGACCCCGCGAGGAGCAGCGATCCGCCCACGGCGCCGAGCAGGCACAGGCCCTGGAGCTCCTCGCGGACGGGCTCGTCCGCGCGCTTCATCTCCGACATGCGCCGCATCGCGCGAGGGTCGAGGCCGAAGCCGCCAAACGTGGCGAACGCTTCCGCACGCGGTGCCGCCTGTGCAAAGCAGGCGGGCGGGCGAACGCCGATGGGGAGTTGCCGTGGAAAGCCGGCAGCCGGCGGCGCGAGCTGAAAGGCAAAGAGAGCCACAGCGTGGCGCATGGAGCAGTTGGAGGTCTCACCCCTCGGCGCGAGGCAGGAGGCGAGCGACGCCTTCCCACGCTGTTCACAGCGTGTATCGGCCTGCGAGCAAATGTGTAATGAGAAATCCCTTTGTAGGCGGCGTTATATTTAGGCGGCGTGCCGTCTTCCCATCCCTCCCTTGGCGTCCTATTTTGTTTCTTTTTCCCTTTGAGTTTCCACCCATACCCACAACCCCACCGAAAATTGAATTCTCGCGTGTGAGAATTGAATGAAAATCGATTGAAACTTGCTCCTCTGTTCGGGCCCGCTCAGAGGCGCCCCGCGCCCGTGCGGCGCGCCGAGGCGGCGCCGAGGCGAACTTGTGGGAGTGCGGCCCATGGGCGAGGTGCGCCTGCGGCATGGGCTGACACACCACACCCGCCGGCATGTCGAAGGCGGGGAGCGGGGCCCGAGTGGCAGCATCCCTCTGCTCACGCCCTGGCGCCAGCTCAATGCGAGTCTCCACCTGAGTGGGCTCTCGCCCGAGCGGTGGACTCGCAGTGACGCATTCGATATCAGAAAGGTGAAACACGTCAATGGCACATGCCCTGCCCTGAAGATCGTCCTCACGTCCCTGATGCGCTCATCCGCGTCAACGCGGCGAGGCCTCCCAACGGCCCAATCGCCGCGCCGCAAGGGGGCGCCCCCGCTGCCGCTCCCGCGCCCGCCGCGCCTGCCGCGCCCGCTCAAGCCGCCGCCCCGCGACGCTCAGCCCGGATTGCAGCTCGCGGCGCGCCATGACCGAGCTCCACAACGAGCTCCTGTTCATTATCTCCCCTTTCTCTCTCTCCGCCCACTCGGCCGCGCTTTGACCCCTTCACTGGATCATCTTAGCGCGCAAGTCTTGCCAACAAGCAAGACCATCCTTCGCGAAGACGCAAGGTTGGACGCTTAGCCAGCCCCGCGAGACGCCGGCGGGTAACCGGCATACCTACGCTCAGACACATTCACACTCTGCTGTTGTTGTCTGCCGCATCCTCATTCATGAAGACTGCGGAGACAATGGGGGAGTGTTGGAGAGTGTGAACTCAAACCTACTTCCTGACCGTAGCCTGACCGTCCTTGTGTAACCGTCTCATGTTTGGTTTGTCCTGCCGCGCACATTGTCATCGACTTGTATCCGACTTGGTGGCTGTGGTGATGTAGCGATGGTGTGGGTCTCTAGTGACCTATACAGCTCCTCCGTGTTCCGTCTCATACACCCACCCTACGGGCTTGGAGCCCCGAACCCACGCTGTGCGATGCACACCGACTCGGTCTCTGACAGAGACAGCAGCCTGCGAAGCGTGCGAGTCGGCCTGCTTTCCGTCCGCCGCTGCCTGCCGGAGCGTGTAAGACGCACCTTGGAGGCGCGGCACCGCCTGCTGCTCGAGGAGAGGCAGCACTCCCGCGGCACGAAGGTAGACTTCCCAGCGCGGCCGTCTCTTGAGCGGCGCTCCTTCGACGAGAGAGACAGCGCCGTGCCGCTGGGCCGGTTGCTGCCGCTCCCAATCACGCGCCAGGCGACGAGCGACCCGGGCGGCGCCGATCCCGCTCTCTCCCGCGGCGCATCGACGGCGCTGGCGCGGCTTCGTACGACTGAAGAGCCGTATGAGCTCACGTTTCGCGACTGCAGCTACGAGGTGCGCGTGCCGTCGCGCGAAGGGACGGCCTGCGGCTGCGACCGCTCGGTCTGCAAGCCGATCCTCCACGCAGTGTCCGGCTCCGTGGCGGCCGGCAAGGTGGCGTTGAATCATCAGCGTTGCCGGCAGAGAGTGTGAAGAAGTCCTCCTCCTCTTCACACCTGCCCGCCGTGAGCAGGTGCTAGCCGTGCTCGGCCCGTCCGGCGCCGGCAAGACCACCCTGCTCTCGATGCTCACGCTCGAGCGGCGTGGCGGCGTCGGCGTCGGTGACATCGCACGAGTAGGACGGGAGGGGCTGCTCAGAAGTTGCTCGGAACCTTCTCTGAATCTACCTGCAGGCGACATAGCGCTGGGCGGTCAGCCGCTGACGACTGAGGCGTACAGGCGGCACTGCGCTGTCGTGCAGCAGCAGGCAGCGGGAGATGCGGCGAGATATGAGATCGAGATCTGGCCGAGAGAGCGCGGGAGTTCGCCTCATCACTGCGCGTGTCAACTGCAGCCCATCGCTGCGTGAGCTGCGTCTTGGTGCGTTCACTCATGTTTGGACTCATCAGGACCACCACTGGGCGTGCCTATCTGCTCGCGACCACCTGCGGTACGCGCTGCAACTGTACCGGCCGCACCTGCGGCCAAGCGAGAGGAGGGCGGCGACGGAGCAGCTTCTCGAGGCGACGGGCTGACTCGTCGCTCCTCATCCCTGCTCTTCCCTGCTCTTCTCGGCTCTTCTCGGCTCTTCTCGGCTCCTCTCGGCTCCTCTCGGCTCCTCTCGGCTCCTCTTCTCGGCTCCTCTCGGCTCTTCTCGGCTCTTCTCGGCTCCTCTCGGCTCCTCTCGGCTCCTCTCGGCTCCTCTCGGCTCCTCTCGGCTCCTCCCGGCTCCTCCCGGCTCCTCTCGGCTCCTCTCGGCTCCTCTCGGCTCCTCCCTGCTCCTCTCGGCTCCTCTCGGCTCCTCTCGGCTCCTCTCGGCTCCTCCCGGCTCCTCTCGGCTCTTCTCGGCTCCTCTCGGCTCCTCTCGGCTCCTCTCGGCTCGCTCCTCTCGGCTCCTCTCGGCTCCTCTCGGCTCCTCTCGGCTCCTCTCGGCTCCTCTCGGCTCCTCCCGGCTCCTCTCGGCTCCTCTCGGCTCCTCTCGGCCCCTCTCGGCTCCTCTCGGCTCCTCCCGGCTCTTCTCTGCTCCTCTCGGCTCCTCTCGGCTCCTCCCGGCTCCTCTCGGCTCCTCTCGGCTCCTCTCGGCTCCTCTCGGCTCCTCCCGGCTCCTCTCGGCTCCTCTCGGCTCCTCTCGGCTCCTCTCGGCTCCTCCCGGCTCCTCTCGGCTCCTCCCGGCTCCTCTCGGCTCCTCTCGGCTCCTCTCGGCTCCTCCCGGCCCCTCCCGGATTGGCTGCCAGCACACGCGCGCCTGTCCCTGAAGTGTCGTCGGACCCTTCCTGCAGGCGACCGGCCTGGTCGGCTGCCAGCACACGCGAGCAGGGTCTGCTCTCGTCCCGATTACCGGCGGGGGGACGGGCTCTCCTCGGGGCCAAACTGGTGGCATGCGGTCGTCAGCTAGCGAGTGGATGGCGGCGTAGGCGGGGGGGGGCTCTCCTCGGGGCAGCGGCGGCGCCTCTCTCTCGCGATCGCGCTGACCAAGCAGCCGTCGATGATCTTCCTCGACGAGCCGACGTCGGGGCTCGACTCGGCGGCCGCCGCCAAGATCATGCACTTCCTCAAGGTGACGGCCAAGCAGACCAACATCCCGATCCTGTGCACGATCCACCAGCCGTCCGCCTCCGTCTACGAGGGCTTCGACGACGTGCTCGTCCTCGCGGCGGGCCGCGTCGCCTACTTCGGCGCCGCCGCGCAGATGGGCCCGCCCTGACCAGCCGCCGTCGAGATGGGCCGAGATTGCGCGAGGTGAGCCGAGATTGTCCGAGATCGTAGGCGGCCATCTCGATCGGCTCGGACACCCGCTGCCGTCCACCGCCAACCCGGCCGACTCCACCATGCTCGACTTGGTCCGCGATCTCAGCAGAGTCGAGAACTGTACGAGCGGTGGGCTCTGTATAGGTGTGAAGAGCCGGAGGTGTGAAGAGCCGGAGGTGTGAAGTACTGTACGAGCGGCGGGCTCTGTATAGGCGGAGTTCATGCTCGACTTGATCAACCGCGACTTCTCGTCGCCAGAGGCTGTTCACAGCACCTGTTCACAGCACCTGTTCACAGCACCTGTTCACAGCACCTGTTCGTCGCCCGAGGCGGTGGACGCGATCTTGGACGCGTGGGAGGAGGAGGGGCGGGGCGAGGAGGTGGCGAGGCCGCCGACGCGCGCAATCATGACACGGCCGCCGCGTCGCGCGCGCCAGGAGGCGCAGCTGTGGATCCTGCTGCGCCGGCATGCCCTCCTCGCCTTGCGCGAGCCGATGCTGTACACGGGTCGGCTCGGCCTGTCCTGAAGTCCTCCCTCCTGCTCTCGTTGACGCTCGCAGCGGTGAACTGGTCCTAGGCCGGCTCGGCCTCATCCTGTCCGCAAACGCGTTCATCTCGATGGTCTACTTCCACACGCGCGAGCAGGTGCAGGAGCAGGTCGTGTACCTAGACACTTCCTAGACACTTCCTAGACACTTCCTCTTCACACCGCGAGCAGGTGCAGGAGCAGGTCGTGTACCGCCTCTACCTCTTCGCCTTCACGCTCGTGGTGCCGCTCGTGTTCCACGCCGTGGTCGTCGTCGCGCTCAACAACGAGTGCGCGGCCACCAGGCGCTCCACGAGGCGGCGTGAGCGGCGCCTCTTCACACCTCCGGCTGTGAACAGGTGCTCGAGATCACAGAGTCGGTGGCAGGAGAGTGAGCGGCGCCTCTTCACACCTCCGGCTGTGAACAGGTTCTCGGCCATCCGGCGCGAGATCAAGGAGGGGATGTACGGTCCGCTGCCGTACGTCCTCGCCACCACCGCCGTGCAGGCTGCGATGGCCTTCGCCCTCGCCGTCTGCTCTCTGCTGCCGGCGTACGCAATCACGCTGCTGCCGTGGTCGTCCTTCCCGGTGGCGGTTCCGGTGGTGGCGGCGATGCTCGTAGCTTACGAGTGCCTCGCCCAGCTCTGCTCGCACGTGCCGTCGGTCCTGCTCGGGATGGTGCTGTACCTGATCGCCTTCTTGATCACCTTCCTCTTCTCGGGCCTCTTCTGGCAGCCGTCCGCGGTGGAAGTCGTCAGTCACTCCATTCCGATCAATCAGCGAGTAGGCCTCTTCGTCAAGCAGTCCGCCGTGCACTACCCCCTCCGCCCGCTGCTGCTCGCCAGCCCGATGCGCCTCGGGTACGCGGCCTTCTCCAAGGTGGACTCCATGCTGTGATGCCTCTCGGCTCATCTCGGCTCACCTCGGCTCACCTCGGCTCATCTTGGCTCATCTCGGCTCATCTCGGCTCACCTCGGCTCACCTCGGCTCACCTCGGGTACGCGGCCTAAGGTGGTGTTCGAGGCGAGCCCGCCGTATGGTGGGGCGCTGGAGTGCGAGGACTGCCCGATTGCGCTCCGCATATTCGGGCGCTGCGGCAACACAGCTGCCGCCCGAGGAGCAGCGGCACCCGGTGTGAACGGCGTCTCTTCACAGATGTCCGCTGTTCTACAGGCAAACACACAGCTGCCGCCCGGAGAGCTGCAGGGCACAGGAAAAGAAACACCACGTGCGTCGTTCGTTCTCAGGCAACAAGCTGCCGCCAGAGGAGCAGCTGCAATGTGACGCGCAGACCGACGAGTTCCCTCGAGGCTTCTACTGCCCCGGCTCGACGATCCTTGATTGATGACTACTTCACATTCAATCATTACTCAGGCTTCTACTGCCCCGGCTCGACCATCCTGCAGTGCTTCGGCATCACGGGCGAGCAAACCACGCACGCACGCTCTCCGCCATACTCGTGGGAGCACCGTGGCAGAGGCCTCTTTAAGCGCTCGTTCTCAGGTGAGCAGAGATCCTTAATCAATGACTAGTCAATGCTGATTAAGTCTCTCCTAGCGATCGCCCGCAGGTGAGCAGATCCTCCGCACGCTCTCCTTCATGTACGACGCCGCCGACGCCGACTGCGACGTGTACGCGGCCACCGCAAAGATGCTGCTGATGGCGCTCGCCCTCAAGCTGCTCTGCCTCTCCGCCCCGTGAACAGCGCCTCTTCACAGCCGCTGGCTGTGAGCAGGCCCTCGCCCTCAAGCTGCTCTACCTCTCCGTGTTTGTACTGCGCTGCAGAGCGGGCGACCCGCCCGCGCCGCGGCAGCACGGAGGCGTCACACGCCCCCGCGCTGGCACGGCGAGCCGCCCATCCACAAGCAGCTCAGCCCTCCCTCCCTTTCGCTCGTTGGGGTAGGTGCCGCCCGCGCGCTTGGTGGCACGCCCCCGCCCTCCGAGCCGCGGACAACCATCGGCCGCAAGACGCTCGCGCGAGTCGCGTCGGTGGAGCGAGCGCACACGCAGCCTCTCTCGCCGCCGTCTCTAGCCACCACCCCGGTGGCGATGGGACCGTCAGGTCGAGCGAGCGACGCCCCCGTCCACGCCGCCCCCCTCGTCGGAGAGGACGTCGGCGCGCCTCTCTAGCTGAGATGAGCCGAGATCGGCCGAGATTAGCCGAGATAAGCCGAGATTAGCCGAGAGGACGTCGACGCGCCTCTCCGTCCGAAGCACCGGAGGGTCGCAGGAAGCAGACGCTCCCCCGTTCGGAAGCGATTCCTAGGCGCGCCTCTCCAGCCGAAGCACCGAAGGGTCGCACGTCGTTGCGCCGCCAGACTCGCCCGCCGCCGCCGCCGTCGCTCGGTTCGCATCTTTCGACCCGGCGGCGAGGCGGCCGTCGATGGACAGGCCTTGCAGCAGTAGATGAGGAGCGCTACGTAGTACCGATCTGTTGCAGCCCCCTCGCCGTATTCCAGACACCCCCTAGACACTTCCTACACTTCCTCGCGCGTGTGTAGTCTGACGAGCGCTCGCCGTATTCCGGACACTTCCTAGACACGTCCTAGACACGTCCCGGACACTTCGAGGACTTGTCGCAGGCTTCGCACCAACCGGACGCCATACGAGCTCACGCTCCTCGACTGCTCGTACGACATCCGCGTCTCGGAGGCCGCGCCCCCTAGACCCATACCTCCAGAGTATCGAATCCAGTGTGTCCCATACCTCCAGAGCATCGAACCGAGGGTGTGGGTTCAGTACCGTGGGTGGTGTGGTGGTAGGCGGCGGCGGCGGGCGGGAGGCACGGCGCTCGACGCGCCGCCTCGCTGCAGAGCTGCCTCCCGTCGACCCTCTGCCTCGGCCACTTCCTACTTCCTAGACAGATCCTACTTCCTAGACACTTCCTAGACACTTCCTAGACACTGCCTCCCGTGGAGCCTCTCTGCTTCAATACACTGGCCGCCGTCTCGTGTCTCTAGGCTCGACCCGACCGAAGCAGCTGCTGCGAGACGTGTCCGCGTGTGTGCGCGCCGGCCACGTGCTACCCGTCCTCTATGTGTGAAGAGGTGTGTGAAGAAGTCCTTCCTCTCTTCACGCCTGCCCGCCGTGAGCAGGTGCTAGCCGTGCTCGGCCCGTCCGGCGCCGGCAAGACCACCCTGCTCTCGATGCTCACGCTCGAGCGAGGCACACACACACACACACACACACACACACACACACACACACACACACACACACACACACACACACACACACACACACACCTCACCCACGCGCACTGGGCCTTGCACTTTGAATGCCGTGGGGCTCCTGTCGTTAGACGTGGAGACGCGAGGGTCGCCCCCCCTTGCCCCACCACCTCGTGTGTGTGGAGAAGCTTACCTCACCCTTACCTTGCTTTAGGCCCGGGCACCGCGCGCGGCAGCGTGACACTCAACGGGCAGCCCCTCACGCCTGACCGCTTCACGCGCTACTGCGCCGTCGTCGGCAACGCCGAGGACCACCCGCCCCTTGCCGGGCCGAGTTGTGAAGAGTCGTCCTCCAGCGAGCCGAGTCATCAAACCATTAGGACCACTGGCCGTTTCTGACGGCGCGCGACCACCTGCGGTACGCGATCGACCTGCACCGCCCCTCGCTGTCGCGCCAGAGCCGCCGTGCCAAGGTCGCGTAGCTGCTCGAGGCGACCCTAGGAACTTTCCAGGACCCGTCTGCGAACTTTCTCCAAGGTCGCGCAGCTGCTCGAGGCCACCGGCCTCTCTGCTTGCCGGCACACGCGGGCAGGCAGCGCTTTCGTGCCCGGGCTCTCCTCGGGGCAGCGGCGGCGCCTCTCTCTCGCGATCGCGCTGACCAAGCAGCCGTCGATGATCTTCCTCGACGAGCCGACGTCGGGGCTCGACTCGGCGGCCGCCGCCAAGATCATGCACTTCCTCAAGGTGACGGCCAAGCAGACCAACATCCCGATCCTGTGCACGATCCACCAGCCGTCCGCCTCCGTCTACGAGGGCTTCGACGACGTGCTCGTCCTCGCGGCGGGCCGCGTCGCCTACTTCGGCGCCGCCGCGCAGATGGGCCGCTACCTCGAGACGCTCGGGACACCACTCCCGCCCAACGCCAACCCGGCCGAGTTCATTCTCGACCTTGTCAACGCGGACTTCACCGACGCCGCGTCGGCACACCTCCCCCCCCCACCACCCCCACGCCGGCCACCCCTCCCGCCACCCCCCACCCCCCCCCACCCCACCCCACCCCGCCCACCCCTCCCCCCCCGCCTCCCTCCCCTCCACCTTTCCCGCCACGTGGCCGCGCCGTGACACGAGTGCATGCCAGGTGCACGCTATTCTCGCCGAGTGGCCGCGCCGCTCGCAGCGGCCCGTGCAGCGCGCGCCTGTCCGCATCGAGTCGGGCCCGCGCCGGGCGACCATATGCGAGCAGCTGTACGCCGAGCCTCGGGCAATCTCGCGTCATCTCGGGTGATCTCGCCCCGCAGGCGACCTTCTGCGAGCAGCTGTGCGCCCTCGCCCACCGGCACGCGCGGCTGACTGTCCGGGAGCCGCTGCTGTACGTGTCTCGCGCGGTGCTCAACGGCGGGACGATGAGCTTGCTTCTGCTCGATCGGCGGGTCGAGAGGCAATCAGTCAGCAATGCGTGACAGGTGGGACGATGAGCTTCTTCTGCTCGATCTACAGCGACACGCGCCGGCTCGAGCAGGGCCAAGTCCTCTCCAAGTCCTTCTTCTACTTTTGGATGGCACCGATCCCCGCCCTACGGCGGGTACAGTGGTAGTCACGCGGGCTACTGACGGGTCGCCGCTCATTCACAGGTCGCGATCCCCTCCTCCTTCTCGCTGCTGGCCGTGTACGCGCTCAACCTCGAGTTCGCGCACGTGCGCCGCGAGGTGAAGAACGGGATGTCCTCGCCGACGGCACGACATGTCCGGGACACGTCCATAGCAGCGTCCTGGACATGTCAACAGGTGAAGAATGGGATGTACTCGCCGATGGCATACGTCTTGGCCACGTCGGCGCTGCAGGTGGCCTTCTGCCCGCCTGCCTTGGAAATGGCCGGAACACTGTCATGGACATGTCATGCCCTCTGCCCGCCTGTGCGGGCGAATGAGGAGCGAAATCTCCATGGACGGTTGCAGGTGCCCATGGTCTTCGCCGTCTGCTTGTGCGGGCTGCTGCCCTCGTACGCACTGCTGGTGGGCCCCTCGTCATGGGGCTCCTTCCCGCTGGTGTTGCTCGTCTGCACGGCCAACCTGTGGGCCTTCGAGTGCATCGCGCAGTTCTTCTCCCTCGTGAGCAACCCTCTGCTCGGCATGCTGCAGTGCCTCTCGGTCTGGATCTGGTCGCTGCAGTTCTGCGGCCGCACCGCCCGGGCATTAACTTGTCATTGATGAGGCAGGAATTCACTCACTGACTAGGTCGCTGCTCTTTTGCGGGCTCACCATCCAGGGGCGAGACATCATCTGGCCGGTGCGGCTGCTGTACTACGCACTCCCTCTCAAGTGGGCTCTCTCGACGGCGATCTACGAGGTGGCCGTCCACTGCCCGGACTACGAGGGCACGTTCGAGTGCGACGTCGGCGACGACCCGACCTGCCCCAGCCGCGGCTTCAAGTGCGAGAGCACTCCAGAGGACCCGCTCGGCGTCATCTGCTTCGGTCGCAACGCGACGCAGATCATGGCGACGATGAACCAGCAGTTCCCCGCCTTCTCCACCGAGGACTCCTCCGCCCGCGACCTCTCGGTGCTCCTGCTTATCGGCTCCGTCTTCAAGATCGGCTACGTCGTCATCCTGCACCTCAAGTGCAAGATGGGGCGGCAGCCAGAGCCGCCGGGCGCCGCCTCAGAGAAGGTGTGAGATCGCGCGAGGCGTGCGCTATGTATTTTATCGAAGCCGCTTTTTGGAGACTGGTGGGTTTGCCATATGTGGCCGAAGGAGAGGTTGAGCGATTTCAGCACCCACCTGTGCCCATTGGGCTTTTTGGCCAACGCTCGGCCCTCGCCGTTTGAGCCCCCACGCCAGCGTCACCGGACACCCCCCGCTCCTCCACACGACACTCGACAGTGTATATGCTTTCCAACGGCGCCACTCCCCAGTGGCGGTACAGAGAAAAGAATTCCGTGCATCTCCACACCCGCATACCCGGGCACGAGGACTTCTAGCGGCAGGAGCCCCAAAATCAATGTGCAAGGCGCAGTGCACGTGGCGGTGAGCGACCTGCCCCCAAAGGACAGGCCCTAAGGGACAGGCCAGCTCCCGCAACAGAATGGGGCGTACAGTACGAACGCGAGACAGACAGACAGAAAGAATACAGCCACTAGTCCTTGTACATTGAGCGCCGCAGCTCCTCCTCGTAGTGGAGGGGGTATCGCGGGACCGGCTCTGGTTCCCACCAGCAGGGGCGCGCCGCCTGCCCGGGACTAGCCCTCAGAACTGCACGCCGTCGCCCGCCGTCGAGCCGCGTCCTCCCCCGAGGTAGGGCTGCGTGTAGACCGGCCCGCGGTACCTAGAGGTGCACGGAGTCGCCGGCCGCGTTGTCAGTCGCGCCGCCCTGGTAGGGGAGGGTATACACTGGCCCGGTGTACCACGGGTGGTCGACCGCGTTGGCGCCCGTGTACCCAATCAGGTCGAGCAGCCTCTCGCCAAACGTCATCATCACCTCGTGCGGCATCGACCTACACGGACATGTCCCGGACATGTCCCGGACAGCTCCCGGACATGTCCCGGGCGCCGCCACCCTCGCGCAGGATCGACCAGTGAGATCTCGGGTCTCGGCTGCGCCTCTCGGCTGCATCTCTCGGCTGCACTTCTCGGCTGCGTCTCTCGGCTGCATCTCTCGGCTGCGTCTGGACCAGTGGAAGTTGTGCTCGGGCTTGAGGTAGCCGAGGTTGTAGATGAAGAGGAGCCTATTCAGTTCTTCACCCATCCATTCCTGAACTCATGAGTTAGTTCAGCCGAGGGTGTAGAGGAAGGAGCAACCCGCGGCGCGAGGCCGTGTTGCCCTTCCGCTGCCCCGAGGCGCCGTGCAGCGTGCCGCCCGCCCAGAGGACGCACGAGCCCTTCCGCATCGCCGCCTGCACCGCGTGGGCCGCGTCGGAGACGCCGGGCGGCAGCTCCGCCTCGCCTAGAAGGTTCCTAGAAGGCTCCTGGAAGGCTCCTAGACGGCCCGTAGAAGGCAGCCCCGCCTCGCCGTAGCCGTCGCCGTCGCGGTACCAGGTGTGGCTCCCCGGGAGGAAGCGAGTGGCGCCGTTGCCGGCGGTGAAGTCGGCGACGGCCCACCTGCGGGCGAAACTTCCGAGGAGGTTCAGAGAAGGTTCCGAGAAGTTGCCGGCGGTGAAGTCGGCGACGGCCCACCTGCGGGCGAAGCTTCCGAGGAGGTTCCGAGAAGGTTCCGAGGAGGTTCAGAGACTGGCCCGAGGTCGCGGTCCAGCCGTGCACGAGACAGAGAGTGCCCTCGGGGTAGACTCTCGGTCAATCTGGCGCAATCTCGCGCAACCTCGGCCACTCTCGGTCAGTCTCTAAGCCCACATGCACGAGACGGAGAGCTGCGGGCGGCCCTCGAGCGGCGTCTGCGGCAGCCAGCGCCATGACGAGGCCCCCCACCTGCGGGGGAGTAGCCGAGATCGCCCGAGATTGCCCGAGATTGCCCGAGATTGCGCCACGGCGAGGGACCGCCCCCCACCTGCGGGGGAGACTTCCGAGAAGGGTCCGAGAAGAGCCTCTGGCAGCGGGGCCGTGCCGAGGGCGGCCCGCACATCGAGTCGTCGCGGTGTAGGACCTGGGTGAGAGAGCGAGAGATGGACCGAGATGGACCGAGATGACCCGAGGTCCACACCCGAGTTCGCTCATCGCGGTGCAGGACCTGGTTGGCAGCTAGACCCCACGCGGAGTGGCTGGGGATCAGCCAGTCAGTGGTGCACGCGGAATCGCACGGGGGTGTGGCACACGCGGAATCGCACGGGGGTGTGGCACACGGGGCGTTGGCTAGGAGCCGACAAGCGTGAGACATCCACCCCGGGGGGGCCACAGTATGGGGGGCCACACAGCCCACCACCAGCAGCCAACTCACCACCGCCGTCCCCATCTTCATCCGCTATCACTCGGAGTCGGGGGCAGGACCTGGCTGCCGCACGGCTCGTCGTCAATCTCGTGCAATCTCGTCCAATCTCGGTCAATCTCGGCAGGACCTGGCTGCCGCACGGCTCGTCGTCTCCCAGCGCCCCGTGAGGCTCGACCGAGATGCACGAGCCTACGTGACCCCATACCTCCAGAGTCTCGAATCCAGTGTGACCCATACCTCCAGAGTATCGAATCCAGTGTGCCCCATACCTCCAGAGTATCGAATCCAGTGTGTCCCATACCTCCAGAGTATCGAATCCAGTGTGACCCATACCTCCAGAGTATCGAATCCAGTGTGCCCCATACCTGCTGAGTATCGAATCCAGTGTGCCCCATACCTCCAGAGTATCGAATCCAGTGTGCCCCATACCTCCAGAGTATCGAATCCAGTGTGACCCATACCTCCAGAGTCTCGAATCCAGTGTGCCCCATACCTCCAGAGTATCGAATCCAGTGTGTCCCATACCTCCAGAGTCTCGAATCCAGTGTGCCCCATACCTCCAGAGTATCGAATCCAGTGTGTCCCATACCTCCAGAGTATCGAATCCAGTGTGCCCCATACCTGCTGAGTCTCGAATCCAGTGTGTGGGTTCAGTCCCGTGGGTGGGGCGGTAGCAAAGGTGGGAGAGCTGACCGAGCCCACGTGCTACCAGGGCAGGCATGCGGGTGTTGAGAATGCAGTGTACACGGCGGAGTACGGCGGAGTGTGCAGTTGGAGAAATTGAACCAAGAATGCGTATTCAGCTTCTGGGCGCACGAGCAAGTTCCGAGGCAGACCTGAGGAGCGAGAGATAGCCGAGGTAGAGCCGAGATACAGCCGAGATGTAGCCGAGATGTAGCCGAGATGTAGCGTACAGCCGAGGCAGACCTTCTTGCACCACGGCCCGAGGAGCGCCTCGACGCCGCCGAGCACCTACGGGGAAGGCTCCGAGAAGCTTCCGAGAGCTCCACGAACAGAGCAGAAGCCTCGCCGCCGCCGAGCGCCGTCGGGTGGACTGCCAGCTCCTGGACTGTGGTCGACTCGCCGAGCGGTTTGGCGGCGTTTCGTCGCGTGTGGTGGCCCGCAAAGGAGTGCTGCGCACCGGCGGGGAGTGCTCGCGTCATGGCGCGAGGGCGAGGCGAGGGGAGGCCCGAGCGCAGTAGTGCGCTTGGCGCCTTTCCGCCGACAAAGGTGCCACCCACCCCGTCCAATTCGGCGACGACGCGATCCATGACCTCTCCCGGAACGGCCTCGTCGATGACTACTACTCCGTGCGAGCGCAGCAGCGCGCACACCTCGGACGGGGTGCAGGTCTTGCCATCCAGCCGAGGGAGCTCCATCACAGGCGCGCGCATCCGCTTGTGCCGCTTGTAGAGGAGGTAGCCGGCGGCGAGCGCGGCGGCTGCGGCGAGCGTGCAGGGGCCCTGCATGGTGTGTGTGTGTGTGTGTGTGTTCGGTACTTGTCCGCGAAAATCCCAGAGAGGCGCGACGGACGCCAGCGCACACGGCCGGCTGTGCCTCGACTGAGGGAGGGGGGTGTAGTGATAAATAAATAAATAACGTGAGGCCCCTCAGCGGAGCTGGGAAGAGGACCGCCGCAAGCGGCGTGGCGTGGAGCGGTTGTGCATCCCTCCGGGGGGCCCTCTGCGCCGGGGAGGCGTTGTTGGAGGCTAGGACGCAAGCGTCCGTCGCCCTTTTTCAAACTCGGGGCCCACTCCGCTACGCTCCGACCCGAATTTGGAGGGCCTGAAAGTTTAAGGTGTTGCTGCGCATCGCGGCGACGGTGCTTTCGACGCAGCTGCTCAGCTACGTTGCGCACACACGGGGTGTCGGGAGGTATTCGGATATCTCGGGTCGCCATGCCGTGAATGAACAGGCGCTTTATCCACCCTATATTCTTCTCTCGTTCCTCTGCCCGTGCCTTGGTCTTGTCGTCGTTTCGCACCCATGTCTGTAAATGGCAATCGAGGCTGCCTTCCCCACTACTCGAGTACCTGTAGTTCACGTAAACGCCTGTAGTTCCCCCCGCATGGAGAAATTCTTTTCTGCCCATCTTGTGCCACGCGACGGCGGGGTGAGCCCCGACTCGTTGACCTCGGAAGGCTTGGTGGCGAGGGCGCTGCTTGCTTATGGACAAGCCAGTCACGCTCGAGCCGGTCGCTGTGGTCGACAAGAAGGCCGAGAAGGAGCGCAAGAAGGCCGATCTCGCCGCCAAGCGCGCCGCGAAAAAGGCGGGGAAGGAGGCGGCGGCAGGCCAGGTGGATGTGGCGTCGCTCTCGCTCGGCGACGTGTCTACGCCCGGATCCTCCGCGAAGCTGACCTCGGAGCAGCGCCGCGTCGCCGCCAACCGTGCCGTCACCGGCGTCCTCGCCTCTATGCCGGCGGCACGCGACATCAAGTTTGCATCCTTCTCCGTGTCGGTCGGCGGGCGGCAGCTGGTCGCCGACTCAAACCTCGAGCTGACGCAGGGGTGCCGCTACGGCCTGCTTGGCGACAACGGCTCCGGCAAGTCCAACGTGCTGGCCGCTGTCGCACAGCGCGAGGTGCCGCTGCCGGAGCACGTCTCGGTCTACCACTTGCACGAGGAGGCTCCTCCGACCGAGTTGAGCGGCGTCGAGGCCGTCATTGAGCATGTCCGCGCCGAGGTCGAGATGCTCAAAGCCGTGTCTGAGGCCCGGCACGAGTGCGAACGGCGTCTCATCACACCTCTAGCTGTGACCAGGTCGAGCGGCTCGAGGCCATGTCGGAGGCGATCCTCGAGGCGGTCGGGCCAGAGGACGAGAGGCTCGAGGCGATCAACGACCGGCTAAGCGAGCTCGACCCGACCGGCTCGGAGCCGCGCGCGCGAAAGATCCTGTCGGGTCTCGGGTTTGCGGACCACCTCGTCCCGATGGACAGGCCGACCAAGCACATGTCTGGCGGCTGGCGGATGCGCGTCGCGCTCGCCCAGGCGCTCTTCGCTGCGCCAGAGCTGCTGCTGCTGGACGAGCCGACCAACCACCTCGACCTGGAGGCGTGCGTCTGGCTCGAGGAGCACCTCGCCTCGTACCCGAAGTGCCTCCTCCTCGTCTCGCACAGCCAGGACTTTCTGAACGCCGTCTGCACGCACACGCTCTGGCTGAGCGGCCGGCTGCTGCGGCTGTACGGAGGAAACTACGCCAAGTTCGTGCAGACGGTGGAGGAGGAGGAGAGGCTGCAGCTCAAGGTGTACGAGAAACAGCAGGCCGACATCGACAAGCTCTCCGACTTTGTGCGCGTCAACAAGGCGAACGGCGTCGCCTCCTCCGCAAAGTCGAAGAAGAAGGTGCTCGAGAAGCTCGAGACGGGCGCGGTCGAGAAGCCGAAGCTGCGCGAGCCCTCCCTCACTTTCTCCTTCCCCGAGTGCTCGCGATTGGCGCCGCCCGTCCTCCCCTTTGACGACGTCTCCTTCGCGTACCCTGGCAGCGAGCCGCTGTACGAGGCGCTCAACTTCGGCGTCGACTGCGACAGCCGCATCGCGCTGGTCGGTCCAAACGGCTGCGGCAAGTCGACGCTGCTCAAGCTCATGTCGGGTGAGCTGAGCCCGACGGAGGGGTCCGTCAAGAAGCACCAGCATTGCTCCCTCGGCCTCTACCATCAGCACTCGACCGACGTGCTCGACCTCGACATGGCGCCGCTGCCCTTCCTGCGGAAGGTCTTCCCGCCCTCCGTGGTCAAGCACACCGAGGAGTGGTGGCGCGGCTACCTTGCCACGTTTGGCTTCTCGCCGGAGCAGCAGCAGAGCCCGATGGGCATGCTCTCCCACGGACAGCGCTCGCGGATCGTCTTTGCGATGCTCGCGATGAAGGACCACACGGTGCTGCTGCTCGACGAGCCGACCAACCACCTCGACGTGGACGCAGTCGACGGCCTCGCCGCCGCCATCAAGGCTTTTGGCGGAGGCGTGGTGCTCGTGTCGCACGATTTTCGGCTCATCGACCAGGTGGCGGACGAGATCTGGCTGTGCGAGGACCGCGGCGTGCGGCGGCTGGAGGGTTCCATCCACGAGTACAAGAAGGCGCTCGCCAAGAAGATGAGCAAGCACAAGGTGGGGCTGAGGTGAGGGCCGCCCTGCTTTGGCCTTTGGGCCTGCTAGAGGAGCATTGATGGGTGTGGAGCGGTGTGAGTGGAGCAGTGACGAGCGAGCGAGCCCGCCTCTGCACGACTGTGCGCACATTCGAGCCGAAAAAGGGAGCGATTTCCGCGAGAGTCTGCACTACTCGGTGGGCGCGCGCTGTCTAGTTTCTTCATTCTTGAGGCAGCGAGTGACATGCGGTGACACAGATCACAGTCTGACACCAGTGGACTGGACACCGACGGACCGTCCAGCGCGCGGGCGTACTGACCCGTACTAGCTAAACTACCGCGTACCGGCCCGCGTACTCAAGAGACTCAAGAGGTACATGGACATGGGTCATGGCCTCATGGCGTGTGGGGGTGGATTTTCATCAAGATCTCTCAAATTTGCGGTGTGGATAGTTGGGGGGTGGGTTAGGTTAGGGTTATTAGGGTTAGAGGGTTAGGGTTAGGGTTAGGATTAGGGTTAGGGTCAGGGTTAGTCTTGTTGTGTCTGTATATGCCAGCGTTGCAGGGTTCTGCGCTGGGATCTGGCCCCAGCGCCGACGAGTAAGACTCAGCACCGCACGCTGACCCCACCAAATGCCGCCTCAGGGCGCCAGGCCGCCAGCCACCTCTTACACGCGGCCGGCGCCCTCTCGCGGCAAAAGGGTCGAGCGAGCGGGCAGAGTCGCGATGTCTGCGCACCCGCGTGCCGATGGGCGGCACACGCAACCGAGAGAGGCCCTGTCGCGCCGCCAGTAGCGTTCTCCGCACTCCCCACGCCACCAATTGCCGCCTCAGGGCGCCAGCCACCTCTTACACGCGGCCGGCGCCCTCTCGCGGCAAAAGGGTCGAGCGAGCGGGCAGAGTCGCGATGTCTGCGCACCCGCGTGCCGATGGGCGGCACACGCAGCGGAGAGAGGCCCTGTCGCGCCGCCAGTGTAGCGTTCCGCACTCCCCACGCCACCAATTGCCGCCTCGGGGCGCCAGCCACCTCTTACACGCGGCCGGCGCCCTCTCGCGGCAAAAGGGTCGAGCGAGCGGGCAGAGTCGCGATGTCCCTGCGCACCTGGGTGTTCGAACCTGGTTTGTGGAGCTCCCACAGATGTTCTGACAGAGACCTGGCCGTTCTGACAGCGTTCTGACAGCGTTCTGACAGTGTTCTGACAGCCGTTCTGACAGCTTTCCGACGGTAATTTACAGTTAAGACTCACCATCTGGTCTGAGTAAAGGAGAGCGATATCACAGTGTCGGTTACAGCAGAAAGATTCCTAATTCTCTCCACTACAAAAAAGTCTGGTGGGGAACCGACATCATGGCCCCGAATGCCGTGCTCTCTAGGTAATCTGTACGCCGCCTATATGCTCTATCCTGTGCCAAGACGGACACGTTTTGACAATCAAAATCTACCTCAAAATTTGCGGCCGCCCCTCGAAATTTGCTGATCAAAATTTGCGGTGGCCCGGATCGAAACCTGTACTTTGGCCAAAGGGGAGGGACGGGAGGACGAAAGAAGGGAGAGGAGGACGAGCGGCCCGCACAGACCGCGAGCAGACGACAGCGCCTGCTGGCCATTTCGAGACATTCGCAAAGAACGCTAGCTACATCTTGGGAGGGCTTCGTGAAGGATGGATTGAAAAACATTCGAACAAAGAAGAGGCGACGGGAGGAACCGGCAGAGGATGCAGTGACGTGACACCCCCCCCCCTCACACACACACACACACACACACACACACACACACACACACACACACACACACACACACACACACACACACACACACACACACACACACACACACACACACACACACACACACACACACACACACACACACACACACACACACACACACACACACACACACACACACACACACACACACACACATACCGCTCACCCACGCGCACTGGGCCTTGCACATTTAATGCCGTGAGGCTCCTGTCGTTAGACGTGGAGACGCGAGGGTCGCCCCCCCTTGCCCCACCACCTCGTGTATATGTGGAGAGTGGAGAAGTTTACCTTACCTTATACCTTATCATGTGGCGTGTCGGGGTGGACATATGACATGCGGAGGCGACAGAGGCGGAGGCGGCGGCGGCGACGGCGGAGGTGGGGACGGTGGCGGCGGCGGTCGAAGCGAGACGGGGCTCGGAGGGACGGAGCGGCGGCGTCACACTGGAGCAAGGCATGGGGCAGGAACGAGGTACAAACGGATGAATTGGTTGCTATCGCAAGATACGTCAGACGGAGGAAGGCGGAGGGAATGGAATGCGTTGCGGCAACAAAGAGGCTTGAGTACCTGGTGGAACAGAGGGGAGATGAGGGAAGACTGGTCGTTGAGAGGGTTGAGGAGGAGGGAGCGGGTCAAGTGGGTAAACGGGTGGATGGGTCGGGACCAGAGGCAGCTGGAGAAGAGCACACGACAGATGTGACGTTGGAAAATGCAGCGACAAAAGTGATGATACAGAAGATCGATGTTGAGTGTGCAAACGCAAATGGATTTCTGTTCGTACCAAACCCTAATGCAGTACGACGTCACATGGCCACAAAAGAAGGGAGATCATACAGGGAGGCTATGGCAGACTTCGACGAGGGGGACGGAAAAGATGGGCAGGTGGATGTCCATGGTCCAGCTTAAAGTAAAACAGCGGTTGGAGGAAGGGAGCGGAGTCTATATGGTGGTGGAGTCGCACTTGGAGGCGCGGAGAGGCGAGATCGTCCTCAATCTATTCAGGAGGTTTGGGATCGAGGGAGCTCACACTGGGGTGGAAGGTGGGCCCTCAAGAGCTGGTGGGAGGACCAAAGGTGGAGTGCTGATTTAGCTACCTCAAATGCCTCACTCCAGTCCATCTTCGAGCCCCTCTTCCTATTGAAGAAATAAGTATCTGCGTTTCTACCCAGACGAGTGAAATTACACTCGTCAACCATCCGATTGACAAACTGGTCATTGACATGTCCCCTCTCCCCCCAAATCTGATCAGACGTCCATTGGCGTCGCCACCGACACAGTGAGCATATTCGTTGAATTGGCTGATAGCTTCGTAGATTGCATCGTGAACCTTCCCTGCATTTGACCTGGCTTTAGACGTATCCGGACAGTAGGCGGTGTAGTACCTTTAGCGAATTGTCCACCGTACACCGCAGAAGTACCGACAGGACATGTCCCGCAGTTCCCACAACACTTTTCCCCACTTGAACGAAAGGTTAGCAACAACGGCGAGGGTGATGGGGCTTCATCCCTCCAAAATAGGTGCGTCTATCAAGGAGCTATGCCGAGAGGACAGGTGGATACTATGTCGCTGCGCGGCCATCACTGAAGAATGGGAGGAGAGAGGAGAGGATGACGGTCTATGCTTCATTAGAGTAGAGTGTGATGGGGGGGATGTCGGGAGGAGGGAGGAGGATAGGAGAGAGGTAGAGTTGAATGTAGTCCTACACGAGGCAAGTGCGCCGACAAGACTACGAGTGGGGGAGATCCGACTGCGGTGGGGACATCTCTATGGGTCGACGTGTGGAGACAATGGGGACTTCAAAGTGCTCCCGGTGTCATTCAAGCCGAACCAGGTGGCGGAGGAGGCGGGAGGGGAGGTGGAGAGTGAGGAGGAGGAGCCAGATGGGGAAAGCAGGGTGGTCTCGGGGTCGGGAGGGTCGAGCATGATTGACCACGTGTTCGTGAACGAAGCCTACAGGGTACAGGTGACGTGGGCGGGGATGCACGCGCCTCTTTCCGGAAGGTGCAACTACCACAAAGTTCTATGCCATCAAATTCGAGTTATTGGGGGCAGGGGAGCAGGCGAGACTACGGTGAGGGCGAAATTAACGGATATGGAGGATTGGAGGCGCTTCAGATCAGTGGCGAGCGAGGAGGTGAGGGGAGAGCTTGCGGGGGTCAATCTTCATCTAAAGGTGGTGGTAGTGCAATTCAGGAATGGTTTCATTGGGAGGACGACAGAACTCTCGTGAGTCAGACAATGGATGTGGTGCAGTCAGCTATCACGTATCAGAGTGACCCGAGGACAAATACCAACAGAGGTGGAGGGGGTACTGTCAAGGAGGCAGCTGGACAGCCTGGTTTTCGCATTTTATGCCAACGGAGGACTCAGTGCCGATCAGATAAAGGCAACACTACAGGGGGAGGGGGACACGGGAGCGGAAACATGCAGGACGATATGGAAGCGAGCATCAGAGAGGGCAGGCATTTGTGATATACAGAATGGGAAAACTCCGGTTCACCGCCTGCATGACATGTTGGTCTGCTAAGCACCCTCTACTGTGGGTGATTCCCACATCCCAGGGCAGTGGTCGACTTGGGACTCCTGCGCTCAACTGCATCGGGGCGGCGAGCTCCTGCAAATTGCTTCATCGGCACCGGCACCGAACACATTCGCATCGTTTGTGAGTTCGATGAGACGTTCAAGGCGTTCTGCGCTCTCTTCGATGGCAAGCTGAAGCTCGCGTCGCACCTCAAGCAATACGGCTGACGGTGGCGAAGCGCTGTATCCGGTCCCAGGGCCTCGACGGGCGGGGCGGGGCGGGGCGAGGATGCCAAAACGGCCCAGTATTCCACGCTGCGGCTTGCGGCAGACCTGTGGCGTCTCGGCGACCGGTGTCGACCAGTTGAGGCTCGTCTGATCACTACCTTCCGTGCCTTCAGCGAAGCTCCCTGCGCCGCCCCCTGCCGTCTGCGCGGCTTCGGCAACGGAGCCGTAGCCAGACGCCGAAGCGGCGCCGGCGCGCAGGTTGATGAGCGACTCCTGGATCTCGAGGCACTTGTCGGTGACGCGCGCCTGTTCGAGCTGCAGCGCGGAGATCTTCGTGTCCGTCGTGTTCTCACGCTCGCGCTCCTCCTCGACGAGCAAATCGGCGAGCCAGGTCGGGTCCTGCCACGCCATCGCGTCTAGTACCGCCTCGGGCAGCGTGTCCGAGAGCAGTGGCACGACCCTTGCGCCGCGTCGATAGCCGAGGCCCTGCGCACGAGAGTTCGACATGCGGCGCGGCTTCGGGCTGCTCGCAAGCCGCAGGTGGCGCGACTTCTTCCAGCAGCACGGGCGGATGAGCTCTAGGCAGCGGCGGCAGGCGCCGGCGAAGTTGCTGCAAAAGAGGCCCAACATGCCCTTCGAGATCTCGGCCACGAGGAAGGGGAGCGAGAAGGGGGGCGGGATCCAGTAGACGGACGACACAAACTCGTCGACGACGTAGACACGCGAATACTTCCACTCGTTGTTGGCCTCCTCCTTCATTCCACCCATCAGCATATCAATCATAGCGGCAACCATTGAGTTCACCATCACAATCTGCGGTAAAATGGCGGGGGAAGGGGTGGGGTCAGGGCGTCGCGACAGGGTGAGGCACGGACGCACGGTCCGCCAGGCGCCTGCGTGAGGAAGGAGAAGGACCACAGCAGCATCGGCCCGAGCCAGCCGCCCGCGACGCTGATGGTGTGCAGATCGCCATACTCACCGAACAGGGCCCACCACGGCAGCGCAAATGCGCCGTCGGTATCGAAGGTGTCCTCGCCAAGCGATGGCAAGACTGCGACAAACGCGGAGCAGAAGGCGGCCATGACGAGGCAGAGGATGAAGCTGAAGAGCATTACTTCCTTGGAGAGCTCCTTCAGGACGATCGAGAGCACGCCGATCTGCTTGTAGATTTGCAGCCACAGGATGGGCCGCACGAACGCGTAGATGGCGCACACCGCGAGCACCACCTGGGCGTACCACAGCGCGTCGCAGCCGCGGTACACGTTCGACCAGGTGTCGAGCGCGTCGAAGTTGCTGTTTTTGCCCACGTGCTCGATAGTCTGCGTGCCGAGCCCACTCACGTGGCAGAGCTGGCCGACAGTCAGGCGAACGGTTGAGGCGAGCGCCTGCGCGGTGAGCGTGATGACGTCCATCAAGTTGGCGGCCGAATCGAAGTGCACGGCGCCGGCGCGGAAGTGGGTGTACCACTGGAAGAGCTCCTCGACCCAAAGGCTGTAGCAGAAGATGGCGAAGACGAGCTCGAGCAGTCCGACGGTGAAGGTGCCCGGGTGCGACAAGAGCAACGTCGTGTAGACGGCGAGGAAGCAAAAGTACGACACCACCTTGAGCAGGAACTTGACGCGCGGCACGGCGAGGAACCAGCGCATGTTGAGCCACCGGATGTGGAAGAGGCCGCGCAGGCACTTGAAGCAGTGGAGGCAGCACAGGCAGGTGCAGCACTGCCCGCAGCAGTTGAAGCAGCACGCGAACAGGTTGTACACCCGCGTGCAGAGCCCGACCCCCGGCGCGAACGGGCTCGGGTAGCAGCAGCAGGGCGGAACCTCCTCGAGGGTGGTCGCCATCCCACCCACGGAGGTGCCCGCGCCGCCCCAGCGCACGTCGCGGGCCCTGAGCGCGACGGCGACGAAGTCGGAGGGACGGAAGGGGTACAGCGCGTCGAAGCTCCCCTGGATCTGCTTCTTCCGCTCGAGGTTGTCCCACGCGCTCGCGTCGAGCTCGACCTCCTGCTTCTTGATCGTCGGCACGAAGAAGTGCGCGAGCACGCGCAGTGAGCTGACGCTGGGGTGGAGCGCGCCGTCCGAGCCGTAGAGGTGGCCGCGCCAGTAATCGTCGACGAGCGTCTGCACGTACAGCTGCCCGACGAAGATCTTGCTCCCGCCCTTCATCGCCGTCTGCAGAATCGTGCCCGGCCACGTGCGCGACGGCCGCATCAGCACGAGGGTCGCGTGGCTCTGGGTGGGGCACTTGTCGAGCACCGAGCACGCCCACTTCTCGAACGTGTCCGCGTTGGACTGGTACATCGTCGCGGCGGTCGGGCGCGCGATCGCCGCGCGCTTCGAGACCTGCGACGCGATGAGCGCGAGCCGGATCGGGTCCGACTGGCGGCTCGCGTGCTGCCAAAAGACGCGGGCGATGTCGACGCGGCCTAGGCGAAAAGCGGGATCCTTAGGTGTAAGCGGACACGCGAGGCTGCTGTGGCGAAGGCACCGATGAAGACGCCCCAGAGCATCAGGTGCGGCAGAGCGTCCTCGAAGAGCGCACTCGCCTACAGAAGGTGCGGCCGATGTGCAGCCGGGGCGTGCGGGCGTGCGGCCTCCTCTTCGGTTGAGGGGCGAATCGCCTCTTCGAAGCGGCGCGAGTCGCCGGGCGATCGGAGCGCCGTGCTTTGAGCCTGCTCGAGCTCCTGCTGCAGCTCGTACTCGATGCCTAAGATTGATTAATAATTAATCAATGGTTAATATTGATTAATGTTCTGCAGCTCATGCTCAATGCCGGGGATGTAGTCGATGAGGAATGGGAGGAGCACCTCGCGGTACAACAGGATCGGCGTAGGCTTGCCGAGGGCGTCGAGCGCGTCGCCGCGGTCGAGCTGCTTCTGCAGCGTCGCCGCGTTGGTGAAGAAGGGGTTCGAGTGCTTGTACAGCGAGAGGAAGTCGAGCAGCCCCACCGCGCTCTCCTGCGCCGTGAAGAGCAGCTTGATGATCTCGGGCTGCTGCCGCTCGATCGCCACCTGCAGCGCGTGCGCCACTTGCACGCGCATGAAGTGCTCCGCCGCCGCAAAGTCGTTTGCCGGCGCCATGGTGCGCAGGTTGAGCATGACCGAGTGGACCACCTCCTTCCGGTTCCACTGCACCGCCCGCTGCAGCCGGTGCCCGCGGGACACTGGGTATCGTCGTTGATCACCGCGTTGAGCACGTGCAGGTCGAGCGCCGCGGTGGACGTCTCGTCGAGGGCGAAGCAGGAGATCTTCTTCTCCTTCTCCTGCACGGCGGCGATCTCCTGCATCGCGCGCTGGATCTTGTCCCACTTGGGTCGATCGTCCTTCTTCTTGACGTACTCGGCCTCGTACTTCTTGGTCCACGACCGCAGCGCCGACACCTTGCCCGCCGCCTTGAGGAAGTCGGCGAGGCAGGTGGCGATCCCTCCCGAATCGGACACAAGCACGACGGGGCAGCCACCCAGCACCTGTCAATTAATTATGAAATATTACTAGTTATCATACGAACACGACTGGGCAGCCGTCCATCACCGACTCGCGCACGGTCTGCAGCGTGCCGGGCCCGCCGTTGACGACGAGCAGCACGCGCGGCACGCGCCGCCGCTTGCAGTAGACCTTCTCGAGCATCACGCGCATCGGGATCTCGCCGCCCCAGCGCGTGTTGTTGTCGAACTTTGTGACGGTCGGCGAGAGAGTCGCGTGCAGCGCGCACACGCACGGCTGCGGCGTGTCGACCTTGGTGATTCGCTCGATCGCGGAGGACAGCACGGAGGATGCCTGAGGGTGGCTCGCAAGCTCGTGATCCCTCGGGTGGCGGAGAAGGCAGCACCACGCTCGCGCGATCTCGTGCTCCTCGGCTGCGCCTCGGCCGCGCCTCGGCCGCACCTCGGCTACCTCTCGGCTACCTCTCGGGCCGAGCTCGCCTTCTCGGCGGTGAGGCCCGTCATGTTGCGGTGGATCCCTACGGCGGCTCCGAGAAGGCTCCGAGAAGGCTCCGAGAAGGCTCCCGCGCTTCGCCTCTGGGTGTGGGAAGTGAGGTGGCTGTGGGCAAGGAGGGCGCTGGAGAGGGAGGGGGAGGAGGAGGTGGTGGTGAGGGAGGGGGTGGTGCAGGACGGGGCGGTGGAGTCTGCCGCGCATCTGGGCCCCGGGAGACGCTCGGGGAGATGTGGGGAGTCTTCCGCATCTGGGGGGAGCGCCGAGGTGGTCCGCCTCGGAGAAGGCGGTCACGGTGGCAACCACCTTGAAGGGCGGCTTGCCTACGCGCGTCTCGGCGGGAAGTGGCGCCTCGACGACTCGAGGAGGGGGGGGGGGGGGGGCGCTCGCCCTTGTTGCTCTCCACGCTGAGAGCCACCGTCGCGGTCGGCACACCGAGAAAGTTTGCGAGGGCGCCGCGGAAGGCCTCCTGCGGCGAAACGCCGTTGTCGACCATGATGAAGTGCCTACACGCATGCCGAACCACGGTGGCGCAGTGCGGGCGGCAGAGTTCCTCGGCGGGGAAAAAGGACGCACGTGTGGTGCGGCTCGAGGTTGGCCGCGTTGCAGTTGTTTGGCGCCTCGCGCACCTGCACGAAGAATTTCCAACATCAGGGCGGGAAGAATTTCCAACATCTGGTGTGCAGAGTGTTCAGAGAGCGACTGTGGGAGAGTATGCGCGCGCCGCGTCTACGCTCGCGCACCATCTCCCTCGTGCCGCCGTAGCAGCCTTCGAGCCGGTCCTTGCCCATCACGCTCGCCCACGTGCAGATCCCGACCATCTTCGCGGAGCACTGCGCGTCCGACAGCGCGTCCCCAACCAGCGCCGTCACGCCTGCAGAAGAGGCGGAAGGGATCCTCCTACAGACTACCCACCTTCCCCCTCACCGCCCCCCCCTCGCCCAACCGCCCCCCCCCCCCTCCTCTCCTCTCCTCCTCACCGCACGCCCGCCCTCCGCGCCCCACCCTCCGCACTTCGCCCTCCGCGCACCCGAGTCGGTGCCGCCAGTGAAGATCCACGCATTGGGCGCCTGCGCCGCTTTGGCAAGGCCGTGCTTGAACGCCTTGAGCAGCCGCGGCTGCAGCTTCAAGTCCTGCGCGCCTCCTGTGATCGATATGAGCACCTACAGACCGCGACATCTAGTTGCGCCCGGCGACAGAGCACCTATGTGCGGGCGTGTGCCGGACCGAGGCTGGCTCCATCATCCAGTACTTCTCCATCAGGTCGAGCACCGACTTGCAGTAGCTCTCCTCCGACTTATACGGCTCGCGCGAGTCGGCGAGGTGGATGAAGTGTGCTGGACCGCGAATCGTCGGGAACTGAATCAAACCGTGGTCCGCGAAGGAAGGCAGCGGGTGCGGCCGACGGGGATTGGAGGTACGGAAAGTGAAGGGCGAGCAGGAGGCGAGCCAGTCCTGGATCACGTGCCGCACTGTGCGCTGCAGCCGCGTCACCAGTTCCTTCTCGTGCGCCGCCATGTGTGAGGTGGACGAGTTCGCCCCGACGGGTGAGGCAGCGGGAATTTTGCTGTACGGAGCCTCCATGCAAGCCAGTGACAAAACACGATCAGGTTCCAGCACTGGGCTACACGAGCCGCTGCCGCCACCTTGGGGGGGGTCGGTCGATGAGGGGTCGGTCGATGAAGCCGTGATGATATAAAAAGAATTTAAGGTGAAGATATAGGATTGCGAGCACGACTAAGCACTACTATATCACCAGTCACCTTGGGAGCGGAGCGCTCTTAGTCCTAGAAGATGAAGGATTGCGAGCGTAGGCGCTCACAATCGCACAGAGATGCTACGATTGCGAGGAGTGCTGCTCACAATCCTTCGACTTCTAGGATTGAGAGCAGCGCTGCTCTCAATCCTAGCCTTCTACAAAAGAAGGTTCACCTGTAATGCCCTCCCTGCCCAGAAGAAGAAACGCCGCGATGCCGGCAAAGAGAAAAGACCCCGCCGCTGCAACAGGGACGAACAACAAAACAAGCGCGGCGTGAAACCGCGCCATTCGCTCTCACCTGGCAACCCCGTCTGCACGTCTCGCGCGCGCGTGAACAGGGCTCCAGGCCCCAAATGACGTGTGAGTGTTAGAGTTGTTTGAAATTGCTAAAAATCTCTCTCACTCCAGGGACGATGCCGATGTTGCACGCGGCCCGGTGTCCCTCCGCCCGCCGCCAGCTTCGATGCCGCGCAGCGCTGGCTTGACCGCTGGCATCGACGATATCGGGCGCATGCTGACGCGCATGTCCTTCCAATAGGTGGCGTCGAGCGAGGAGGGTTTGTGGGAGGGCTCGTATTGCTCCTCGCGCACGTTTGCTGATGGACGCCAGCCGTTCCCCGGCCTTCCCTCCCCCGCGGGCTGATTAGCCAGATGGTTCCTGAAGCAGGCATGCCGGGGTTGGCTTTGCCTCCCATCCCTCCCCGCCCCACCCACCATCACCACATGGCTTCCCCGTGGTAGGGCCGCAGGCAATCAAGGAAGGAGCGAATGGAGAGGGAGCGCGAGCGGTCGCAGCGGCGGCGTGACGTGGCCAAGCTCACGGTGACAAGCTATTACGAGGAACGCATGCGGATTCGGCGGCTCGATGAGCAAGCACTGTCGAAAGTCGGATCCGGTGGAGGATCAGTCATCAGCGAGTTACCCGCTTACTTGAAGAAAACACAACGGCCAAAGGAAAGAGCGGTCCACACTAGTGAGGGAAAAGAACAGGGCGGGGGGAGGGGACACACGATTCCAGAAATGGTTGTGTCCCCGCTCCTCGCTCGCCCGGGCGGAGGGCATGGCCGCGGAGGAGGCGAGTACGCGCTGCCAGGCCTTCCGCAGACAGCCTTTTGGCCAGACTGAGGGTCGGCTTTGTGTGGCGTGGCCCGTGCGCTGCGCTGCACAAAGCTGCGTAAACTGCGGGAGCATCCTGTGCTTCCTTTGAGGAGTGCGCACCTCCTGCAGCTGGTGGAAGGCCGTGCCGCCGCTCGCCTGCTCCGTGGACAGGGCGGGGAGGCGGTGCCGCAGCGCCGCAGCGTCCGCTGCACGCCGGTGCAGCACTCTGCCGCCTGGTGGGCAGCATGCTGGTGCTGTGCGCGACGTTTTCGAGGCTGCAGTGGCGCTGCACCGCGAGCCACGGCGAGTGGCACGCGGCATGCGCGGCGCCGCGCTTGGCCCGGACAGCGCCAGAGAGTGCCCTCGATGGGCCAGCCTGCGCGGCGCGAGCGCCGCACAAGCTGACGCATCGTCTGCCATTCTCTGGTCGACGGCGGTCAATCTCACGATTGTCGATCAAAACCGGCGGGCTTTGTGACGCCGTTCACGCAATCGTTTTTTGGCCTCGCTTTCTCTTTTGCTTGGTTTTATTTTGTTTTTTCTTTTACGAAGCGACGGAGGGGGGGGCGGGCGGGCGCTAACTATGGGCAACTACATGTCGAAGGTTCGAGGTCGACTACTCGCCGCCTGGGTCGTTTGGGGCGCGCGGCTCCGTCGAGGACCGGGCGCGCCCCTTTCCCGGCGCGGCGTAGGTCCCACTCTGACGTATAGAGGGGAGGCACGGACAACGGCCCAATTCATCAATTCCACTCATCTTCTGGTGCCTAGCCCCGTGCAGCGGCGGTCCGGCAGGCTGCCCCCAAGGCCCCCTGGGCCGCTGCGGGTTTTGGAGTTATGCTTTGGCACAGCTTCGGCGATGGCGGCCCCTCTCTGGGGCTTGCATAGGCGGGGAGTCTCCCCCGCTGGTCTCCTCATTCCCTTTTTTCTTTTTCTTTTGAGAGCAGGACGCCGGGTTTGTCTTGTATGTGCGTGTCGGGCCGGGGCGTGAGCGAGGGGCAGAAGGGGCGGGGGCGTGCGGGGCAGAGGCCCAACGTCGGGCGGCCTGTCGGGGTCCGAAGAATTCGAGGAGGGATCGAGGAGGGGGGAATGGGCGGTCGGCGATGGAGTATGATGCGACAGGGCGTACGGGGTAGCCGTCACTTTCCTGCCTCACAAGGGCGGGGCTGTCCCGGAAAGTGAGAAACGCCGGGCAGCGTGACGCATCAACGAAACCTCCCATACGTGTTTGGGCTCCTCCTTCGCTGTCCCATCTCCTCATCTCTTTCCCGCCTGGGCGGGGCAGCGGGTGGGCGCGCGGTGAGGCGTGGCGTGTGAGTGTGTGTGACTGCAACGACGGACCGCTCGCAAGAGACCATTGGGTTTCTACTATTAACAACGAAGGCGCTCTCAAAAAAAGAACTCCTCACTCGCGCAGCAGAGCACCCTGGAGAGCAATCAATAATGAGCAGCCTGCCCGCCCCGGCGGCGGCGTCGACGGCGGCGGCGGCGGCGTCGACGGCGGCGGCGATCGAGACGCGGGGCCTCGTCGATCTGCCGATCGATGTTCTGATTCGGATCGCGGTGCGTTTGCCGCGCGTGGAGGCTGTCGCTCGCCTGGCCTGCACGTGCCGGGACCTACACAGCCCCGCGTTCTTTGAGGCGGCGATGCGGGAGCGGACGGCGCGGCGCGGTGGCGAGGTGCCGCTGCCGTCGGGGCTACGGCGGCGCGAGACGACGGTGCAGGCTCTGTGCCGGGGCGAGCGACGCGACTGCTTCCAGCGGCAGAACAAGATCGCGGCGGGAGATTACCACAGCGTCTTCGTGAGCGAGGAGGGGCGGCTCATGACGTGCGGCACGCACTCTTTCCGCGACAACCCGCAGCCCATTCTGGGGCACAGCGAGCTGGATGATGAAGATTTGCAAGTCATCGGTGGAGACTCGGTGCTGGTGGTGCCGAGGCCGGTGGCGGGGCTCGCGGATGTGCGTGTGCGCACCGTGGCGACGGGATACGCTCACACGCTGGCGGTGAGCGAGGCGGGCGCGGTCTACTCCTTCGGCCTAGGCCAGAATGGGGAACTTGGCCATGGCAACGAGGCTGATCAGCACACGCCGCGGGTCATCGAGTCCCTGCGCGGCGTGCGGGCGGTTGCGGCCTCGGGGGGCCTCGAGCACAGCCTGGTGCTGAGCGCGGCAGGCGAGGTGTACTCCTTCGGTGCAGGAGATCGCGGGCAGATTGGGCACGACCCACACTCTCTGTTCGCCCCGTCGCGTGACTGGCACCAGCCGCAGCAAGAGGTGACAGAGCGCCTCCAACTGACACCCCGCGTCATCGACTCGCTTCAAGGCGTCAGGGTGGTTGCGGTTGCAGCAGGTGCGTACCACAGCCTGCTGCTCAGCGAGGCACAACACGTGTACTCGCTTGGTGGCGGGGGAGCGACGCGCCGGTCGTCGTCTAGAGGGAGGACGTCTCGCTTCACGGGGCCGCAGTGGACGCCGCAAATCAATGAGGCTCTGCGAAGGGTTAACGTGGTTGCAGTGTCGGGGGGTCTCTTTCACAGCCTGGTTCTCAGCGAGCAGGGCCACGTGTACGCGTTTGGCAACGGCAGCCACGGTGAATTGGGCAATGGCAGAGACCACAACTCGACACTCTATGAGTTCACGAGTGACGGCCTGCAGCAGATCAACGCACGCATTCGTGCGCAGCAGAGAGCTCTTGCAACGACTGATGCGTTTGGACGCCATGGTTATGAGGGTTTCCGTCACTCCATGACCCTTGCGGACGAAGCGGTGCCGCGATTCATTGAATCGCTGGGTGGCGTCCGGGTGGTGGGCATTTCGGCGGGAGGGAGCATGCAAACAGGAGGAACGGGCCACAGCCTAGTGCTTAGCGATGAGGGCGAGGTTTACTCATTTGGCTGCAACGGATACGGCGAGCTTGGGCGCAACTTCGATAACGAGAGCGAGGAGCTCCCCACCTCAGTGCCGCACGTCGTTGAAACGCTGCGAGGGACGAGGGTGGTCGAGATAGCTGCGGGGGGCGCCTCGAGCCTCGCCGCCACGGACAATGGCGCTGCGTACGGCTGGGGCCGGTCTGAATGCACGGGGCTAAGGGAGCAGGTAGGCGCAGGCGAGAGAGAGAGTGCCACGCCCCTGCGGTTCGCGGATTTGGAGCTTGCGCACGGTTAGAGCTTGGCGCGCGGCGGCACCGGCACCGGGACCGCCGCACAAGGAGTGGATTCTTTAACTCTTTATCGTGAATTCTAATTTGCGATTTCTTATATCTGATCCTCGGAAGGACGCACGACGGACACTCCCGTCGAACGACATCATGATGAGCATCGCGCGCGTGGCGGCTGGGAACGCGCTCTACACTGGCTGGTTGCGCTGGCAGTTTCGCGCACTACAGTCTACGCCGCCGCCGTTCGCATGCACTGCCACGTGATGGATGATGAGGCTGACAATGACGCGCTCACCAAACTCGCGATCTGGAATTTTTCAGACGGCGCAGCCCTGTGCGCGATCCGCACGCCAGTCGAGCCCGACGAGCCCAGCGAAGAGGAGAGATGCTTGACTTTGTCAGCCGCCTGCACCAGCACGCAAGCGGCGAGCGCGATCCAACCGACCGCAACGCCTTGCAGAAGGAGCTTTGCCCGTTCGACGGCCTCTATTTCTTCGCTGAGTTCCCGACCAACGAGTCGTGCGAGACCGATCGCGTGCGGGAGCACTTTCACCTCGTCGGCGAGCGGCTGGGCCCGCGCCTCTTTGCGCTGGCAAAGAGCATCACCAACGCCACCAGGGCCGAGAAGCAGCCACCAAGTCCGCTGGAGAAGGCCTTGCGCGTGCTGACCGAGCGACTCGGAGGTGGCAGCAGCGCGCACACCACTCAGGCGAGGCGGGCACTGTGGACGGAGGTGGTGCTCTGCAACGATGCAACTCTTCCTTCCCGTGCTGCTCATAACGTCCGAGAACGACACTCACGGCGCGGGCAATGCGGGCTTCGACCTCGTCTCGAGGCACGTCGCCAGAGACGTGCTCGCCCCCATCCTTCATCAGCTGGACGAGATTTACGAGTGGGTGCACGGTCCCTCCACTTCCGTCACAGCAGAAGGACAGAGGCAGCAGCCGCGCAGCGGAGGCGTGCTCGACTGGTCGCACCACAGTCGGCGTCGCAGCTCGCTCTTGCAGTGGCGACAGCGCCTCGCGGCAGTCGGCAGGACAGTGGAGTCGTATCGGAGGGGCTCAGCCGATGGGGCGCCGTCGTAAAAGTAGCCTGCCGGCGCTCCTTGCGGCGCAACCGTGCCGGGCGGAACCTCTGCCCAGTGCTGGTTCGCGTACGGCTGGGCCGCCATGCCGGACGAGTATTGATACACCGGCACGGGCTCGCCTTGCCCTTGCGCGAACTGGTACATCGGCACGGGCTCGCCTTGCCCTTGCGCGAACTGGTACATCGGCACGGGCTCGCCTGGCGCGAACTGGCCTGCTTGGATGTTGCGGCTGTGTAGCGCCGGGAGCTCGGACGAGAGGAGCGGCTGGGCGTCTCTGAGGTCGGCACCGGGACCGGGAGGGATGGCGTGAGGGCGAAGATACCGAGCATCGCTTCAGGCCTTAGCCACGACACGTGTGGGACGTCCCTCGACACGGCCACGTTGTTCATGACAAGGAGCCGAGGTGCGAGGAGCGATGTGGGAATCCTCTAACCTGAACAGGATGCCGCCTGAACACGATGTCACCTCTTCCCTGGGTGGGGTACTATATCAGAGAGTTACTCGTAAATCCATCCAGATGTGTTCACAACCCCGGGCCCGATGTGTTCACGAACCCACGGATCCACAACTTGGAAGATATGCAATGCATATTTCGGGGACAGGCCGCCGGCCTTCCTCGCTCGCTGTGACAGCGTCAACTTCAGGGGGAAAGAAATTTGGCTACCACCTATTACATGCACATGCACATGCAACAACCTAATCCCTTGGCGTGACACCGACGTCCAGCCGATTGGTTGTCCAAGTCAAGGCGGACTCGCTCGAATCACATGATGTTCCTGTCGCTCCTCTCTGCTGGCCTGCCTCTCCCGCTCGACGACCAAACGCCGCCGCCGCAAGTGCCGCTCCCGATCGACGACCTCACCTTCAAGCCGCTTAGCACGACCGGCTTCGTACCCTACTTCAACTACGACGGCGCGCTCGCCGAGGTGAGCGGCACCGTCGGCCTGATCACCTCGGACGACGCGTCTCAGACCTTCACGTTCATGCTCTCGGGCGCGGACTCGCGGTGCAAGGACGGTGCCGGCGACGCACACAACTCGTGCGGTCTCCACATCCACCAAGGTGGCTCATGCAAAGAGGACGCGCTCGGCCACTTCTTCAACGCGTCGCGAAGCGACGGCTCCTTCGACCCGTGGGCGAGCGGGCCGGCGCCGATCGTCTACAAGACGACGGACGACTTCACCTTTGGCGAGTTCACCGTTCTGACGGGCCTCCCTGCGCACCAGATTGACGGAAGGACGTTCGTTGTGCACGATTTCGAGGGGAGGCGGATCGCCTGCTCGCGGATCGCAGGCCCGGCCGACGAGCAAGGTGGGCAACGCCGCCTCCAGCTGGCGGAGCCGCCCGAGGAGAAGAAGAAGGGCCACTTCTTGGGGGTCCTGGCTGGCGCTGCAGCAGGTGCCCTCGCCGGTCACTTGGCCAGCCAACAGGACAACTCCCCACACTACGGGAGCTACCCTCAGCAGTACTACCCCCAGCAGCCGTACGGCAATCCTCAGCAGCAGTACGGTTACCCTCAGCAGCATTATGGTGGCTACGGTTACCCTCAGCAGCAGTGGCACTCCTGGATCCAAGGCAGGCTCGGCCAGAGCTGCACGTCGGTGTGCCGCGAGCGTCGCTTGACCTGCGACATCCGGGCGCTGGACGAGTTCGCGCGCACGGGCAGCTACACAAGTTTCAACGTCAACTCGCTCAGCGCCCTGACGCGGCAGTGCCGCGCCGTCAATTACTACCCGGCTTGGCTCCACAGCCCGGCAATCTGCAACTCGCCCGCTTGCGGGTCCACCTGGCGCTACAACAGCTTCGGTGGGTGCTCGATTGGCCGTGGCGGGTCCAGGAGCTGCAACGCCTTCCACACAGCTTTCTCCCGCTTCTGCCCGTGCGCTTGACGCTTGCGCGTCCGTGTCTGGGAGCGCGCGAGTGGAATCTTGGGGGTGTGGGCAATGCGCCGTCACGGCTCACGCACGCCTCGCCTCACGCCTGGGCAATGTTGAATATGTTGAATATGTTTGGCATGTTGTTCTGTTGACGTTCGTTCTGAGTGTGGCCTGGCGCGGCTGTTTAATTCTGTTTCAAGTAAAAATACAACAGCTCGAGCCGCGTTCGCTTAGTTGGGCGCTAGGGAGGGCGAGACGATCGAGGGGTCCCGTACCATGCGGAATCGACCCTATCCCAGTGCAACAGTGCAACAGTTGGGCGCTCGCCACGAGCCTAGCCCGGCGTGCTCTCGAGGGGACGGAAGTGCTCTCCTCTCCATCCGTACCCGCCGGAAGGCGTGGAGCCGGCGGACGGCAGTCCGGCCTTGGAGCACTTGGAGTGCAGTTATTAACCTCACATCCAGGGCCGAGGAGCTGAGAAGCGCACCCAGCGGGTCGGGTTGCGGGCAAGAGAGCCCTACACGTGCGAGTTTTTTTGCGAGGCTCTGCGCCGCGCTGGCTCTCCCTCCTGCCACCACGGCTGAGGGGCTGCGCGCCGCGCAGAAGGACGAGTTCCACGGCAATGAGTTCTCCCTGCTCGTATCGCACGCGCTCGGCGCTCTCGCCGGCCCGCAGTGGGTGCAGAAGCACCGCGAGGAGGTCCGGGCGGCGGCGCGCCTCGCCTACGGCGGCCTCTCGACGGCGCGCCTCGCGCAGACGCCGGGCGAGGAGTACTGCGACATCACGTGCGTAGACGCGGCCACCGGCCAGCCGCTGCCGCTCCGCCGCCGCTGGATCGCCGTCTTGATTGGGGCGCTGACGCCGTACCTTGCTCTCCGCCTCGAGGCGCGGCTCGTCTCCGCGGCCCGCTCCTCCGAGTCGCCCCTCGCCGCCGCTCTCGCCGCGCGGCTCGGCTCGTTCGGCGAGGCGCTCCGCCGGCTGCAGCTCGCTCTCTTTTGTCTCGGCCGCGCTCCCCGTCGGCTGGTCGACGTGCCGCTCGGCATCGCGCACGTGCGGCACGGCGCGCGGGCCGGGTCGGCCTCGTCGCCGTACCGCTCCCTCGGCCTGCTCATGCTCTGCCAGCTCGCCCTCTCCTCCCTCGCCCTGCTCGCCGAGCTCCGCGCCGCCGCCTCCGCCCGCAGCCGCCTCCGCGCAATCGCGTCTGTCCGGCGAGCGGCGAGGGCGGGCAGCCTGCCGCCTGCCGCCGCTCCCCTCCTCAGTGTGGCCGCCCGCACGCGCAGGAGAGGCGGACAAGGAGCGGAGAGCTGCCCCTCCGCCGCCCGCCGCCGCCGCCGAGTCTGCTCGCCGGCGCACGGCTCCGCTCTGCTCGCTGTGCCTCTCTCCGCGCCGCCAGCCGACCGCGGGCGCGTGCGGCCACATCTTTTGCTGGGAGTGCTTCCACGCTTGGGCGCGGCCGCACCGCCGCCGCCACCGCCGCCCCGAAGACACGCGTCCACGCCCCCAAATCCTCTGCCGCCGCAGGTGTCCGAGAAGCCAGAGTGCCCGCTCTGCCGTGAGGCGCTGCAGCCGCAGGCGCTGCGTTGTGCCTGCACGGAATGGTCTGACTGATCTTTTTTTCAGGCTTGATTGCAAATAAAGCAGAACCGACACGACGCCGGTGTGACTGTGAGCGCGGTGTGGCGAGTTTGCGTCACCACTCGCGCCCCACGCGCAGCGCTCGGAACCTCACTCCTCCCGGTGACACGAAACCTCATAGCTCAGTCTCACTCTCAGTCCACGCTGCCGCACGCCCACGCCTCGATCTTCTTGGGCAGCAGCTGGTTCGACAGGTCCTCTCCGTGGCCTAGGCAGCCGTACTCGCCCCGGCCCCACGTAAAGACAGCTCCGCCGGCGGTGCGGGCGAGGCTGTGGTTGCTTCCAGCCGACACAGCGACGACGCGCTGCCCAGCAAAGGCCTCGACCTTCTTCGGCAGCAGCTGCATCGCCTCGTCGCCGTGGCCCAAGCAGCATCCTCCGCGGCCCCAGCTCCAGACATCGCCGTCGGCGGTGACGGCGAAACTGTGCCGTTCTCCAGCGGACACAGCGACGACGCGCCGGCCAGCCAACGCCTCGACCTTCTTGGGCAGCAGCTGGCTCTGCTGTTGCTGCCCAAGAAGGTAGGCTCCCCAGCCCCAGCTCCACACGCCTCCATCGGCGGTGATGGCGAGGCCATGGTGCTCTCCAGCCGAGACAGCGACGACGCGCTGGCCAGCCAAGGCCCCAACCTTCTTTGGCAGCAGCTGGTTCCAAACGTCGCCGTGTCCCAATCGGCCTTGAAAGCCACTACCCCAGCTCCAGGCGGCGCCGTCGGCGGTGATGGCGATGCTGTGGTCGTGTCCCGCCGAGACAGCGACCACGCATCGACCCGCCAAGGCCTCGATCTTCTTCGGCAGCAGCTGGTTCTGCTCGTCGCCGTGGCCCAACTGGCCATTGTAACCAAGGCCCCAGCTCCAGACGGCGCTGTCGGCAGTGATTGCGAGGCTGTGGTGCAGCCCTGCCGACACAGCGACGACGCGCTGGCCAGCCAAGGCCTCGACCCTCTTCGGCAGCGGCTGGCGCTGCTCGTCGCCGTGGCCCAACCTGCCACAGCCTCCAGCGCCCCAGCTCCAGACAGCGCCGCCGGCGGTGAGAGCAAGGCTGTGCCCGAATCCAGCCGCCACGCTCACGGCGCGCTCACCCACCGTTGACGGCTGGCGGGTCGGCGTGTTCAGCCGCATCACTCCCTCGCCGTGACCAAGAATCAAAGGCGGCGCAGAGCCGCACGTCGACAGCCGCCCCTCGCCATCGATGAAGACGCTGTGCGTCTTGCCTGCCGCCACCCTCGCCGGCGGGTTGGACTCGCGCAGCAAGGCCGAGTAGCACAGCCACCGCACGGCGCAGCCGTCCTCCGGCTGCGCCGGCAGCTCGAAGCCGCGCTCTTGCGCCCACAAGCGGATGCCCTGCTCCGCGAGCGAGGCGTGGAAGACGAGCGAGACGGCCGCGACGTGAGCGATGTCGAGGGGGTCGCAGCGAGAGAGGACGCGCTCGAGGAGCTCCGAGGGGAGGTCGAGGAGGCGGGCGGGCGGCGGCGTGTCTGGTGAGGGCGCGGCGGCGGCGGCGGCGAGGCGGCGCGAGCGGCGGCGCGGCGGGGTGGACATCCCGAAGAACAAGTCCGTGGAGCAGACATGTGCGAGAAGAATTCTTTTTTCGCTCGCAACAAAAGAATTGCGGCGGGGGAAAATACACCAGGAGGGGCTTGGGATCAGTTGTCGGAGGGGGCGAGAGATGAGCTGACGCGGCCTCTGCGAGTGGAAGCGCATCACGCCCCTCTCCTTAAAACCCCTGTGTGGTGGCGGCGTGCCGTCCTCTCATCCCTCCCTTGGGGTGTCTGTTGTTCTTTCTTTCTTTAAGGGTGAAAGGAGAGCGACGCGACAGAGGCGACAAGAGAGAGAACGACGAGAGTGGGACGACCGCGAGGTGGCATGAAGGTTGCAGCGAGAATCGGTGATACGAATATGAGTGAGTATTCTTGATTGATACGAAACCACGACGGCCACGACCCCCCCCCCCCCCCCCCGGACCAGTCGAACACGGTCCTTTCACCGACCTGTGTGGGCGCCACATGCCTATCTTGAGATGCATGTGTGGGAGCGTATGCTGACCGCCACGCACCCACGCCGACACCGCGAGCATTAGCTAAGATAGGCGCCACAAGCGTGGGCCCTCATCTCAAGATACGCAGCTACACGTGTAGGCGCGAGCCTTACTCAAGATAAGCGCCCAGACACGAAGACACGCATCTGGGCTACCTGGACGCAGACGCGCATCCTCATGCGTGGGCGCTCATCTTAGTTAATACTCGCGTCCACACATACAGCCGAGGTGCGTATATGGGCTCGGTGCACATGAGCACTTCTAGGAGCACTTACACGTCAGGGCGCGAGCCTTAGCTACGATACGCGCCTACACGTGTCGGTGGTCATTTTTGACCCACTTTCCGGGGTTTGCAGAGTGGGAATGGAAAGCAGAGTTCAGATCAGTCGAGGGAGTTTGATCTCCCTCATCCTCAACGGGCGTCCAATCGCAATCGGATTTACAACGGCGGTGGTCCAAGCATGGTAATCCGCATATTGGACGTCCCCGTCCATTGTTCTCGCCGTTCTTCGGCGGGGCCGCGTCAGGGCGGGGCGCAGGCGCCAGTGTGGCGCGGAGGTTCTGAGCTTGGGCTGCCCTTCGTGGGGCCGAGGCGGTGCCTCTTGGCCCGCAGTCGGTGCCCTTTGCCGGTCATGTGCTGGCGCGACCTGCTCGACAAGGCGCTCGTCGGCATGCTGGTGGAGCTGCTCGATGCCTGCTAGCCTGCATGCAAACGACTGGCGCCCGAGACTGGGGTTCGACACTCCGCCCACGTCTCGAAGGTCGCTGAGAGACGGGCCCCCGTGTGCCGTGATCTGGCGGGCGCCATGGCCCATGCACGCGCAGGGACAGCCTCAGCCGCGTAGATGCATAATAGAGACCCGCGCATACAGGTAGAGGGCCGACGCGCGTGTGTGCTGTGCGGTGGGAGAGCGGCGGCGAGAGACGTTCAGACGAGTCATGTATGTACATGTCAACACAGCACCGTTGGTGAAGCGGCAAGCGGCGAGCAGCGTCGCCATGCGCTCCGGAGTCGCGGGGATCCGCCGCTGAGCGCCGCCGTCGTCGCTGGCGATAGGGGGTAGACAGGGCGCCCCAGAATCCACCAGTGTGGGATTTCGTGCAATCGCTTGACTCTGAAAGGCTCGCCATGTACCTTTCTGAGCGCTGTGGTCGCCGCTGACTGGCTCCGACTTGACGGCAGCATGGAGACGTGATGCCTCCATGCTGCCGTCAAGTCGAAATCGATATGCAGCTAGATGCTTTGCCGGAAAGGTACATCGCGGCGTTTTGGGCGACAACAGCGCTGCGACCGCGAAGTGGCGGTGGACATGCTCCCATGTTGCCGACGCGGCGCCGGAGTGGCCGCGCGGCGCTGCTCGCCGCGACCATGACGGCCACTCTGATACTCCGGGACGACCCGTCCTACCCGACGGTGGCACTCTTCCCCACGTACGTCTCGCTCACGCTGAGAAAAAAATCGGAAACGGCGTGCAGCAGAGTCACCGACGAGTCGGTCCGCGTGACTCCTCGTGTCGTACCATTCTCTCACACATTCATATACTCACTTTGGCCTCACTGAAGCGATGCCTCAAAATCCTGAATCTCTGAGCCCTGGTCTGACAGCCTGACAGCAACCCCCGGACAGCGCCTGACAGTGCCCGACAGCCTGACAGCGCTGACAGCACTTTCTCTGACAGTCTGACAGCACGTGTCTGACAGCCTGACAGCAGAGTCTGGCAGGCGAGGGGTTCCGTCGCTGTCAGGCCCTAACGTGACAGCCTGACAGCTGCCTGACAGCCCGACAGCACACAGTGGCCTGACAGCAGCGCTGACAGCCTGACAGCCCGACAGCAGCACAGACCGTACACAGACCCCGTAGAGCCTCTTTCTTGTGCCCCATTGAGGGTAAGCTGCTGGCAGATTTCAACGTCTCCATCCAGGAGGAGTCAAAGGATCGCAAGCTCCGCTTCCACGTCAAGCGGCTCATCAAGTCCCATCAGCAGCGGGGCGAGGATGTGGATGAGGAGCTCGACTTCTACATGGATGATGATGACGGTGACCACGCCCTTGCCCGCCTGTCACACACACACATAAGACGTGCATCCTCATCTCTCCCTCTTCTCTTTCTCTTCGCAGTTGCGGTGCTCTTCACCATGGAGGACAGCTCCAAGGTCTTTGCCATCGGCAACATTGAGCAGGTGGCCGTCGCCGACGGCACAGTAGACGCGCGCCGCGCCACTGGCAGCTCCAGCGCAGAGTACCTGCGCCAGCTCTCCATGAGTCAGCGCAGCAACGGGGTCTTCATCAACGACCCCAAGGGCCTCTTTATCCTCCGGTGGTACCGTGAGGTGAAGGGTGACGGGACCCCCCCAGACGGCCCGCGCTACCAGAACAGAGCGTGCAAGTACTACAAGCTGACGAGCGACAACGATGGGGAGGCCTTCCGCTGGACCAGCAACTACCAGATCATCAGCAAGGTGTACCTGAAGAAGCACTCCACCCTGCCTCTCTGCTATTCTCTCAGTGCGGCAGACAAGAAGATGGTGACGTCCACCATGAAAAAGATGGTGGGACCGGAGGCAGAGTAGAGGCTAGAGTATGTATGTGTAGTAGAGTCCTGCTGGTCTCCTCTTGATAGTGTCATAAGTGTGGCTGGTGTGTGTCACAGCCTGACAGCACCCCGACAGCACCACCTGACAGCACCTGACAGCAACAGCCCACCGTTTGACAGCAGCAGCAGCCTGACAGCTCTGACAGCTCCGACAGCGTCTGACAGCAACACCCGACAGCTCCGACAGCACCTGACAGCTACAGAACCCCTCGCCTGTCAGACATGCACCCGACAGCACCCGACAGCACTGAAAGCACCTGACAGCTGGTCTGACAGAGGCACCTGACAGTGCCTGACAGCTGCCCGACAGCCCGACATATCACCTGACAGCACCTGACAGCCTGACAGCCAGGGCTCAGCTGAATCTCAGATTTTAGATTAGGACGCTGTCGACCCTCTACTGGCGACGTCGATGACGAGGTTCCACTTGGCAAAGCCCAGCTTGGAGAGCTTAGCTCTGCGGAGCACCGCTCGAATGTCGTCCAGCCGCGAGTGTCGTAGGTCGTAGGTCCGGCTCCGGTCAAAGCCGGGTCTCTCCGTGTTTTACGGCTTTTTTACGACAAATAGGGGTGAAAGCTGAAAGGTCACGCGTCAAAGCTCAAACTGCGGCCTGCGGGTCAGACTCTGTGCGTGGGCCGTGGCGTCGTGCGGGCGTCTCGACACGGGATCGTGCCGGCGTGTTTCAATGTCGACAGTAAACTTAGATCCAACCCACGCAGCACACCACAGGACTCTAGAGAGATGTGCTCTAGCGGTCGGAAGGAGAGAGATGGAGACGCACGCGGTCGCTGAATCGCTCTACCAGACAAGTCAAAAAGGCGTGGCCATCCAGAGGCTCTAGATCAGCGCCGCTCCCTGGGCCCGCTCCTTGAGCTGCTGCATCTCCTTCTTTGTCGGCTTCGGGCCCTTCGGGGCCGTCGGCAGGGTCGCCTTGTACCCGGTATATTCAAACGCGCGGGACGCAACACCGCCGCCACTGCGGCTGGACGTCGCGATCAGCACCACGAGCAGGATGATCACCGCGCAGAGGATTGACGAGTCAGCACACGCGCCGTAGCCCAGGGGGCCATCGAGCTGCTCGTCGTACCAGGTCAGCGTGCCGTTGCCGGCGACGAGCGAACGGTTGAGCGGGATCAGACACGTGTGGTTGAATGCGCCTAGCAGCCCCGACAGGTTTGCCAACTCCGACATGGAAGAAGGCGGGTCACAAAGGCGATCGGCAGAGCCGCCACAGGTGCGATACTGTCCCGTTTTGCTGTTCACAGCTACAATGCGATGCGAGTTACTGCGCAGTTCTTCTCTGCACTATAGCCCTTGAGAAAAAGCTCGCATTATGCAAACCTGTGCCTGTGTCCTAGGAAGTAGACTGGGAGGGGTACTCCCAAAGGCAAGAGGAGGTCTGGAGAGGCCCACAGCGGTCAGGAGAGGCCCCAAGAGGGCGCTAGATGAGAGTCAGCAGAGTGCGCCGTCTCGGCGGCTATGGGCAAGTGGGCTGAGAGACCAGAGGGATTTTATTCTCGGCCGGAAGTGCGCGGCTCAACTTCTAATAAATTGTGCCAGGTGTATCCGGGGGCGGGCATGAAGGGGGTGAACCGTGCCATCCTCGATCGCCGTGCAAAGCTCGCTTCCGAGCTCTCACGCCGCGCGTAGGGCCCTTAGGGGCCTAGAGAACACAACCCCCTCTCTCTTTTCTCCCAGTAAGCTAAAAGTACGTACACGGCAAACCCCGGAAAGTGCGGCAAAAATACTCCAAAAATCGAAGCTGCGCGAAGTTCTCGGGGAAGGTCCATTTCATGGTTCCCTTGGATGATGCGGCAGTCCCGTGGGAGTATTGCGCCTTGATGGCTGAGAGACTTGGGGGCAGCTTTGAGGAGTTCGATCCCTGGATCGGCGACCATTCGCGTTTCTCTCTCTCTTTCTCTCTCTCTCACTCTCGCGTTTCCTTTTTTGTTGTGACGGTCGGTCAAAGTTCACGCCGTCGCCGCTCTCGCTCAGCGTCCTTGACAGGCCACGACGGCGTCGCGATCATGCTTGCGGAGCCACTTCTGCCAGTTCCACCGCAGCCAGTCGTGCGCTCCTGGAAGTGCCTGCTGCTCACAAGCCTCGCCGTGTCCGGAGTCATGATCGCCTGCGTGCCACGGCTGCCGACAGACAAAGCTGACCACATCCCATCGATGTCCACGTTGGAGGTTGAGCCAGGCAGCTACGTTATCCCGCCTCCATGCCTTACTGTGATGGTTGGGACGGCGCTCAGCGGGACTGCTCTGCTCGCAGCGCTGACCGTCGCAGTGCCAGCGATAGGCTTCTGCGAAGACGGCGTTGAATCGGAAAGCATCGCCGCGGCATGGCAAGCAACCATAGGTGATGTGGAGAAGGAGTCGCTCTTCGCGACCTTCCAGTCCCTCGCAGCGCGAGGCGAGCTGCTTTCTATTCTCAAAGTTGGGCTACCTGTCGTCAGTAACCTGGCCGTCGCGTCCGCCGCGTTTTGCTCCAAGCTCGACGAGATAGAAGACGCTTCGACAGGCGCGGCTCAGGCGGTCGCCAACGCTACAGCCGCAGCCCTCACTCAAATTGAACAGGCGGCACAAGACAGCGGCGCCGTCGAGAAGCTGGAGGGAGTAGCCGACTCAGTGGTGGGCGCCGCCAAAGAATCTGCAGACAAGATCGTCGCAGAGGCCGAGGAATGGGCCGAGAAGGCGGCCAAGGAGGCTAAGGAGGCCCTATCACCGACCGCCGATGTTACCAAGAATCGGTGGGAGGAGGTGACGGGCAGCTGCCGGTGATGCAGGCCAGTGTCCTTCTCCATGGCCTAAAGCAAAGCCCGCAGGCTGTGGACGGGCCACTGAATGGCTGCTATTGCAGACATGGGATGGTCGCGTAATTACCGGCAATTACAGTATACAGAGGGGGACTATCTTGGCGATGAATCGTTTTTTTATATCATGCATCAGTGCGGCCGTCAGAAAACACGCCTCCGTGGCTCGGGTTACACCAATCCTCGGCTCGCTACCCAACGCGGCCAAAGGATATCCACCTCGAGAACCTCGAGAACCAGTGCCTAGGCGGCTCCCGTGGTGTACCTGTGTTAGTGCCAGTCCGCGCCAGTCCCGTGCCTAGTGTCGTGCGAGGGACAAGTCTTAAAAGCTGCTCTCCGCCGGCTGGTCGCCGCGCTCCCCTCGTGGAGCCGCTCAAACGAGATCTTTCGCATGGAGAGAGCGCGAGACCGCTGCAGAGGAGCCGAGTGAAGTGGCGAGCCAGCGGCTACCAGGGTCACCAGGAAGTAGCCCTTGCCCATTCTGATCAGAGCTGTGCTTTGGTGGGGTTGTGTTTGAGCATGTGTGAAGTGGGAGTGCGTGCCGGCGGTGTCTGTGGCTGAAACGGGCGTGCGTGAGGCCGTAAGAGCCGTGGTATGAGCCAGAGTGAGCTTCATCACCCAAGATAAGTGCGGTCTGGGACAGCTCAGGCTTGCTACTGATGGGCCTGGGCCAGGAGGTCATCATCGGCGCCATCGACCGTGATCCCGCAGCCCTCATGCACCAGGCTCATGGATGCAGTCATAATATGTAGGCCTTCTCTCCCGAAGTTTTGAGCAATAGCCGCAAACAGTACTTTTTGGCACTTCATCGCGACATGTCCAGGTGCCGACGAAGCGGCTTCCCAGCTCACCACCTCGCCCTCTCTGTCGCTCTCCTGGCCCAGGCCCATCAGTATCAAGCCTAATCTGTCCCAGACCGCACTTATCTTGGGTGATGAAGACACCTCGCAGCGCGCGCGACGTGACCGAAGCGGCACGCCTCGGTCGGCGCCGCGAGAGCAGCCAGTCGACGTCGGCACCAAGCGCGCGGCCGCCGGGCACCTCCGAACCGACAGGGGCGCCGCGGCAGTAGAGAGCACCCACCCGCCATACCGTTGGATTGAGGCGCCGTGATGTGCATTGAGGCGCCACACCTCCTAGGAGCGCGAACCAAGACGAAGGTCAACGACAAACGCGACGAGCGGCTAGGCGAACTCATCGGGCACAGCATGCTGCTCTTGAGCCTCACCAGCGCGGCCGCGCTACGTCCTGGCCCGCTCCGCCCTCAGGCAGTGTGCCGTCGCCGCGCCGCCCTGATGTCAGACGATGCTCGCGGCACGCCGCTCGGTGACCTTGCCGACAAGCTCTCCATCGGCGAACGGATCGGCCAGGGCACAAAGAACTCGTGGGTGAATCCGGCCTACTGGAACCGCCAGTTCGTCACCGCGTCCCACATCGCCAACAACGTCCCGAACGGCTCGACGGTGCTCGAGCTGGGAAAGGACGCGAAGAACCTGTACTACGTGCCGTCGCCCGAGGCGATGACGCTGGTCGTGCCGCCGTCAAACCTCATCGTCGAGCAGGGCCCCATCCGAGAGGCCGCCGCGAAGCTGCGCGTCCCATTCTCGCTCTTCACAGAGACGCCCCTCGACGCGGTCCCGCTCACCGCCGCATCGTTCGACGCCGCCCTCCTCTTCGACATGCTCGACGGAGCCCCAGAGCAGGCGGCGTACGGCGCAGTCTCGCTCCTCGCGAACGCGCTCAAGCCCGGCGGCGTGCTGCTCTTCGCGGAGCGGGAGGGCGCAAACTTGCCCGCCATCTGCGCCGACTTCAACCTCCAAGTCGCGTCCGAGGCGGCGCTGCGCTGCCCGAGACACTTCCGAGACACTTCCGAGACACCTCCGACACACCTCCGACACACCTCCGACACACCTCCGACACACCTCCGACACACCTCCGAGACTCTTCCACCGCCACCCGCCCGAGGAGCGGGCGTCGCGACCTCCCTGCCCCAGCCCGTGGCGCTCCCTGTCCACGGCCTTGGCCGAGTCGCGGACGCTCGCGGACGTGTCGCGGACGTGTCGCGGACGTGTCGCGGACGTGTCGCGGACGTGTCCCGCAGGCGGAGGGGGGGTTCGACGTCGGCATCGCCACGCGCCGCCCGCCGCCCTCGCGGCAGACGAGGAAGCAAAAGGCGGCGGCGGCGGCCAGAGGGCGGCGGCGGCCGGTGGCTGTGGACCCGGCGAAGGGAGGGTTCGGGGCGGCGGGCGGTAGGGGTGAGGCGCCTCGCGAGTAGCACAGCCCACACAGCCTGCTGTTCACAGCCCACACAGCCTGCTGTTCACAGCACGTGGCTCGCCTGGCGGCGGCAGCACGCGCGGCGAACAGCACACGGAGACGCCCCCCCCCCACCCACCCACCCACCCACACCACACACACACACACACACACACACACACACACACACACACACACACACACACACACACACACACACACACACACACACACCTTCCGCACTCCCAGGCAAGGCGGCCCCTAGCCGCGAGGAGAAGGAGGCGGAGCGGGCGAGGCGGAAGGAGGAGAAGGTGGAGAGCAAGGCGAGGGCGGAGGAGGCGCGCAGGGCGGAGGAGCAAGCGAGGGCGGAGAAGCAAGCGAGGGCGGCGGCGGAGGCGGAGGCGAGGGCGGCGGCGGAGGCGGCGGTGGAGGCGAGGGCGGCGGCGGAGGCGGAGGCGGCGAGGGCGGCGGAGGCGGCGAGGGCGGCGGAGGCGGCGAGGGCGGCGGAGGCGGCGAGGGCGGCGGAGGCGGCGAGGGCGGCGGAGGCGGCGAGGGCGGCGGAGGCGGCGAGGGCGGCGGAGGAGGAGGCGGCGGCAGAAGCGGCGGCAGAAGCGGCGGCAGAAGCGGCGGCAGAAGCGGCGGCAGAAGCGGCGGCAGAAGCGGCGGGGGCTGCGGCTGCAGAGCGGGCGGCGGCGGCGGCGGCGGCGGCGGCAGCGGACGAGGTGGCGCTGGACGCCGCGTTTGCGGCGGCCGAGGAGGCGGGCGTGGACAACGACACGCTCGAGCGGGTCGAGGACGAGGTTGAGGCGGGGGCAGTGCCTCTCAGAGCCGCGATCAGACAGCTCTCCGAGGCGACTGCCGCCGCCGCCGCCACTGCTGCTGCTGCTGCTGCCGCTGCCGCCGCTGCTGCTGCTGCCGTGGCCGCGCCGCCGCCGCCGGCAGCGGCAGCGCCAGCGGCGGCGTCTCCCCATCCTGCGCGCACCGAGCGGGTGCAAATCACGATTGCCGAGGGCATCTTCCACAGCCTTCTTTGTCTTGCGCACCCGTTGTCCTTCCTTTTCTAGGCGCAGATCCCTCTATCCCTCTTCCGCAGCCTCCGTTGTCTCGTCGACCCTTCCTTTCTTTGTTTCTAGGTTCAGATCACGATTCCTGACGGGGCGATTGCGGGCACGGCCGTGCGCGTGATCCGCCCCTAGAAGCGGACTCGGACCTTGGCGTTCCAGCTAGCACCGGAGAGGGCACGCGTACATTCTGGTGTGTCCGACTGTATTCGCAGCCCCAGTACTCACGCGCTGCTCCGAGAGCACACTGCGCGAGACCGCATTCGCACCCTGACTTCGGTGCATCCACACACGCTCACACAGCCTTTGGCCCGAGACCGCACGTCGGCACAGAGACAGTCAGACACGCTACAGACGCGGGAGGCCCCAGAGACGGCCGGCGCGACAATCGCCTCTGTTCACACCGCCTCTACTCACACCGCAGGTCTCCGCCACTTGGGGCGGCGAATTTGAGGTTGTCGTGCACTCCCACACCGCTCACCCACACGCACTGTGCCTTGCACTTTGAATGCCGCGCCGGCTCCTGTCGTCCAGACGTGGAGTCGCGAGGGACCAGCCTGGCCCTCGCCCCACCACCTCGTGTGTGTGGAGAGGTTTGCCCTACCTTACCCCACCGTACGTAGGTCGTCGTGCCGGAGGGCAGCGGGCCAGGCCAGGTGCTCGCGTTCGACTTGCCCGCGGCGCCGGAGGCAGAGTAGGGGATAGGACCCAGCAAGCTCGGCATGGCATGAGGACAGCGCCCGCTTCCCTCTACGTCGCTCCTTATTCGGCATGGCTGGCACACATTCTCGGCGCGCGAGCAGCGCGGCCCAGCCGCCAGCGTGCTGGGCGTGTGTGGAGTGTGGCGAAGACCAAGTGGAACGTAAAGTGCATGGGGATGGCTGGCTCCTTTCACTGACCACACAACACACGTACACGTACACTCATCGACACACGTACACGTGGGCCATGACGCATGAGAGCTTTCAGCTCTTCTCAATGCTCAGAGCCGCGCGCGGCGCTGGGCCTGGGGCTGGGGACTGGGGAGGTGGAGCGGACTGCCGGCCCACGGTCCGAGTCAGACTGGAGAGCATGCTGGTCGCTTGGAGAGGGGTGAGATAACACCTGAGTGTTGTGCGCCGATTTTTGGCCTGATTTGAAACTACGCCACGCAATCACCGGCGACGTACCTCCCCTCTCACCGGGGGGGCTCACCGCTCGCTCGCTATACTTTAGCAACACGCCGCAAGTCGTACAACTCAGCGCCCGCCACCCCTCCCGCGCCTTGCGCCTCTGGCTCGCCAACCAGCCCGCGCGCCACCCGCCCCCACGCGAGGAAGGCAGAGTCGTCCACGAAGGCAACCTCGATCTCCTCGAGACTGCTGATGGCGCTGCCACCCCCGCCACCTCCGCCGCCAACATCGCCACCGCCGCCACCACCACCACCGCCGCCACCACCTCCTCTGCAACCCCCGCCACCGCCTCCTCCGCAGAGGCCAATGGCGACGCCGATGGCGACCTTCGCCGCCCGGCCAGCGTTGAAGCCGAGCACGCCGCACCTGTGAGAAGGCTCTATGAAGGCTCATGGAAAGGTCCAGGGAGGCCAGCGGTGCAGCCGAGACCACTCGGCGCCCGACCGCGGGCAGCGCCACCGAGGCCGCCGACTCGCCCTCCGCCGCGGCGAAGATCGAGCGGTACCTGCGAGAGAGAAGGTTCCGGGGAGGTTCATAGACGCGGGCTCGCCTCCGGCAGCGGCGAGGATCAAGCGGGGCCGCTCGTGGTGAATACGCCGACGTGAGGGCGGGACTACGGTGTTGTGCGGAGTCACCAGAGCACCGCGTGAATGCGAGGGAGACGAATCCGGCGGGATACAAGAGTCGGCAGCGGCGCGAACAGCTAGTCGGGATACAAGAGTACGTATTCTGCTTCTGGGAGCGGGGACACGTCTGCGCGAGCAGCCCGCCCGCGTCGCCGCTCGGCAGCGGCTCCTCGAGGTGGACCTGTTCACAGTGAGCCGGCTGTGAAGAGACGCTGCTTCACGGCCCGCGCTCCGCTCCAGCCCCTCAAGGTGCGCCGACGCAGCGCCGCGGCCGCCGCTCCACCGCTTGCCTCCCCACCACTGCTGCAGGCTGCGCCCGTACATGCCATCTGGCGCGACGGCGTGTATCACGAAGTCGGCGGGAAGGCTGAAGGCGGGCGTCACAACGGCCTCGCCGATGCGGCAGCGGACGTAGCTGTCATCATCCGCGGCAACCTCCCGGCACGCGGCGAGCAGCCTCGGCCCTGCAGCCGCGTGGATGGCGCCGTCGGCGTTCTGCCGGCCGGTGAACCTCCAAAAGTTGGGATTCTGGTTGCCGACGAGGCCGGCGTTTGCGCTGGTCGCGATGGCGTCGCAGCGGCGTGTCGCGAGGTTGGTGCGAGGGAGGAGGCGGAGACGCATACGCCTGTCCGCTTCTTCGACTTCGTTCGCCAGGACGAACACGGCGCGTTAACTCTCGTGTGTGTGTGTGTGTCACTCCCTCACTCACTCACTCTTGTCGCTTAGGCGGCGCCCGTGGTGTACCTGTGTTATATTATTAAATGAACTCGGGGGCACAGGACGCGGTACAAACGGGGTACACCAAAAGGCACAGGCTGCCTGCACGGCGTTCACTCGAACGCCATGCACATGGCGCGGAGCAGCATCGGGTTGGTGTCGAACCCGAGCGGGTCCTCCTCCCAGTCCCGGTGCCCACCCTCCGCGTCATCCTGCTCATCGTGCGCGTCGAGCACCCTGCCGAGGCACAGGACCGTCCCCTTGGGAACGCCTGCCCCTCGCGCGCGCGGGAACTCTCCCTGCACCGCCATCACGAACTTCTCGCGCGCCCACTTGCCGCCACGGCGGCAGTGCTGGGGCGCGCGCTCGCGCAGCTCCTCGTAGAGCTCCTCGGCCCTCGCCACCTCCGCCGCCCAGCCCTCCGCTGACGCCTGAGCCGCCTTCTTCTCCCTGAGCGTCTTGAACACCGGCGGCGGCGCCGGCGATGGCGCCACCTCCGGCTCGCCCGCCGCCTCTGCAGCGCGCCGCCCCTTCCTCGCCTTCTCCTTGAGCCGCTTCCTAGCGCTCTTGGTCAACGCCGGCGCCGCCGCCGCGGCCTCGCCGGCCGCCGCACCGGCGATGGATGTCGAGGATGATGAAGGTGATGAAGCCGTTGTCGCGTTGCAAGCGGGGCGGAGAGTGTCGAAAAAAGAAGTGACCCTGTCCGTTGTGCCAGCGCAGCCTGGCGCAGACGCCAGGCCGCGCAGGGGCGCGGCCAATGCCGCAGCCTCCCCGCTGCCCGTTTCGGGCTCCTCCTCCTTCGCCGCCTCAGCCACCTCTGCCGCCGCCTCCGCCGCCGCGCGAGCCGCCGCCGCGCGAGCCGCCGCGCGAGCCGCCGCCGCGCGAACCGAATCGCGAGCCAAGATCTTGAACTCCCTCTCGCGAGCCGCCGCGCAGACTTCCGCCCAGGAGCGCACGTCCCGGCAGCAGCGCACGTCCCGGACATCGCCACCATCCCGGCCGCGACGCGCCTCGATGTCCTCATACGCCCGCACTGTCGCCATCGCCGACGCCAGCAGCCGAATCGCTGCCCCATCGAGGAGGCAGGGTTCGTCGTATCCGGCGGGCCAGATTGTGGTGTACCTGTGTTTCCAGCCCCGCGCGTACTGAAAAAAGAATTTTAACGCAACACGGGGCATTTCTTTCTTTTTTTTGGGCACCTCTCCTTAAAATCCCTGTGTGGTGGCGGCGTGCCGTCCTCCCATCCCTCCCTTGGGTTGTCTGTTTTCTTTCTTTCTTTCTTTTACTGGGCACGGGACTGGCGCGCACTGGCACTAACACAGGTACACCACGTGTTGTGTGAAAAAAGAAAGAAAGAAAACGCACCGGCCAAGGGAGGGATGGGAGAACGGCACGCAAGGGTGGGCGACGGCTAGCGCACCACACCCCTCTCCTTAAAATCCCTATGGGTGGACGCTGGACAGATGATGACGACACGCACGAGCGACACACAGACACAAACAAGCTCACAAGACACACAGCCAGCTGGCTGCCACACACCCTGAGTCGGCAAACACATAACTCAAGGCCATATCCTCCCTGTCGCCCCCCCCAGCACTCCACGGTGCCAAGAGTACAAACAAGGGCACAACAAACAACAGACGACAGGAAGTGATATGCGAGGCTAGAGCGGGCTTGCTCCACCTCTAGCAATCTCACCGGCCGGCAAGGCACGGACGAGACCGTATGTGGGGTCTAGTGAGGTGTCTATGGACGCCCTCCTCAGAGGCTAGCTGCCTGCGGCTAGCCCTATATCTCGCACTCACAGGCAATGACAATCCAATGTATGAGTGTATGCAAGCAGAGGCGCGTGTGCTGATTCTAGATCGCACGCCGTGGCATATGACTTGGGAGGCGTGCGACTGCAGCGCACCCGTCGTAAGGTCGGCGGGCGCGCGTGTCAGCGAGAGAGTTGCGGGCGGAGCCATACCCGACTTCTAGAGGAAGAGCCCCGCGCCACGGTTGCCAGCCGTGCCTTCGCGGGACCCACCCCTCGAGCCGCGTCTCGTCGCCCACTGTCCCTGAGTGCGTCCCGCCTTGGCGGCACACACTCGACGAGGACAGTCCGGCCAACAAGATCGTGTCGCGCGCCGGCGACGGTTGCGGCGTCGTGGTTTCGAGTGCGAAGCGAAGATGGCACGCCCAAACAAAGATTTCAATAAAAAGAATTCCTGCCTCGGTGAAGCGTCGGTGCCATACCCCCGTCCAAATGTCAGCACTCGTGCTGCTCTCCTGCTTTCCGGGCTCTGCCTCTCGCGAATTTTGGCCGTCTCTCGAGCCCTCTGCCGAGTGGCCGCTGCCGTCTCCCGAGCCGTCTCCCGAGCCGACTCCCGAGCCGTCTCAATCTCCAGAGTCGCCCGCCTCGTACTATTCCTACTATTCCTACTATTCCGACTACTGGTACGACGCCACGAACCCGCCGTCTCCGCCGTCTCCGCCGGCTCATCCATCTCCACCAGCCCCTCCTCCGCGTCCGCCGCTTCACCCACTCCACGCCGGCGAGGTCCCCGCCTTCTCGCGTGACGACATCCAGAACGAGGTCGATACCACTGCAGTGGGCGGCCTCGCTCGCGTCTACATCCCGCCGGGCGGCCGCCTCGCCTTCACCACCCCGGTTACCTGCAACGGCAACATCCACCTCTCGATCCGCAGCAGCGGGGTTGGCGCAACGCTCGACGGCAGGAAGGGCTCCCGCATGTTTGCCATCAAGGCTGGCTGCAGCCTCTCCCTCGAGACGCTGCGCTTTGTGGACGGGCGTGCTGACTATGGCGGTGCGGTGTGGGCTGGTCTTGGCGCTGGCGATGTCGCAATGAACGACGTGTCATTCACGAGCTGCGAAGCTCTCCAGGCGCGCGCTCCACATGGCCACCCCACGCCCTCGCCACGCCCCGATCCTGATGCACCTTTGCGCCGATGATCTCGTCAGAACGGTGGCGCGGTGTACGCTCGTGGCGCTGGCCATATCACGACGAACGACGTTTCGTTTTCAAGCTGCAAAGCTCTCCAGGTGCGCGTTCCGCACGGCAACGCACGGCCAGCCCACACCCGTAGAGATGGGCCACTCTGCTGGATGACGCTCCATGTCTGTTGCTGCCCTCGTGCAGAATGGCGGCGCTGTGTTCGTATCCGACAGCTCCTCCCTCGACATCGCGAAAGCCACTTTCACCAGTAGCATCGCTCCATCGGGCTCGGCGCTGTTCGTCGGCGCCAACGTCGAACGTGCATCGATACACGACGCCTCCTTCACGCTGCACGCGGGTGCCACGGTCGTGGCGCAGTCCCAGCTGCTCTGGAGCTGCCAGCTTGGCAGCTGGATGCCTGCAGCCGGCAAGCTTGAGGGCGACCTCGCCGCCCCCGACTGCAGGTTTGACTGCGCCGCAGGCTACTTTGGCGGCTATTCTGGCAGCGCTTACACAATCCACACCAAGGAGACGTGCGCAGGCCAGTGCCCTAGGGGCAGGTTCTGTGAGGAGGGGACAGCCACCCCACGGCCCTGCCCGAGCGGCTCTCGCATGCCTGCGCGCGGAGCGGCGAGCAGCGACAGCTGCATCCCGTGCGCCCCCGGCCAGTATCAACCCCTCGCCGGCCAGGAGGACTGCCTCGCTTGCCCCGCGGGGTCCTTCTCTCCCGACGTCGGCAGCGCCGCCTGCAAAGCCTGCCCGAAGGGCGGCTTCTGCCAGGATGCAGGCGCCGCCTCTCGCCTTGTCTGGCAGCCCTGCCCCGAGGGGAGCTTCAACCTGGCCAACGGCTCCAACTCGAGCGCCGCGTGCGAGTCCTGCCCCGCCGGGACCGCTAGCGCAACGCGAGGCGCGGAAAGCAGCGACACGTGCGTGCCGTGCCGTCCGGGCACCGTCGCGGCAGAGGCGGGCCTCTCCGAGTGCGAGCCGTGCAAGGCGGGATCCTACCAGAACGCCACCGGCGCTGCAAGCTGCGTCCGGTGCGGACTTGGCAGCTTCTGCCCGGTCGGCGCGTCGCTCGAGCTGCCTGCGGCGTGCGAGCCGGGTACTTACGCCAACGTCACGGACGGCGACGGCATCCCCGACTGCTTCGACTGCCCGGCGGGCTCGTCGTGTCCGGGCGGCGCCGCGCGTCCGACGCAGTGCGCGGTGGGCACGATCGCGCCGACCGAGCGGATGGAGGCGTGCGACAAGTGCGCGGGCGGGACCTACCAGAACGACACGGGCGCGACATCCTGTCGCGCTTGCGAGGCGGGCAGCTACTGCGCCAAGGGCGCGTCGGCGCCGCTGCCGTGCGAGAAGGGCAGCTACTCGCGCGCCACCAACCTCTCCGCCGCGAGCGAGTGCACCGACGCCTCGCCGGGCCACATCGCCACCACGGGCTCGACGCAGCAGACGCCGTGTGCCAAGGGAACCTACGCCGCCACGGGCGGCCTCTCCGAGTGCGCGCAATGCGAGGGCGGGACGTACCAGAACGACACGGGCGCTGCAGGCTGCCGCGCGTGCGAGAAGGGCAGCTACTGCGAGCCGGGCGCGTCGGCGCCGCTGCCGTGCGAGGGCGGTTCCTACTCGGACAGGACGGACCTGTCGGCCGCCTCGCAGTGCACGCCCGCCGCACCGGGCCACATCGCCGCCCGGGGCTCCACCGAGCAGACGGCATGCGACGAGGGCAGCTTCGCCAGCGGCACGCGCAACGAGGTCTGCCAGCTGTGCGTCGAGGGCTCCTACCAGGGCGCGACCGCCGCGAGCGAGTGCACCGCCGCCGATCCGGGCCACTTCGCCACCACGGGCTCGACGCAGCAGACGCCATGCGCTCCAGGCAGCATTGCCCCCTCGGCCAACATGCCCGCTTGTGAGCTCTGCCCTATCGGCCACTACGCAGCCTCCGGCACCGCTTGCGAGGAGTGCGAGGCGGACACCTACGCGGCGAGCGAGGGCCTCTCGCTGTGCACTCTCTGCCCTTACCCTACCAGCTCCAAGAGCGGCGACGTCACCTGCTCCATCTGCAAGGAGGGTTTCTACTTGAAGGACGCGAGCGCCGATCCAGACGACATTTTTGAGAACCCGACCGTGCACTGCAAGTCGTGCCCGCTTCACGCCAACTGCAGCGCCGGCACCGCTCTCGCGTCCCTCGGCGTGGACGTCGGCTTCTGGCGCGCCTCTGACGCCACCTCGGAGCTCCACCGCTGTGACTCAGAGACGTGCTCTGGTGGCTCCGGCCAGCCCGCCCGCCGCCGCCGCCTCACCGACGGAGATGACGACCCGTACTGCACCGCCGGCCACACCGGCCCGCTCTGCGAGGTCTGCGTCGCGGACTCGGACTACTTTAGCTCTGCCGAGGGGCGCTGCGTCGCCTGCCCCTCGACGGCTCGCTCCGCCGGCGTCTTTGTCGGCTTTGTCATCCTCATCGCTGTGCTCGCCGCCGCCTATGCTGGGCTCCGTCGCCTCCCCTTCTCCCGCCGCCTCCGGAGGCGGGCCGCCCGCATCGAGTCCGCGGTCGGCCTGCAGCCCAAGTTCAAGGTCGTCATCAGCTTCTACCAGGTGTGCAGCACCCTCGGCCTCGTCTACGGCCTCCGCCTCGACGAGCACTTTATGCGCTGGCTCGACGTGCTCAAGCTATTCAGCTTGGACCTGTTTGGCGTCGCCATCCCCGGCCGCTGCATCGGAGCCATGAGCACGCGGCTGCTCGTCGCAGGCACCTGGCCGTACGCCGCTTTCGCCCTCGTGTCGCTCGCCATTGTCGCGGCGGCGGCGGTCCTCAACAACAAGCAGGCATTCGACCGCCAGCTGCTCGGCCGCCTCCTTTACTGGGCGATCTTCATCTTCTACCTCGCGCTTCCCTCCGTCTCGCGCTCCATCTTCAGCGCGAGGCTGTGCGAGTCCTTTGGCTACGACGACGCGACAAGCCAGCGCATCAGCTTCCTGCTCGCCGACCCATCGCTCACGTGCGACGCCGGCCCTACGTGGGACGACGAGACGGGCGGACTCGCGCCGTACTTTTGGGCCTTCTTCGCCCTCTGGCCCGTCCTCGTGCCGCTCGGCTTCTTGGCGCTGCTGCTCTGCGTCCGCAAGCCCGTGGCTGCGCAGCGCGCAACGCCGCTCTCTCACGCGACGAGCTTCCTTTGGCGGGACTACTCCGCCCGCTTCCTCTTCTGGGAGGTGCTCGACCTGTTTCGCAAGATCTTCCTCACCTCGATGGTCCTCTTCATCGACCAGGAGTACGGCTCCCGCAAGCTGCTGCGCACCGTGGTCGCCGCCATCGTCTCGGCCATGTTTCTCACCCTCTTAGCGCTCGCTCGTCCCTACCGGCGCTCCGACGACCTCTGCCTTGCGTGCATCGCCAACCTGCTCCTCACGTGCTGCTTCGCGTCGGGAGTGGTCATCCAGGTCCGCGATGGCACTTTCTTCCTCGCCTCCCTCTCTCCCTCCCTCCGCGCAACCTCACACCACACCCGCTCGCCCCTCCGCCGCAGCTGTGCGACAGCACCGCGTACAAAGACATGTGCTACACCCTCGTTGGCTACAAGACGTCGCGCAGCGCCACCACCTTTGTCGTCGTCCTCACCGCGGTCATGCTCGCCGTCTCGCTAGCCGTCATCATTGTGTCGGCGGTCAGCGCCTCGAGGGCGAAGACCATGCGGCTCGCCTCTTCGATGCGCGAGCCGATGCGCGACGGCATCACCCTCGCCGACGGCCAGGAGTGGCACCTCTTCCTCAGCCACGTCTGGAGCACGGGGCAGGTTTGCCACCCCCTGCCCCACCGTTTTGCGTGGTGTGTGGTACCTGACTTGCCTTTCTCCCTTGTAGGACGCCGTCGCCGTCATCAAGAACGAGCTCCAGCAGTTCCTTCCCGGCTGCGAGATCTTCCTCGACATCGACGACCTCAAAAACATCGGAGAGCTCGAGGCGTACATTCGTCGCTCGCAGGTAGTGCTCTGCTTCCTGTCGCGGGGCTACCTGCGCTCGACGAACTGCCTGCGCGAGGTCCGCGCAGCGCTAGCGATGGGCAAGCCGCTCGTGCTCGTCCACGAGGCAGACCCGGACAAGGGCGGAGGCACACTCGCCGAGCTGCGATCCGAGTGCCCCGAGGAGCTGCGGGCCGCCATCTTTGACGCCGGCTGGCCGATGGCGGTGTGGCATCGGATCGAGGCCTTCCAGCACGTCTCGCTCAAGGTCATCGCCGAGGCGCTGCTGCTGAAGGCGCCAAAGTACGCGGGAGAGGACGAACTTCCCCTGTGCATCCCTGGCGAAGTCCGAGCCGTCGACCTCGCCTTCCCCAAGCCGGTGGCTCTCTGGGCCTCGACTTTGAACGCCGGGGCGCGAGATCTCGCCGATGCGGTCGCGGCGGCCGTGGCTGGTGGCGTCTCGATCACCGACGCGACGCCCTCGCGCCTCTCCTCGCTGCCTCGCTCGAGCGTCGGCGACGGCGACGGCGACGAGGCGACGCACATGCTGCTCTACCTGAACAGGTCGACGTGGGCCGGCGATGGCGCCGAGGCGCTCGCAGAGCAGGTGCGCGCCGCGCGCAGCGCCAGGCTGCCGATCGTCATGGCGCACGAGAACGACGCTCTCTGCGGCGGCTGCATCTTTGGCCACTTTTTCGAGGTGACGCCGCGCGACCTGATTGCCGATGGGCTGTACCACGACCTCGCCGTCGGTTGCCACGCGGGCCCGCACCGGCAGGTGTCCCTCGCCCTGCTCGCAACGGCGCTCGGCGCGACCAAGCAGACGGCCCAGTCGCGCGTGCGCCGCGCCACCGCGCTCGCTCTAGCGATCCGCGGCCCCTCTACACAAGCGGAGCCGTCGAATGGCGACGACGTTGTGGAAGCGTCAGCGACGCAGGACCGCCAGATTGTCTGAGCGGACGACCTTCACGCTGCACAGCACACCGTGCGCGCACACGCCACGGACGCGCGCGTCAGCGGGGCGGGCTCAGGGCGCGCTACTGGTTTGTTGATACATGGGAGGTGTAAATTTGGTGTCGCGTACTTTATAAGGGCAGGGCGAACCTCGATATGGTAAAAGTAGAGTCCAGAGGCCAGGAGCAGGACCAGCGCTTGCGCTGTGCGCTGCGAAATAAAACTTTCGAAGTTCAAGTGACCCCGCTCAGGTGACCACCCCTTGGTACTCGAGTTGCGTGATGCGATGGCACATGCCCAAGCCGCTTTTGCTGCGCCCTCATGCTCAATGCTCATCAAAAAAAACACTGTTCAGTTTTCAAAGGCAAAAACGCCGGCGTACGCCCTCCCCTCACACTGACATTTCTCCCCTATTCCCAACTCTAGGACTAGGTTGCGCACGTCTCCCAGCGAGCTAGGATCTCCGCTTTTTCTCCCCTAGTCATCCGCCCGCGCCGCGAGCCTCTATGGGCGTCTAGTGCAGCCACTGACAGGGACGGCTTACCGCCTCTGTGAGGGCCATGCCCTCCTCGAGAACAGTCTGCGATCCCGGCGGCCAGCCGACTCGGTGCCGACCAGCAGGGTACCATACTTGACCCCCCCCCCCCCTCGGGCGTTCTCGTTTTCCTACCAAACAGCGCGATCTGGGGCGGGGCGTGAAGCGTATGGGGTGGGCCGGCGATTCCCATGCCGGCTCTCCGCCACAACCCCCGCCGGGAGGGAATCCCTGCTCACAGAAAAGGGCTTCGAGCCCTGTCTCGCGCACGCCCCTGGCGGGCGCCGCGGACCAGTTCCGCGAGCGCTCGTCAGCGGGTGGTGTGCTAGGTGGTGTGCGGTTCTTGCCGTAGTTCCTCTTCGGTCGCCTAGCCCCGGCGCCGTCTGTCGGACGCCTGCGTGTCACGAGTGCGAGCCGCTCGCGGTTCGTACACCCGCTTGCGGGTTCGAGTGGCGGGCCATCCCGCTTGCGGGATGGCTTAGCGGGTTCGAGCCGTCACACATTGGCTGCCGGGGTGTGCCGAGGGGGGGCTGGGTGGGCGGTAAGCCGTCATTGCCCGGCGCTGCTTGCAGCGCTCTGGGTGGTAGTGGCGGCGCTCCAAGAGAGTGGTGCTCTTGGGAAGAGGTTCCTCCTTTCCGCCCCCCCCCCCGCAAGGCGCGAGACACACACACATCTCTATCCATCCATCTAGCAGCAGGCTCGACACAGGTGCGGACTGGCGCGTGCTAGCACTATCACAAGGGAGTGGCCAGGATGCTTTAATTGCAACCATGTGAATTAAGGATGGCTGGCATGCCTAGTTCTCAGCCATCCGGTAGGAGTGTATGGCTGAGGTTAGCCTCAACCAAAGTTCTGGAAGCTCAGAGCGCCGATGGGAAGCTGCTTCTCACCGCGGACGACTTTGGGACGCTCAAGCTATTCCACTGCCCGTGCGTCGTCGAGGATGCGCCGTACCGCGCCGCGACGGGCCACTGCTCACACCTCTCTTGCGCGCGGTTTCTGCGCGGCGACGGCCATTGTGTGTCTTCGGGCGGCAGCGACCGCACCGTGATGCTGTGGCAGCTCTGCAACGCGGCAGGGGAGGGAGACTCCTTTCGGTCCACGCCACGGCCGCTGGCGCGAGCCGCATGGCGCAGCAACGGGCACGGGCAGGCGAGCGCGCCGGGTCCAGGGCGTGGGCCCGGTCGGGGGCGAGGAGCAGGTGGAAGAGTGCGCAGTAGGTAAGCATCGAGTTACTGGACAGGAACGCGCTGGTGTCCAGTCCGAGCCTGGCTGTTCTTCAACTTCCATCGATACATACACACACATGCGCAATACATGCACACACATCAGGACTGCCGCAGTATCCAAGCACGATACGAAAAACTTCTCCGCGTTTCGTTCGCGTGAGCTGCCTGCCCGTCTCTTGCCGCCCCCGCTTGACGCGAGACGAAAAAGACTACAGCAAGTGTCCATCCGTCTGTATTATTATTAACAACGAAGGCGCTCTCAAATAAAGAAAGAAAGAAATGAATACGGAAAACTGAAAGAAACAAAAGAAAGAATGAAAACAGACAACCAAGGGAGGGATGGCACTGAAGAATTTCACAAGAAAACCCCCGGCTTCAATCGCAGCGCACACACACATGTACGCGATGGTGCGAGGCGGCTGCTCTCCTCCTCTAGCGAGGCGTGGCGACGAGCGGCTCTCCTCCGAGAGGTCCTTGATCGTCGCACCGAAGCTCTTATCGGCGCCGAGGACTCCGAGGGCCGAGTCGAGGCTTGCGACGACCTCTTGGCTCGCGTACGCCCCATTGCTGAGGCCGAGCAGCTTGCCGATCTGCACCACTCGCTTCTTCGGATCATCGTCGTCAAACGCGGCTGTGCTTTGGTCGGCGCCCATGCATGCTTCAAACGCTCGCCTTCCAGTGCCCCGCCTCCGGGCAGTTCGCCGAACAAACGGCGAGGGTTGAGAAGGCTCTGGAGGGCCGCGGCAGGCACTGATTTGCTGTAATTTCGTGGCAAGAGGCGTCTGCCCGCTCGGCCAACAAGCAAGAAAAAAATTAACACACGGCGGGATTTTCGTGCGGTTCGGCCGGTGGTGCTGCCGCGCCTTCCTCCGTTGGCCCGTGTGGCTGGGCAGGTGTTGCCGCGCATCGTGCAAGGTGGCGCCGGGCAAGGATGACGCGGCGGGAACGGCGGAGTCCAGCTTCAGCATCAAGGCTTGGGCAGCGGCCGCGGCGGCTCAGAGCCGTGCCCGGCTAGAGCATCTCGAACCGGACCAGCGCAACTTTTCGTATGCGTCGCTCGACGACGTCGTGCTCAAGGCGTGCGCAACGGTAGAGCCCAGAGCTCAGCTACATCTCGGCCCTACACATCGGCCACGTCTCGGCTACAGGCGAGCCCGTTCCACTCGTGGAGGCGGCAGGATTGGTCGGCTCTGCGGCTGATCCTCTTTGGCTGGGGCTCGAACTTGCTTGCCCTGATCGCGATGAGCTTCACCTTTGCGGCCTACGGGTGTGAGTTGTTTGAGCCCGCGAATTTCGCATCCGTCGACACGGAGGGGATGAGTTGGTCGGAGGGCGCAACCGAGTACGCCCTCCTCTCGAACATCACCTTGGCGGAGCAGCTTGCCAGAGGGGATTTTGGCATCGCGTGGGCTTTGTCTGCCTTCCAGCGTTTCGTGCTGCACGAGCCGACGCTCATCCTTGCGGCCAAGGGTTTGCCCGTCCTCTTTGCGAGCGCGTTCTACATGAACTGCTGCGGCGAGACCATCGTCAACCTGCTGACCGTCGGCTTCTCGGTCTGCATGGCCTTTTGTGCCGAGTTGACGAGAGGCTGAGTGTCTTGTGAGTTTGTGTGTCTGTGTGTTGCTCCAGCGTGCCGTCATCTGTCCCGCGTCCACCCATACGAAATCGCGCTGGTGTCCAGTCCGAGCCTGAGACTGTCCTACTTTACCTTCCTAACTCTAACTAAAAATTGACTCACTCGCTCGCTCGCTCCGTCTCAATAACCGCACTTGAGAGAGCGTGAGGCACGGACACGCCTTCTCAAAAATGAAATAAAAATAAATCCCTCCAAGTGCTCCTGAGAGATGAGTCATAAATACATAAAAAAAACGGACACCTCTACTGTGATCTGTGAGATGGGTAAAAAGGAAGGAACAGGTCCCCGCCCGTGCGATCTTTGTGCAGGGTTCTTTGTTTGAGATGAGTCATGGTGTCTGTCCGCCTTTTGCGTTTGTTTCGTAACCACGCAAGCGTGTGTGTCACGCACCCGAGGGGAAGGAGGTGGGGGAAAGGCAAGAAATCAAAAAATTCTTTTGTAGCCAGTGGGTTTTTTTATCCAAACTCTCTCACACAACACTAAGCACGGGACTGGCGCGCACTGGCACTAACACAGGTACACCACGCTCCACGGGAGCCGCCTAAGCGACTCCCGCCCGGGCGAGGACGGCGAGGCACGAGGCTGACGCAGGGTTCGTGATTTCACATAAGAGGTCGTGCGCGTCGCTGCCGACGCATCTCGCGTGTATGGTGTTTTGCAGTGTATTTCGGCGGGGGCGCGCATTAAAAGAACATTGAGGCAACACACACGTCCTCGAGCGCCCGAGGACACGAACCAAGCTGCACCTCCTCTCACTAGTTATTGTGGGCTCTTTCCTTTCTACACTTCCTCGCTTTCAAACACCGCGTTTTGATGCAGTGAGGGCGGGCCCCTGTTCTTTGAGCCTTGGGGACGACCACGGCCTTGACCACGGCCTCGCTGCAGGGAAGGTGGGAAGCAGGAACGCGCGGCATTGGTGGCACAGAGATCCCTACCGGTGCCGGCAGTGGTAGGCGCACCGCCGCTCTCTCCGCTGCCGCCTCCGCCGCTGCCGCCTCGACTGCTGCCGCCTCCGCCGCTGCCGCCTCGGAGATGCCAGAGCCTTCGAAAGTAGTCGAACTTGTGAAATTTTCAGTGAAACGGGGGCGGCCGAAACGTTTCATGTGAAATTCACATGAATTCACATGTGAAAGTGAAAGTGTGAAAATTCACTCACGAACCCTGGGCTGACGTGAGTGTGAGTGAGTATTCTTGATACGAACACTCACACACACACACACACACACACACACACACGTACACACACACACACACACACACACACACACACACACACACACACACACACACACACACACACACACACACACACACACACACACACACACACACACACACACACACACACACACACACACACACACACACACACACACACACACACACAAACACTGCACAGCGTGAGCTCGTGGGTGAGTACTCTTGATACGAAACCACGTCGACGACACACAAACAAAACGGCTTCCAAGTAAGAGCTCACTCAGAGTCATTGCGCATTGGTCCTCGCACTTAGAGCCAGACAGGCTACTCGAGTACGTATGGTAAGTATCCTCTTCCGACAATTCTACAAACATGCCTGGCAGCCCATGACCCCGACGCGAGCCGGAGCCTCGGCCCGGAGGGCGGGGGCGCAGGTAGAGGTTGGGCTGGCGTGGGGGGGCTCAGGTAAAGGTAAACCTGTCTCAGACCGCCGGAGTTAGAGGTCCGACGGAGCCAGCTCTATTCATTGCGGCGTTCGATTGAGACCTCCACGGTGAGCGTGTCGTCAACTAGGAAGCCGGCGCTCAGCTTCTCCAGCTCGATGAACTTCTGCCAGCCCCAGTCTTCGTTTATCCAGCCCATATGCGGCTTCGCTGTATGCTTGAACTCATGCTCGGCCCACTTCTGAACGGACTTGCGAGGCGTCTGGTTGTGAAGTTTTAGCGTGAAGTCTGCTTTGACCGTGACGTCTCCGACCGCATTCGGACATATGAGGAAGATTCCGAGGTACCCCTCTACCTCGCCGCCCTTGCTCAGCTTGAGCTGCCACTCATCGCCTCCCGATCGAAAGATGGGCGAGTACACTCTGCCCTCGCTGTCGCCCGACACCGAGAAGCTGGGCACCTTCCAAGTGTAGGCGAGAGAGGCAACGCGTCCGGTGGCTTCGAGGTGGATGCGCCGCTGCGGCTGATCGCTGAGCAAGCGCTTTGCCACAAGTTGCATGTGCTCCGCCACCAACGGCTCCGTCAGAACTTCCGACGAGACGAAGCTCGGGCGCATGTCCCGAAAGTGGATGTGCTGCAAGATCGCGCTCAGCTCTCCCGGCGAAGGCTGAGCAGCGCGCGCCCACTTGATGACCGCCGCAAAGACCGTCTCCTCTGAAGCGTGGACCCGCCGGCCCCGGATTAGGCACTCAAGCTGCGGGCAGCTCAGCGACAAAAACGAGGTGGTGCTCACCACATCGGCGAAGCTTTCGCACGCAAACTTTAGGCAAGCGGCCTTGAGCGGCTTGACTGCAGGCAGTCCGAGTCGCGCCGCCGTCGCCCACAGATCGAGGCAGTTGTCGCCCGCCAGGCCCGCCCCGAGCACCTTCGCCAGCTCAGCCACGAGCGGCTGCACTTGCAGCATCGCTGCCGCCTCGAGCAGCTCAACCAGCGAGCGCACCGCAACGCGCGCCTTTCCAGTGTACAGGTACTCGAGCACGAGTTCGAAAGAGCTGGCAGAGATGTCGTGTAGCTCGACGCGGCCCGTCTGCTCCGTCATCGAGCTCTGCAGACACGTGCTCATAAAGTCGGAGCTCGCGAGAACCAGTCGGTGAGCGGCAAACGATCTTCCCTCCACGACAACCGTCGCGTCGCAAAAGGTCGAGGCGCGCCAGAGCGCAATCTGCCGCTCGGGCTGCGGCTCACCATCGCTGAGTTCTACCGCCGCGACCTGGTCATCGTCGACCGCATCGTGCGCGCGCTTGGGCATGAGCTCAGCGTAGCTGCGGCTTAAGAGCTGCTGCTTCAGAGCTGCGAGAGCGGCGCGCAAGCGGCGAAACTTTCTTTTTGAGCTTAGGTTCTCGAGGTTCTCGAGGTGGAGAGAGAGAGAGAGAGAGAGAGAGTAGGTGGGCGAGCTTCAAGCGCGCTCATCTCGATCGTCAAGGCGTCGCTACGCGCGGTCTTCCGCGGGGGGAGCGTCGCCGACGGGTGCGGGACCGCGGCGCAGCCAGTGCCGTGGCGATGCCTCCGGCTGCTGCGGCGAGTGGCTTGCTGCTCGCTGCGATGGCGGAAAACTCGTCTCGTGGCACACCAAGGGCTTATGCTCTGTCGAGACGTGAGGCGTATGCGCCCAGGAGGGGAGGGTGCATGCGTAACGACGCTGCTAGAGATGCCTTTCGGGGCCCAGAGATAAAACTTCTGATGCCATGCGTGACCTAGTAGTGTCCCCAGCTATGGGCGTGTCCACGTTGGAGCCAGGTGTGGTGTGGACGCGAGAATAGCTCCGCCGTTCATGGAGGCAACCGATGCGAGTCGACTGGTGTGTGTCGTCGTGGTTTCGTATCAAGAATTCTCTCTCTCTCTCTCTCTCTCTCTCGAGGTGGATATCCTTTGGCCGCGTTGGGTAGCGAGGATTGGTGTAACCCGAGCCACGGAGGCGTGTTTTCTGACGGCCGACCGTCAGTGCACGGAGTTGCCCCTTCTCCGACTGCCCCGGCTAGTTCCCGAGTTTCGCGGGAGTGACCCCATGCGTCAAACTCGAGACCTAGCGCGGGTGGGTTGGAGGGGCCTCGGAAAGGCGCGCAAGCACGCCCTACGTCTTCCCCTCCTCCCCATCGGGCCGCATGAGCGGCCACGCCTCGCAGATTCGTTTCCGCGCCTGGGTCAGGCGCGCGGGGCATCCCCCGGGTCGCTCGACCAGCGATCCGAAGAGTGGCCGCTATGCGAAGGAAAGAGTGGGGCCCTCGACGCCTCAGTCCGGCCCTCCGAGGGGGGAAGGGAATTGCGGGGTCCCCTCGGGCGCCTCAGTTCGGCCCTCCCGAGGGGGGGAGGGGAGCAAGGGGGTGGGGGGATTGGGGTGGTGGGGAGGGGTCTCGGTTTTATGTGGCTATTACTTGCCTTTCGGGGAGGGGCCTCGCGCCAAGCGCTCATCACCGAAGTGAGAGCTGCCTGACCTCTTCCCCTCCTCCCTCGAGGCAGCGAGTAGGCAGCGAGAGGAGGTCTCGAGCGCCTATATGAAGGTATGTGAGATGGTGATGGGAATGGGTGGTCGGGCGGGCGGGCGGGCGGGCGGGCGGGCGGGCGGGCGGGCGGGCGGGCGGTCGGGCGGGCGGGCAAGCGGGGAGAGGCGGGTGGGCGGGGCGGAGCGGGCGGGCGGGGTGATCGGGGGAATCGTGTCCACAATCGGCAGCGGCGGAGCAGCAGCAGCAGCAGCAGCTGCTGTAGCAGCAGGCAGCAGCCTGCCGCAGATTCCTGCCGTTGTCTGCGCCGCGATCCGCCGCCGCGCCGCCGCGCCGCCGCCGCCTGCGCTCGCCGCCGCCTCGTAGACGACTCCTCTCGCGCTCGGAGAGCCGCGCAGCGGGCCGCGAGGTTGAGGTCAAAGTGTGCAGCAAAGTGGCGGTCATGAAATCATCAAAATTTGAGGTTGCTCGAGAGAGCCTGGAAATGGTCCCGAGCCGTAGCCCCGGTGTCGGCGCACCGCCTCTCGGCCGCGACGGGCCGGCTCCGCCGCTCAGTCGAGCAGCAGGGGCTCTGGCACAGTTTTGTCGACAAACTGGTCGAGCCAAAAATTGGCGAGGAAGCGGCACCGGCGGCACGCCGGGACGAATCCAGACTGATCACATTGTTCGGCACCGCGGCGGCGAGCCGCCGCGAGCCCACAGGAGAGCTGGGCGCCGCGGCACCAGACCGCGCCGCCAGCGAGGCGAGAGCTGCAGCCGACCGGCCGTGACATGGCAGTTGCAACGGCGGGATCCCTGTTCAGCTTATATCCCTATCATTGAAAGTAGCAACCGGGTCTGTCCAACCACTCTCCGAATGGGATTTTCTGCCCTGCCGCCTGTCGCGGCCCCGCCTGCCTCCCGGGGCCCGCCCGGCCGTGCCATCCGCCGCCGGACCGCCCGGCGGGTCCAACCCGAAGCGGGCGACCGGCCGTTCGCACCGCTCGGCCGGCGGGGCGAGCCCCGCGGCCCTCGATCGCTCGCCCCGGGACGTGGCCCGACCGGCCCACGCGCACGTCCTGGCCTCTACCGCCGCTTTCGGCGGCGCAATTTGCGCCTTCATCGCTCTCTGGATCCTCCTGGCACCCATCGGACTCTTCCCGACGGTCGGCGGCACCCACTCCGTGCACTTTGAGTCAGACTCGCTCTTCGGCAGGCACGCTCTTCGGCAAAAAGTCGCCGCCGGCCGTTCACGCCGAGCCAGCCAGTTGCCGGCTCGCACGGCAGCCTCTTCCTCTCGACCAGCCTCAACTTCGACACGGTCATCATTTTGTCGCTGCGTGCTCGTGGCGAGCCGGGCGGCGGTCAAAGTTTGCCCAGACGAGCGCCAGGCGATAGCAAGGTCTCTGTTCGCCCTGTGCATGTCAGGCCAGGCTGCAGCGGGGCACTACCATCGTGCTACGCTGTTGCAGCCTGACCTTTCCCACTGTGCACAGCCGCCAGAGCACCACCACCGCCCGGCATCGTGTCACGGCGAGCTCCTTCTGCACCCGTTCGCGAGGCTCTTGCGCTGGCACACTTCGGCCTTCCGCTGCTCGCGTTCGGCGAGATCTTCTCCGCACTCCTGCCACGGTGATGTCGCCACACACCTTCTGGCCGGCCTGAGCCATGCGGACTCGACCTCTCTCCCTCTCTGGTGCACGCCACGGGCCGCGACGGCTGCTGGCAGCCGGCCGGCGTGAGGAGGCAGTTTGCCGGCACAGTCGAGTTGGAGTATCCGCTTCTTGATGCTTCTGCGGTCAAGCTCGACCTTATGTGACATGATATGCCACAATAATGCATGCTCTCACCCCTCTAAGTGTCGAAGTTTACCGGTGACTCTCCGGTGGCCCGATAGTACCGTGTGCCTTTCTTCAAACGAACGCGCTTCGAGGTTCGACAATCGCTAAGCTGCTTATGGGGCACCGCTGCGACTCCCTTGGGGATGCCTGAGGCCACCCCAAGCACTCCCTAAGCCTTACGTGGACGATTTCAACCCTACTCTGTGTTTGTTCGTCTACGCACATTAGCAACTTTGTGCTCATGTCAACGCCACGCCAGCGCTAGCCCATTCAACCCCGCCCCATTGGGGGCGGGGCCCGTCAAGGGCCTCACTCTAGTTTCGATATTATGAAACAAAGCAAGGCGGACATGGCATATCGCTCTCGGGCCCACAGACATCCCGCACACCCGCCGCCCCCGCGCGCGCCCCACCTCGGCCGGGAGAAAGGGGAGTGACAGTTTGGGATGAAAGCCCGAGTATGTTGAGTCCTGGCTCAACAACGCAGGGAACAAGAGGGGGTGGTCCGGCTCACAGGTCCGGCTCACGCGCCTCGAGCTTACCATCTACCGCACTGAACACTTCCGCCCCCTCGCTCCCAACCCATCCACCCCGCCCCGGGCCGCGCCGCGCGATCTCGGGCGATCTCTTAGCGCTACTCGTAGCAGCAGCACCACCAGCAGAGAGAGGCGCCAATTTTGAGGTTGCCCGAGACAGCCTGGAGATGGCCCCGCGTTGTAGCCCCGGTGCCGGCGCCTCACATCTCAGCATCCAGGGGCCGGTTCCGCCGCGCAGTCGAGCAGCAGGAGCTCGGGCACAGCTTTGTCGACAAAGAGCTTGAGCAAAATTTCGGCGAAGAAGCGCCACCGGCGGCACGCCGGGATGAATCCGGACCGGTCACATTGTTCGGCACCGCGACGGCGAGCCGCCGCGGGCCCACAGGAGGGCTGGGTCCTGGGAGCCGCGGCACTAGACCGCGCCGCCAGCGGGGCGAGAGCACCAGCCTACAACCAGCCGTCCCGACATGGCAGTTGCGACGGCGCTTTCACACACACACAATACTCACAAACAAGACAAGACGGAGGTAGGTAGGTAGAAAGGTGAAGAACAGCCAGGCTCGGACTGGACACCAACGCGGTATGGGTGGACGCTGGACAGATGATGACGACACGCACGAGCGACACACAGACACAAAAGGCTCACAAGACACACAGCCAGCTGGCTGCCACACACCCTGAGTCGGCGTACACATAACTCAGGGCCACATCCTCCCTGTCGCCCCCCCCAGCACTCCACGGTGCCAAGGGCACAAACAGGGGCACAACAAACAACAGACGACAGGAAGTGACATGTGAGGCTAGAGCAGCTTGCTCCACCTCTAGCAATCTCACCGGCCTGCGAGGCACGGACGAGACCGTATGTGGGGTCTAGTGAGGTGTCTATGGACGCTTTCCTCATGGGCTAGCTGCCTGCGGCTAGCCCTTCAAGACGGACGCCAGGACGTGCGAAAAAAAGAAACGAGCTTGTCCTCAAACGTAGCACTTGGAGCAATTTGGAGTGCAGTCGGCAGCCGCACGCCCAGGACCGGGGAGCTAGGCGTACCGGCCGCTCGCCTAACCATGCTCTGGCGGAACGCGCTGCCGCTCAGCGCCGTTGTGCTCGCTTATTGCACCTATTTCGACCACCGCGTTGTCGCTCCGCCGTTTGACGGCCGAAAGGTCTTGTTCATTGGACCTGGAATGGGACACGTCGCCTTCACGCTGGGATTTGTCGGCACGCTGCTTGCGGACGAGGAGCTGGTGGATGCCATTCACGCGGAGAGAGCGGTCTTTGGGGGCACGAGCTCGGGCGTAATGGTCGCCTCGTACGCCGCAGCCGTGCTGGCCGGCTGCGGCACAGTCGACGACTGGTACCGCGCTCTTCGCAAGGGCTACGAGACGGTCGCGAATCGCTCCACGCTGGCGATGCTTCAGGAGCTCGACGCAGCGGCGCGTGCCCACCATGGGAGGTGTCGGGTGGAGCGACCAGACTGGCTACGCGAGTACCTCGGCCCGTGTCTGTGACGGAAGTCGGCACGCTGCGGCCGCGCTTCTTCACTCGTTCGACGGTGAGGACGACTTTGCGGCCGCGATGACCGCCTCATCGTACGTGCCGGGGCTGATGGGGCTGCGTCCCTGGCTGCGCGTGCGCGGCGCCGCCGCCTTTGACGGCTACCTGAGCCTGTGGAGGACCTGGCTGCCTCAAAACTACCTGTACATCGGCTTCCTGCCGACGCTGCCGGTCCATCGGATCGGCGAGCACTCGCTGCGCGCGTTCGAGTACGACTCGTTGCCTGGCTGGCTCTCGAAGGCGAAGCTGCGTAGGCCAATCTCGGCTCAACTCGGCTCGTCCCATCTCGACCTCCCGGCTCCTCTCGGCTCATGACCGGCCAGCTCTCGCAGGTGGCGCCGTGGAATGGGGCGGAGTGGGCCGACGCCGCGTACGCGAGGGGGAGGCGCGACGCGGAGACGAACCGCCTCGAGCTGCGAAGGAGGATTCTGTCCTTCCTGCGCTCGTAGCGGGTACAGTTGTCCCTCCGTCACGCGCTCGCTCCAGCCGCGGCATGTCCATGTGCGTTTTTCTGTGGTGCGTTTGTTCATTGTTGGCGTGTCCCCGCTGCACGCTTTCACGTTCCTTTGTGACTTGTACATAAAGCTACGACGTCGAGATCCGACACGCGGACACGCCTCGAAACTCAAACTGTAGACTCTGAGTGTGAGCCATAGGACGTAAGAAGAGTACAGCACCCGTGCGCGAGGGTGCGGACCCGGCGGCGGAGAGTCAGAACGCGTTCACGCGCGATCGACGCTTACATAGTCCGGCTCAGCTCCTAGGATGCGAGCACGGGGTCAGAGGCCCTCTCGAGGAGCACCTCCACCGGCACCTGGAGAAAACGGCTGCGCCACACAGCGCGAATACGCACGCTGTCCGTGTCGGGAAAGTACGACACCTCGGTCACCTCTGTTCGCTTGAGCGAGCCAAATCGGGTATCTTCCAGGAAGATGTGGCCGACACTGTCTGCCGAGTGCGCCATGCTGTACTGCCGCGTCCCGCTAATAGACACGCCGGACGAGGCGTGGATGTCGATGAGAACGGTCCCTCCCGAGACGCGGATGCCACCGCTCATCTTCACGAGGTTGAGGTACACCTTGGTCGATGATCCGATGATAAAGCTGCCCGCAAAGCCCCGATGCTGCAGAGGCGCAGCCGAAGCCACCTCTGTCTTGGCAGCCGCACTTTTCTCGGTCTTGGCGTCCGCGATCTCCTCGGTCTGGGCACCGGCGGCCTCCTCTGTCTTGGCCGCATCCTCCTCAGCAGTCGCATCCTCTTTTGATGCCGTGGGTCTCTGCGAGAGGTCGCTTTCCGAGTCTGAGCTGTAGTCAGACTCTGTCAGCTCATCCGCGTCCTGCTTGGCATTCGCCTGGCTCGACAGCTTCAGCAGAGCGAAGACGAGCATGGCGCGCGACCGAAACGGCATTGGAGTTGCGACCAACACCGGTTTTTGAGCAAGGAAGCACTTCAGCTGTGTTGGAACAAAGTCGCGTTATTCTTTTTGCTAGCACGCGCCAGTTCGCACCTGTGTCGAGCCTGTCTGCTGTGAGAGAGAGTTCTTTTGTTTAAATTCTTTTTGCGTCTAAATTCTTTTTGTTTATATTCTTTTTGCGAGGGAGCTTTGTTGTAAAATTCTTTTTGCTTCGTTTAATATTACAAGCCCATGGTCCCTGGTACATGTAGCAGTCACTCGCAAACCACACACCGTACCGCACCGCGCGCCCGCCCACCGCCCCGCCCAGGCGGGAAAGAGATGAGGGGATGGGACAGCGAAGGAGGAGCACACGAAACGTACAAACAACTACACTCACGCGTCATTTGGGGCCTGGAGCCCTGTTCACGCGCGCGCAAGACGTGCAGACAGTCTCTCTCTCTCGAAACGTATGGGAGGGTAAAGTTGCGCGACACGCTGCCCGGCGTTCTTCTCACTTTCCGGGACAGCCCCGCCCTTGTGAGGCAGGAAAGTGACGACTACCCCATACGCCCTGTATCTTCTACCCCATCGCCGACCGCCCAAACCCCTCGCCTTGCCCCCCCTCACCTTGTTGCGCGGCCCCGCCCCCCGCCCGTTTTCGCAAAAACACTGTCTTTCTTCTTTTGGGGCGGGCCTCTGTCTCTCGAGCTGTCTGTGTAATGTTTTGGCAAAACTAAATAAACTACATCGCACATCGTTTGAGACCTGGAGCCCTGCCCTGTTCACGCGCGCGCGAGTGTGCCGCTTCACCTTACCTCTCGCCCAAAACATCACCGCTGGACTCCGCCTCTGCAGGCGGCGGGGCCTCCAGTACTGCTGCCCGCGAGGATGCACCACTGGTGCTGGTGCCAGCAACGTCGTCGCCTCCACCGTCGCCGTCCTCCCCGTCGCCGTCGCCGCCCTCGCCGCCGCCGCCTCCGCCCACGCCGCCGCTGTCCCCGCCGCCGCCGCCGCCGCCCTCGCCGCCCTCCCCCCCGCCCGCCGCTCCCTCCAGCAGCGCGACGACCGCCTCGTGGCCAGCCTTGCGCGCCAGCGCCACCGCGGTCGCGCCGCGCTTGTCGGTCGCTCCCCGGTCCGCCCCTCGCCGCAGCAGCTCCGCCACAATCGGCGCGTGGCCCTTTGCGGCGGCGCAGTGCAGCAGCGTGCGGGAGTCGTACAGGCCGCCGCGCTGAGCTCCTGCGGAAGAAGCCGAGGAATGAAAACGGACACTCCTCTCGCGGGCAGAGATGGACCCGCAACAGTTCAGAGGACTGTGTCGACACACTCGGGCAACCTCCGGTGACCTCGGGTAGTCTCGGGTAGTCTCGGGTCATCTAGGGGTCTGCGGACGGCGGACCAACGACTCGTCGATGGCGAGGCAGGCAATCAACGGCGCCAGCTGGCCCGTCAGCGCCAGCAGGAGCGGGTCCGCCTCGTGTCGGCCTGTTCACAGCGCCGCACGTGTGAACAGCCGCCCTTCCACACACATCCTTCGCCGCGTCACCGTCGACGCGGCCTCGCTTAGCGCCGCCGCCGCCTGCTCCCTCGGCCCCGTCGCCGCCCTCTTCCGCGCTGCCCCGGCCTCGCTTGCCAAGCGCAGTCGGGGCGCCGCCCGCAGCCGCCTCACGCGCAGCCGCCGCCATGACCGGACGCATCGAGCCATATCCAGCGGCGGCGGCGGCGGCGTCGCCGACGGGGGTGGCGGAGGCGGCGGGGGTGGCGGCGGCGGCGGCGACGGTGGTGGCGGCGGCGGCGGCGGCGGGCGCGGCGGCGGCGGCGGCGTCGCCGACGGGGGTGGCGGAGGCGGCGGGAGTGGCGGCGACGACGGTGGCGGTGGTGGCGGCGGCGGCGGCGGCGGGCGCGGTGGCGGCGGCGGCGGCGGCGGTGGAGGGGGTGGCGGCGGCGGCAATGGTGGCGGCGGTTGCTGCTGACCGGCCGACATCGCCCCAACCGCCACACGCCGCGACGGGAGTCTGGCCGGTGAAGCTCGCCTAGGGTTCCAGCTTTTGCTTTTCTGTCTCCACCGCCGCGGGAGTCTGGCCAGTGAAGCTGGCCAGTGACCGGCCGCTGTGCAGCCGACAGCGCTGCGGCGGCCGGCGAAGCCGCCGCCAAGACTCGGCCTAGAAGCGAGAGCCGCGAACAGTAGCGGCTGGGAGGTGTGAAGAGATGGCAAGCGAAGCCCCACCGAGTGAGCTGCGCCGATCGTCTTGCTCCAGCTCGCCCCTCCCTCTCCCTACCGTACCCTTACCAGCGGCGCCTCCTCCCCCAATGTCGCCCCACCCTCCGCACGCAGCAAGCGACGGCGTCGCCTGCAGGAAGGCTCCGAGAAACTTCAGGGGACGCCGCGTCTTCACACTCCACGCGCCGCTGGCGGCCGCGCTGCCGCGTGGCGCTGCGCCGGCCGCCTCTCGTCTGCCCCGCCTCCTCGTCCGCCGTCACCCTCCCCACGGCTGCGCTTGCGCGACGGGGTTGCAGCCCTGGCGGAGGCAGCAGCCGTTGCAGCAGCAGCAGACCTGGCAGTGGCAGCAGCCCCGGCGGTCGCAGCGGCAGGCGCGGCGGGTGCAGAGCGAGGAGTTCCGTGCGCGGCGGGGGCGGGACGACGAGAAACGGGCATGGGACGAGCTGCTGCGGCAGTGGCTGTCTCCACAGCAGCCTCGCCGCCGCTTCCGCCGGCGGCGGCCTCGGCCAGCCGCTTCTGCTGCATGATCGTTGCCTTCTCCGCCTCGAACTCCTCTCGGGTGAGGACGTCCTGATCGAGTTGGACGATGTGGAGTCAGGTCCCGACCCACCCTGAGGAGGAGCTGGCTGGTGCGTGGCAGCCCAGTTGGCGGAGTAGTCTCTACCCGTGTGCGTCTGTGTGTCGCTCCCGTGTGACCGTCACCGCCCGTCTAGCAACCACCCATACCGCGCCGGTGTCCCAATCGTTGTGAGTCGGTGTGTCTGTGTGTCACTGCGGTGTGGCCGTCTCTCCGCCCCCTCGCTCGCATCCCACGCACACCGCCGAATGGCGTCCTCTCCTCTCGCTGCCACAAGCTGTGTCTCTTCCACCGCTCCAACCAACTAGCGGGCGAGGCCGTCCTGCAGCTGCTTGAGCCGGAGAAGCTCGCCTATTCGCAGCTCGAGGTGTGAAGAGACGCTGTTCACAGCTCACCTGCCGAGCCGGAGAAGCTCGCCTATTCGCTCACTCAGCTGCTGTCAGCAGCGTCTACACGCAGCGGCAGCGCCTGCGCCTGCTTGAGGGCGGACTCTTCCAGTCGTAGCCCGCGGCTGGCCCCGCTGATCCCGCAGGGGGGGCGCGGGGAGCCGGCGCGGCGGCGAGGTTGGCGGGCGTCTCGTCGTCGGGAGCGGAAGTGGCGGGCGGAACAGGAGCGGCGGGCGGAACAGGAGCGGCGGGCGGAACAGGAGCGGCGGACGGATCGGGAGCGGCGGACGGATCGGGAGCGGCGGGCGGGGCGGGAGCGGCGGGCGGGGCGGCCCGAGCAGCGGCTGCAGTCTGCAGTGGTGCCTCGGCCCCCAGCCCCGCGATTGGAACCACACCCGACTTGTGCTCTGGCTGGCGTGCCGTACCGCCGCCGGCGGACGCCTCCTCGCGACCGCCACCGCCGACGCTGTCCCCGCCGCCGCCGCCCTCGACCCCGCCCGCCGCTCCCTCCAGCAGCGCGACGACCGCCTCGTGGCCAGCCTTGCGCGCCAGCGCCACCGCGGTCGCGCCGCGCTTGTCGGTCGCTCCCCGGTCGGCCCCTCGCCGCAGCAGCTCCGCCACAATCGGCGCGTGGCCCTTTGCGGCGGCGCAGTGCAGCAGCGTGCGGGAGTCGTACAGGCCGCCGCGCTGAGCACGGTGGATCAACGAATCGTCGGCGGCGAGCGCGGCGGTCACAACTGCGGCTTTGCCCGCTGTCGCTGCCAGGAAAACGTCCGACATATACGTGTGACGCCGCCACACCTGTATCCGACATCGCGTGCTGAGTGAGCCGAACAGGTCATAGGAGAGGACAGGCATTGGCACTTCGTACCCTTCTCCTTATTGCCGGCTTTAGGCAGAGAGAGCGTCGTGCTACTCGAGTAGTCGGCAGCTGGGCGTCGGTGTTTTGGTCAGGGGGGCGGGGGAGTGGGGGCGGGGGGGGGGGGGGGGCTTCGCACAGAAATAACCGGTGTGTGTGTGTGTGTGTGTGGGCGCGAGAATAGCTCCGCCGTTCATGGAGGCAACCGATGCGAGTCGACTGGTGTGTGTCGTCGTGGTTTCGTATCAAGAATACTCACTCACTCACTCAAATAACCGGCTGAGACGGGAAGACGTCCGCCGCCAGCGGCGTGGCGTGGAGCGGTTGTGCATCCCTCCGGGGGGCCCTCTGCGCCGAAAAGGCGTTGTTGGAGGCTAGGACGCAAGCGTCCGTCGCCCTTTTCACGGGGCCCACTCCGCTACGCGGCGATAGGGCTAGTAGGCTACGCTCCGACCCGAATTTGGAGGGCCGAAAAAAGTTTCAATCGTGTGTTTGGCGTCATGTTGTTTTGTCATGTTGTGTGTGCCTTCCCTTGTTATTAACATCGAGTGTATCGCGCGCCTTGCGGGGGGGCGCGGAAAAGAGGAACCTCTTAGCGCCCTCGCCATGGTGCTGCAAGCAGCGCCGGGCGACGACGACTTACCGCCTCCCGGTCCCCCTCGGCACACCTCCGCTGCTCAATGTTTGACGACTCGAACCCGTGAAGCTTCCCCGCGCGCGGGTTACCCCGCACACGGGTCAGCCTGCCAGCCACAAATCCACGCAAGCGTGGTCCGCGCGCATGGCATACAGGCGTCCGCCAGACAGCGCAGAGGCTAGGCGACCGGGGAAGGACTAGCTCAAGGGCAACACAGCGTCACCAGCCGTTGGCGCGCAGAACGAGTCAGCGGCCCCCGGTTGGGACGAGTGCGCGACGCGGACGAACCGCTCAATGTGGCCGGCAGCTCGCGCTGCCGGCGGGGTTGGTTGGGGAGAACCGGCACGGGGAAGGCCGGCCTCCCCGGAGGGGTCGCCCCCTGGAGGGGCCCCAAAGGGCCCCCCGGGGGGGCGGGGGCCCCCGCCCCGAGGGGCGGGGGCGGGTCCTTCCGTGTCGCTCCCGTCGTCGGGATTGTCCGTCGGGATGGTGTTGTCCGCCCACTCGGTAGCGTTTGAGCCTCTGTCACCTTGGACTGGAAGCGATCGAACTCGGCCCCCGAGGCAGCGGCGAGGAGCTCACCCCCTTCCAGCTCGTCGACAATCGCCTCCCCGACTGTGACCTCCTGCCCCCCCAGCCTGAGACGCTTCCTCGTCCAGTCTTTGGCCTAGAGAGTGGAGTGACGAGTGACGGTACATGGGCGATGGGGCCGACATCCTGGATGCCGGCAGCCTTCGAGATCTTGGACGCGTCGGGCAGCGAGCCGGGTGGCGCGGCGATGTCGCAGATGGTGGAGGCACTGCTCCAGGGGATCGTACCGGGCTGGCACTCTCCGCGATCGCCGCTGCCGCGGGGGACCGTCTCCTCGTCCCAGACGGCGAGCGGGCGCGACAGCGCGTCGATCGGCACCCCGCTGAGCTCGCTGGATCGCTCGAGCAGCGTCTCGACTTCGTCGTCGTGCGGCGAGACCTGCAGCCGATGGCCTCGGGCGGTTTGCGACGCGCGGCGAAGTGGGGCGTGAGTTGAGAGGCGGCCCGCCTGTGCGAGCAGCAGGAGCGTTGTGGCGAGGCACTGCTTGGCAGACTCGCTCGCACGGTCGGGCAGCTCGAGCGTGTCGATCGGATCGAACAGCACTTGAAGCATGTGGTCCCACCGTGCCTCGAGGTCGTCGATCTCCATGACGGCCTCCTCGCCGAGCTGTCGCAGCAGCTCTCGAACGGATGCGCCTCGGAGCTTGAGCCGAGATCTCCTTTCTGTTTCTCTCTTCTGCCGCTTCCTCTTCTCGTCCTTAGACGCACTCGGGCTCCACTCTGGACGTCCATTCTGGAGCTCTACCTCGTACATTCTGGACGTGCCGCCAGCGCCGCCCGAGCTCTCGAAGACCTGGCCCAGGAGGGAGGCGCGGGGGGGGCCAAGGTCGGCGGTGACTCCACCGCCTTGCCCGAGCTTGCCCTTGCGGTTCTCGCCGAGGCGAAACCGGATTTTGCGCGAGTCGTGCTCGATGGTCGAATTGATCTGATCGATCGCATCGTTGGGAGCGAGCTTGGGGTCCTGCCGCAGCATCGGCCAAAGGCGTGTGGCAATCAGCGGGCTCTCCATGTTCACGTACTGGTACCGGGTGTTTACCCGGACCAAGCACTCTGACTCGACGTCGATGAGGATCGTCCCCACCTCGTGCGAGGATGGAGACCCGAAGAGTGAGATGGCGGTCCGAGTCAATTGAGACAGCGGTGGCGTCATGTCGGCGTACCTGCGCGCGAGCCAGCCCGGTGGTGAAGACGGCGGCGCGCAGCTACAGTAGCGGCCCGCAACTACAGTAGCGGCCCGCAACGGCCCTACTGCAATACCGCCGCGCGGCGCAGAGGGCGCGGCAGCATGGGCGCAGAGGGCGCGGTAGCTGCGGCGCAGAGGGCGGCGGCGCAGGGCGGCGCACCGGAGGCAGTCTCGGTGTAGGCGCAGGCAGGCGCCCGCCAGTCGCGTTGTCGTCTCTCGCCGCCGTGCCCCTTTTCTTTTCCCCCCTCTCTCCCTCTCTCCCCCTCTCTCCCCCACTCTCGCCCTTTTTGCCCTCTCTCGCCCTCTCTCGCCCTCTCTCGCCCTCTCTCGCGCCCTCTCTCCCCCACCTTCCTTTGTGCAAGTTTTGCCCACGTCCCACATAATTATTAAATTTCCCGGTCGCTATGAATGAGGGAATGAAACGCACCATGCGATGGCGCCCCCACACCCCCCAATGAGCTTTCCCGCGTACGACCTGGTCCTCGGCACACCCGCTGGTGTCCGAGATGGGGCCTCCGGCTGGAGGCCATCAGATAGCGGCCCACACGCTTGTGGGTTCGCGCGAAAATTGAATCGAAACGAGGCAAAACGCCCACACCGCAAGCCGCAGAAAACTAGAGCACCCGCACCAGCGAGAGAGGGCACACAGGCCACCAAGCCGCCGCGAGGAGACCAGAGAGGACAGAGGCGCGAGCGCGAGAGAATCAGCAGCGCGTGCGACGCCAGCCACGAACATTACACGAGAGCCGACAGCCATAGGCGCAGTGCGATGCGACACTGCGATGCGATGGGACATGGAGATGAGGGGCAGGGTGACAGCGCAGAAGCAGCAGAGAGAATAGGGCACGAGTACCACGGCGACCGGGATGTAGGCGGCGAGGAACGGCGACGGACGAGCGGGGGCGAGGCGGCGGCGGCGCGACAGGAACCAACAAGGATAGAAAAAGAGACACACGGGCTGCGCCGCGCGGCGAGGAGATCGAGCAGAATGCGACCAACGCGACCCGTGCAACACGAGGAGGCGGAAGACGCCGTGGCAGGAGGCGGCGTGTCGTGGCCGCGCACCGAGATGCGCGGGAGAGAGCTGGAGGGAAGGCGCGCGCGACGAGGAGAGAGACAGAGAGGAGAGAGCGCAAGGAATATGGACCCTCGCGCGCGAGCGGAACACAAGGCGACACGGGAGGGCGGGGCCGGGCCAGGGCGTACGGGGATCGGCCCATCACTAACACACGGGGACACGCACACTGAACGCGCCTTAGGAGATGGACACACACAGATGGGGGCCAAACCCAGTGCCCACGCTACAGAGGCCTGCAGACGCCAATTCTTTATCACCACGCGCCACGCCGCCTCACCCCGACCAACGCGCGCGAAACACACAGCCGAACGAGATTGGATATCCCCCGCTAGTTTCGCTCATGACTCTACGATATATTTCTTTTTTCAACAAATATCTTTTTACGAGCGTGTAAGTCGGCGGGCGCAATGCGAGAGGGACTTCCTTACGAAGAGTCGGTTAAGTCATGCGCCACAAAGCGACAGCCCGACCAGCCGCGCCAGCGCATGCCGACGCAGGATGAACGAGAGGGGTCGGGGCTGCATGCCAATCACACAGTCAAGGAGAAGGGGTCCAGCACCCTCCATTTCGACACGAGGGCGGCTGCGTCAGAGGAAAGCGACAACCCGAGACAATGGGAGGACACGCACGAGAGAGGAGCAGAACGAGAGAGAAGCTACCAACGGCCGAGGCATTCAAAACGACGGCGTTCGCGCGACGGCGTCCGTGAGACGCCAAAAGTTGAGAGTGCAAAGCCTTGCGATACCGCGGCACCGGACCCTCACAGACAATGAGAGGATGCTTGGGAGACGTCGGAGTGCGTGCGAGGAAGGCGACGCAGTCGGAAGAGGACGGCAAAACAGCAAGGCCGATATCAAGAAGATCCGAATATTCGCATACAACCGACCTGGCCAGCACATGGTAGGCAGAGAAAGTGACGTATACAGGAGAAAAGAACCGGGCAATGGGAAGGACCTGGCCACCACACCGAGTGAAGCGATGGCCTGCGTAATCAACATGATGAATGACCATCGCGGCGATCTTGGAGTCATCTCGGAGAGCACGACGACAGAGGACGAGAGAGCTGCAGTGATAGGGAGATGGGATCTTGAGGGGTATGGCGCCAGCGTTGCCTGCGGCGAGAGGGAGGGCGACAGCGACGCCGACGCCAACACAGGGCAGACAGGAGCAACATCGGGGGCGGGCACGAGCAGCGACCCGCAAAACGACAAGCGCGGACGCGGGCGAACGAGATGTGGCGTGACCATCGTATGGAACACCGACAAACTCAAAAAAGTTGAACCAGAACAGGAGGTCGACATAATCGCTGCACGAGTAAGGAGGGTGGTACTCGAAACACTCGATGGGAAACACCGAATCAGCGTGTACGGCGCTTATATGCCCGACACAGGAAAGAGCAATGACGAAATCGTCAAGGCGTGGAAGGAGCTCAAAGAAGCGATACGACACGACACGCACGAGAGGGTGCTCATCATCGGCGACATGAATGCTGTCACGCGGAAATGGGTGGAGGAAAGAGGGCGGCAAATGGGGACGGCGGACACGGAGATGGAAGACCTGCTAGAGACCGAACAAATGGAGTCGCTGGGCACGGGCGTCGCGACGCACAGGGGGGGAAGGGAGATTGATCACATAATAGTCAGACGCGCAGACACGAGCACGAGCAAGCGAGGCGGAGGTCATGCCAGGAGAGAAAGACGATCACAAAATTGTACACGCCGACATCATACTCGCAGAGGAGAACGCCGACGAAGGACAGCACAGGCGGATTGGAGTAAAACTAGACGACTGGGACGAGGCGGAATGGGCGACGTACGTGAACGAGACGGGGTCCATGAAGAATATGTGGCAAATAGGAGGAGAGACGTGGAAAAGGACGGGAGGAGGGAAATCATACATCGAAGAGGCACAGGCTATGATGGAAGCGGCGGCGACGGCGATCCGGAACAAGCGAAAGAAGGGCAAGACGCAAGTGCGAAGAGACGAGGACGGGGACGAGGAGCGGCCAGCGGCGAAGACGCACCGCGCGTCGCTCTGTGAACACAGAACAGATTGGCCGGTGGTCGAGGCTGGCGGGAGAGGCGAAACGGTACCGAGGGGAGATGGGAGAGGACGCAAACGATATCGGGGACGCAGAACAGCGCAGAATCTACAAGGCACTGTGGCACCACGCAAAATTAAGAAAGGTGATCAAGCGGGAGAGGCACGGAGGCGATGCGGCGAGGGCGCAAGCCGCGCGGGATGCATGCCGACACCATCTGCAAAAAATGAGCAAACGACTTGAGAAGAGGCATACTACCTACAGCGGAATCGGGCAGGACTACGAGGCATAAGGACGTCGATGCAGATGAAAGACGGCCTCGATGATGACCTGTGGGAGATGACTGGCCAACAGGAAACAGTGCTTGGCAGGAGTACTGAGACCTCTCCGCATGGCCTCACTCGCCAGCACGAGGTGGAGCTCTTCGCCGCAGGCACGATGCGCCGCCTCAACGGCGTGTATCCTCTGCTCCACTGATGCCTCGGCATCAAAGCGCACGAAGTGGAGCCCTTCCGCAATGCCGTGCTCCACACGCACGATGTAGACTGCGTCATCGCCGCATATAAGAACATTTTGCGCCTCCCTCGAAAGGAGCGCGCGGCTGCAGGGGAGGCCAGCATAAGTCAGAGCGGGCCGGCAGCGTCGCATCTCAACGCCCGCCATCCGCGCGGCGGCGTCGACCGCAGCAACGTGGAACGCATCAAAGTCTGCAGGGACGCCCATCACGACACCGGTCACTGTGTCCTCCAGAAAATCCTCGGCGCGCCGCTTGAGGTGGCCGAGAAGCAGCGCGAGGAGCTGCTCGGCGGTCCAGGTCTTTTCCAGCGCTCTCGCGCTTGCGCGGCTGGCGACATGCCTCACGACGGGGATTTCCTCCAGAGCACCGGCCGCGTCGCCAACGAGGCACGCGTGCGCGGTGAAGCCCACGATCGACCGCGTGGTGTAGATGGCGACGTGCTCACCATCAGCGCTGCTGTCTCTGCGCCAAATGCCGACGCGGCTGCGCTCGTAGCCGAGCTCCACGCCGATGATCATACGTGCAAGGGGCTGGCGACAGCCACGCCTGCTATTCACAGCCTTGTTACCACTGTATTGACAAGAAAATACGTCCTATGGCGCTATGCGCTGGTCTGTGGGAGGTTGAGGTGCGAGCCCTGGAGGCCCTGGGGATGGGACTCACAGCACAAGCCCTCGCCGGGGACTCGAGCATGCCCTTTTTCCAGACGGATCCCCCCCTGTGAAAAAGTGAGGCGTGGTCTGTACTCGCCAGACAAGGGGGCAAGCATCAAAGAAGAATTTAAACAAGATCAAGGACTATATAACGGTGTGGGCGCGCGGAGGGCTTGTTGGCGAGCCAAAATGGTGTTTTCCGAGGCGCTGCGCTAGGCTCAGAGCGAGTTCCTGGGACCAGCGAAATCGCGTAATGCCATCACACTAAGTGACAAGGGAGAGAACGACGAGAGTGGGACGACCGCGACCGAGGTGGCATGATACATGAAGGTTGCAGCGAGAAGCGGCGAGAGACTGCGAAGAGAGATACTCGAGTAGGAAGAGGCAGACTCCCTGGGCGACGGCTAGCGCACCACACACCTCTCCTTAAAATCCCTGTGTGGTGGCGGCGTGCCGTCCTCCCATCCCTCCCTTGGGTTGTCCCTTTTCTTTCTTTCTTTCTTTAGTGACGAGGAGGGGATTGAAGACCCCTCACCAACATCGCCTCTCACCGGCAGCATGTTTTCTTTCTTTCCGCGCATGCCTTCCTCGGCAGCTAAGCAGGAGGGAGCACCCAGCGAGGTGCACGAGCCGGCGCTGCTGGCTAACATGGCGGAGACCGGCAGCCTTCCCCAAGCGGTGCGGAAAGCGGCCTGGCGAGGCGACGAGGCGGCGCTGCTGACGTGGCTCGAAAGCGGCGGGCGGGTCAATGCGACTTGCCGGGCGGGCGATGTGGGCGGCATCACGCTGATGTTGCTCGCCGCGAAAAACGGCCACGAGCGAGTGGTCGACCTGTTGCTCCAGCGCGGCGCGGATGCCAACCTGCAGGACAGCAATGGCGTCACCGCGCTGATTGGCGCCGCCAACAACGGCCACGAGCGGGTGGTCGAGCTGCTGTTGGAGCGCGGCGCGGATGCCAACCTGCAGAAGAGCGACGGCTTCACCGCGCTGATGCTCGCCGCCAACAGCGGCCACGAGCGGGTGGTTGACTTGCTGCTTCAGCGCGGCGCGGAGATCAACTTGCAGGACAGCATCGGTGTCACCGCGCTGATGGCCGCCGCTGGCAACAGCCACGAGCGAGTGGTCGAGCTGCTGCTGCAGCGCGGCGCGGAGATCGACAAGCAGAACAGCGAAGGCGTCACCGCGCTGATGTGCGCCACCCAGCAGGGCCATGAGCGAGTGGTCGAGCTGCTGCTTCAGCGCGGCGCGGATGCCAACATGCAGAACAGCGACGGCTGGACCGCGCTGATGCACGCCGCCCAGGAGGGCCACGAGCGGGTGGTCGAGCTGCTGCTGCAGCGCGGCGCGGAGATCAACAAGCAGGACAGTGACGGCGACACCGCGCTGATTGTCGCCGCCCAGAAGGGCCACGAGCGAGTGGTCGACTTGGTGCTGCAGCGCGGCGCGGATGCCAACCTGCAGGACAGCATCGGCGGCACCGCGCTGATGCACGCCGCCCAGGAGGGCCACGAGCGGGTGGTCGAGCTGCTGCTGCAGCGCGGCGCGGAGATCAACAAGCAGGACAGTGACGGCGACACCGCGCTGATTGTCGCCGCCCAGCACGGCCACGAGCGGGTGGTCGACATGCTGCATCAATGCGGTGCTGAGGTCGACATGCAGAGCAGCATCGGCGACACCGCGCTGATGCTCGCCGCCGGCAACGGCCACCCCGCAACCGTGCTACTCTTGCTGCGAGCGGGCGCGGATACGAAGCTGCGCTCTGCGAAGGGCGAGTCCGCACTGCAGTATGCCAGGGAGGAGGGCCACGTCGCGTGCGTCGAGGCTTTCCGGCAGCACATCGCGGAGGTGACTGCTGGCCGGCGTGAGGCGGCGGCGGGCGGCGGCGCGAGCGGCGCTATCTCGGGCGAGGCGGCGGCGGGAGCGAGGACCGCGGCCTCTTCCGGCTCACTGGGAAGCCTTCCCAACGAAGCGGTGGGAGCAGCTCTCCAAGGCGACGAGGCGGCGCTGTTGGCGTGGCTCGAAAGCGGCGGGCGGGTCAATGCTTGCATGTACGGCGGCGTCACCGCGCTGATGCTCGCCGCCGGCAGCGGCCACGAGCGAGTGGTCGACTTGTTGCTGCAGCGCGGCGCGGATGCCAACCTGCAGGACAGTGTCGGCCGCACTGCGCTCACGGTCGTCGCCCGCAACGGCCACGAGCGGGTCGTCGAGCTGCTGCTTCAGCGCGGCGCGGCGGTCAACATGCAAGGCATCAACGGCGACACCGCGCTGATGCTCGCCGCCCAGAAGGGCCACGAGCGAGTGATCGAGTTGCTCCTTCCGCGCGGCGCGGATGTCAACCTGCAGGACAGCGACGGCGGCACCGCGCTGATGCTCGCCGTCACCAACGGCCACGAGCGAGTAGTCGATCTGCTCTGTCAGCGCGGCGCGGAGATCGACAAGCTGAGCAGCAACGGCAGCACCGCGCTGATGTTCGCCGCCGCCCAGGAGGGCCGCGAGCGGGTGGTCGAGTTGCTGCTTCAGCATGGCGCGGATGTCAAGCTGCTGAACAGCGACGGCGACACCGCGCTGGTGGGCGCCGCCTCCAGAGGCCACCCCGCCACCGTGCGCCTCCTGCTGCGGGCGGGCGCGGACACAAAGCTGCGTACTGAGGACGGCAAGTCTGCGCTTCAGCTGGCCAAGGAGGAGGGCCACGCCGAGTGCGTGCGCGCCCTCGAAGAGCACGCGGCGGCGCAGGAGGCAGCGCAGGCAGCGGCGAGGGCGGTGAAGAGTGCGGCGGCAGAGGCGGAGGCGGCGCGGCATGCCGAGGCGCTGCTGGCGGAGGAGGAGGCGGAGAAGGAGGCGGGGCGCGCCAAGGAGAGCAAGAAGGGGAAGAAGAAGAAGAAGAAGGGGAAGGGTGGCGGGGGTGGCGCTGGGCCGTCGCAGGGGCTGTCCGAGGATGAGGCAGCGCTGGCGGCTAGGGAGGAGGCTGAGTTGGCGGCGGCGCTCGAGGAGAGCGCGAGGCTGGAGGACGAGACGAGGCGCCCAGCGGAGGAGCAGGCGCCTCCCGCCGGGTCGACCAGCGACCCTCCACCGACTGAGGAGCAGCCCGTCGCGGCGCTCTCGCTAGCCGACGCCAACTTCGACACGGGTCGCGCAGCGGTCCCTGAGTCCACCCTGGGCGGCGAGACTACGTGCATCGTTTGCTTCACTCGGCCGAAGGATCACGTCGCGATCCCTTGCGGGCATCAGTGCGCGTGCGGGGACTGCTCCGCTAAGATGGAGCAATGTCCTATCTGCCGCCAGCCGGTGCTTATGTGGATGGACTCATCGCGCATTCGCCTGGCGTGAGAGCTGAGACTGAGAGGGCCCAGTGGGCCAAAAGTCGTGCACACTTGTATCAAGCTCAATCGCTAGCGATCCCCAGGGCGCGCAGCGCGCGCGTGGCAGCGGCCACGGGCCAGCCCCACACGCCACACCTCGTCGTCGCCGGCCGCTCGCGCTTGGTTCTGTTTTGTTATTGTTTAAAAGAGACAGAGCGAGAGCGAACGACTAGTTGCAAAAATGGCGCGGTGTGCGCCCGTCCACTCGGCGGGGTCGCAGCTGCCTCTGGCTCTGCGCGTCCTGGGGAGGTACAATAGTGTGTTAGTGTCGCCGCCGGAGACGACTCGACGAGAGATGGGCCCAGGTAGGAGGCTCCACGCCACCTGACTCGCGTCGTGCCACCTGACTCTCGCCTGGAGAGGCCTCTTAGCCGAGGCACACGTGGCAATCGCCACGTGCGCCACCAGGGATTTCGGCCATTTTAGAGCCTTTTGCACAAAAATGCAGGTGGCTTCAGCCACTTGCTCCATGAGCAAAGCAGTGCAAAAAGCACCTGGAGCAGATGGCTTACGCCGCCTGTGGACATGGGCAAAACAGTGCAAAAAGCACCTGGAGCAGATGGCTTACGCCGCCTGTGGACATGGGCAAAACAGTGCAAAAAGCACCTGGAGCAGACGGCTTACGCCGCCTGTGGCCATGGGCAAAACAGTGCAAAAAGCACCTGGAGTAGATTCCAAACGCCGCCTGTGGCCATGTGAGCGCTCGGGTGGCGCCAAGGGCTTCGCCACGCGGCTTGGCTGCGCGGGGCAGAGCCGGAGGGAGGCGCCTCCACGTCGGACGCCTCCCGCGGCGGCTGTGGCTGCGGAAGTGGCTGCGGCTCCGCCGGCCAGACAGCAGCACCGGTGCAGCGAACGGTTAAGCGCGCCCACCAGCCACGGACGCCGCCCGAGAGGCCCGAGGCTAGGTCCGAGGGTGGAGGAGGCGCAAGCCCTTCCGGCGTCCCTTCCGGCGCTGCCTCCGCGGCGGACACCGGCTGCAGCTCGACCCCCTCCTCCACTCCGTACCGGTATCTCAACTCTGCTGCCCTGCGGAGGAGCCAATCTACCCCCCTCACCTCCTCCTCGTCCGCCGCCCGGCCACGGCCCGCCTCCGCCGCTGCCCCTGCTGTCTCCGCGTCGCCACCACCTCCCTCTCCGCCGCCGCCGCTGTCGCCGCCCGGCGGCAGAGCACCGCGCCCTACACTGTGCCCCTCCTCCCCGGCCTCGGGCCTTTCCCCGGGCTCGGAGCCGTCGTCCGGCGCCGACGAGACGACGGGCCTCTTGCAGAGGGGGCACTGCCTCTCGCGGTAGGATTGGGCTGCGAACCTGAGGAGAGGGAGTTGGGGGGGGTGCTGGTGCTCCTGCGTTAAGCACCGCCTGCTCTCGCGGTGTGCTGGGCTAGCGAACCAGCGGTCGACGCAGCGCTTGTGGAAGAAGTGGGCGCACGGCATTGTGCGCAGCTCGTCCGACTCTGCGGGGGGAGGGGGGGGGGGGGGGTGAAAATACACTTGGCCCGGGGGGGGGGAGAGCGCCAGGGTTCCCCC